GGATTTACTCAAAGCTGTGGATCGCGAATATGTTTTCGCTTATATTGATGACCCTTGCAGTGCTACCTATCCATTGATGCAAAAACTGAGGCAAGTACTTGTTGAGCATGCATTGACAAATGGTGAGAATGAGAAGAACGCAAGCACTTCAATCTTCCAAAAGATCGCAGCTTTTGAAGAAGAATTAAAGGCTCTCTTGCCAAAGGAGGTTGAACATGCAAGGGTGTCACTCGAGAATGGAAATGCAGTAATTCCTAACAAGATCAAGGAATGCAGATCTTATCCACTGTACAAATTCGTGAGGGAGGAGCTTGAAACAGGGCTGCTAACTGGAGAAAAGGTCAAGTCACCTGGTGAAGAGTTTGACAAGGTGTTCACAGCTATGTGCCAAGGGAAGATCATTGATCCAATGCTGGAATGTCTTAAGGAATGGAACGGTGCCCCTCTTCCAATCTGCTAGTTTGCTTTCATTTTTCATCTTTGAAATTTGTTATCCAATCTTTTTCTTTGTTTTTCACCTTTTTTGTTTCATTTTCCTTGTAAAAGAAGTTAATTATATGAATGCATATGTAAAATGTTTATTTCTCATTTCATATCTCTCTAAATATTTTCACTAAAATTAACCCTTAGCTTCATCCTTGAAATGTTGAGAAATGCTTGTAATAAGACCAACTAAATTTTTTTCATTTTCATTATCTTTCCCCCGTCCTTACTGCATTTTCCTAAGAGCCACATGGGGTTCCCTTCATATTTTCATTAAGGTACCCCCCACATATTTTTTATATTAGGTCCCAAAGGCGTCATGCTTGACAATTCTGAGCTACCAAAAATGCCAGAAAGGTGATAGGCTTGATCAATAATTCCAGTAAGTAATGACATGACATAGATTTCTACTGGAATGTTAAGCTATGTATGGGCCGCGGGTCCTTTGATCCGGGAAACTGGAAATCCTCAAGTCATTATTGACATTCATAAAATATAATATCCGAAGATTTTGATTTTAAAACAAAGACAGCTAATGTAAGCCCTACAGGCCAGAAGCTATAGGCCAGAAGCAGTGAAGCAGACCAAAGCACATTTGTTTTCCAAAGAAGAAAGTAGTGCATTTGCAGCTGGCAGATTTGCAGAGAGGAAAACAAAAACATAGACGAGCATTGATTTTCCTCATTTGCCCTTGTTCAGGGCTTCAGTTATTAACTGAAGCTGACATCAGCTACAACCGCACTCTGCCAATTTGCTCAAACCAAAACCAAAATGAGCTCAACATGGGTTTCAACTTTAAAGTTTGAAGAGCGAAGGATAGTTGATCGTTCCTTCTTGTTTCAATTCTGATTCAGGTAAGAAAACGTGGTCTGAGTCCAACTTAAATGACAAATTCCTGCTAGTCCAGCTCCGAAGCCACTTTGTACTCTCTTGTGGCAGATGAAGGATTATCTTACCAAAAGTAAGAAAAGCAATTGCTGCCTGCCTGCCAGCCTGCTAGGACCATTGGCAATTGGCACTGTTAACTTTGATACACAGGTTGCTCCCCAAATTGCAAGTTGCTTGAACTGAAATTTGGTGACTGACTCTGACTGATTTTCATTTTCTGTGGATTTATATGCTATATATTTAACTCTTGGCAACCGTGGTTTCATTTTACTCTGCTTGATAGCATTACTACGTTAGACCCAAAAGGTCAATAGTCCATTTGAAGCTCTTCAGAAGGACATTTGGCCCATTCGCATTTTCTTTGAATGGGCTTAAGATTGGCCATTTGAGCCTTAATGGGGTAGTGGGGATTATGTCATTGGTCAACTATAAAATGATAAACAACCAAAATTTTAATATTAGCTTTTAAATTTGGTTTTCATTCAGCACGACTGAAAAGTCGCGACCAGCCAACAGGATCAATGGCGACGCAGCTCCTGAGACGACGAGCCAGTCAGATCCTTTCCCGGGCCAACCCTAACCCTAGCTCGCCGCTTTCATTAGCCAGAGCTCTCTCTTCCGACAGCGCTCCCATCCGAGCCACTCTCTTCCCCGGTGACGGCATCGGCCCCGAGATCGCTGAGTCCGTCAAACAGGTTCCTCTTCTCTCCAAGTTTTCTCTTGTCTTATAATTTCCATTGCATCGAATTTTCTCTGGTAAAGTCTTGACTTTTAAATTCCTTTCTATTTGTATCAATGGAGTTGAATCTTATGCGTTAAAAAATTGAAAATTTTTGCTTTAAAAAGCTTTTGATTTAGGCACAAACTGTCAAAAAGTAGCTATTTTTTGTTTAAATAAGCTGTTCTTATAGAATTATAATTAGAAAATTATTTATATAAAAATCATCATCATCAAAACCCATTTTCTATTTACTTTTAGTGAAAATTTGGTGGAAACTGAGTAATTTTAAGTGATTCAGGTTTTTAAAGGAGCTGAAGTGCCGATTGAATGGGAAGAACATTATGTTGGGGACCAAATTGATCCAAGAACTCAGAGTTTTCTAACTTGGGAAAGTTTAGAATCAGTAAGAAGGAATGGGGTAGGCTTGAAAGGTCCAATGGCTACTCCTATTGGTAAAGGTCATCGGTCTTTGAACCTCACTCTAAGGAAAGAACTTAATCTGTATGCCAATGTCAGGCCATGTTATAGCCTCTCGGGATATAAGACTCGATATGATGATGTAAATCTTATCACTATTCGTGAAAACACAGAAGGGGAGTACAGTGGACTCGAACATCAAGTAAGTTTATTAATGGTTTATGGCAATTCGATAAATGGGGTCTTCACTGTAGATATGAGGAGGTAATGCTTTTGCTTTGGGTGCTAGGTGGTGAGAGGTGTGGTTGAAAGTCTCAAGATTATTACTCGTCAGGCAAGCTTGAGGGTGGCTGAATATGCTTTTCACTATGCTAAGACCCATGGAAGAGAGCGAGTTTCTGCAATTCATAAAGCCAATATAATGCAGAAGACGGATGGTCTTTTCCTTAAGGTCTGCCAATTCAAATTCCTAGTGTGCTGGTTCTTCATTAAATTTCTAGAGTTACTGTTTATTAAATTTGGTTTATTTTTCTTTTTCCAGTGTTGCCGTGAGGTTGCAGAGAAATACCCTGAGATAACATACAAGGAAGTAGTCATAGACAATTGCTGTATGATGGTATGACAGATATCCTCCTATAAGCGTTTATTACTTTTTTTTTCATACATTTTTTATGGAACGGGGAGAGGTCAGATTTTGAATCAGCTACTATAGGGGCTACCTTTCTGCCTATATTACTTTTAGCAAATTACATTTGGCTAATGATAAAAGGAGTTATTGTTTAGACATGCACAAAACTGCATTTCATTATTTATGGAAGTGAAAGATGATATCTAGAACTAATTAATTTTTTTTGCCACCTGCAGCTTGTGAAGAATCCTGCACTTTTTGATGTATTGGTGATGCCTAACCTTTATGGTGACATTATCAGTGACCTTTGTGCTGGATTGATTGGAGGCTTGGGCTTAACACCAAGGTAACCACACCTTCCTAATGATCAATTGTAATATACTTCTAGATGGTTTAAAATCATATAATTTTTTTGCAGTTGCAATATTGGTGAGGGAGGAATAGCGCTTGCTGAAGCTGTTCATGGTTCAGCACCTGATATTGCCGGAAAGGTTAGTCTTCAAATCTATCTTAGGACCTCTATTGAGTATCTGCCCTTCGTTTCTTTCTATAGAGCCATTCATTTCGCTTAGACAGGGAACACTTGTGAATATATATATATATATATATATATATATATATATATATATGAAGGTATGTCCAGGGATTGTTAGTCATGCAATGCTTTAGTCGATACAAAGAAAATACTAATGGTTGAGGGTTTAGACTGGATGTCTCGTGATAGATCATGAAGATAGTCCTGAGGAATTGATGGTAGTATAGAGTATAAAAAACCCAAAATGTCATGTTTGCCTTTCATGATCATTTTTTTAATTGCCCCAGTTGAGTTCCTTTTTCTTCTCTTTTAACTACGTTTCTCAGAGTATAATTTCATTTCCCATGGCACCGGCTAATTATTTATATGGTTGACACTTTCTAGAATCTGGCAAATCCAACTGCTTTATTATTGAGTGCGGTCACAATGTTGCGCCACTTAAATCTCCATGACAAGGCTGATAGGATTCAGAATGCCATTCTCAACACAATTGCGGAGGGGAAATATCGAACTGCTGATCTTGGTGGCTCGTCAACAACAACTGATTTTACTAGGGCTATTTGCGATCATCTTTAAAGATAGTTTCTTTATAGCATTTCTAGTTTCGCTTTGGGTTTCTTTGCAATTTGTTTACCATGTTCTTCACCTCAGCCTAAATCTTTTCTTCTATTATTAGGAGGAATAAAATCACAATCACCTCGATGGCTCCGAACTTTCTACCTTAAGCCATGGAGAATACATGGCATCATTTAAATTTTTAAATTTATTAAACGTAGATTAGTCCACTTGTGTTCTGGCCAATGGCCATGCACTGCCTCAAGGCGAAGAAAACATGCTGCAATTAAGGTGGAACTGTTGTTATATATACCATTATTTATATCAATCAAATCAATCTTAGCTGGATTGTACTTGCTGGCCGTGCTGTTTCCTTTTACCATTGCCTTCATAAAAGTTCTTTTGATTGGTTGATATATGGGAAAGCTATTGGATAGTCAGAAAATTGCCAGAAACATAGACACTTTCCTCGGTTTTTCCAAGTTGTATTTTGGGATGTGTCAGTCCCAAAATGGTTAGGCTGTTTATTATGTTAGAAACGATACATTTACACATGAAATTCGGGTCATGACAACGTACGTACTCAAAAGAGTACTTGGTTTTAGTTACGATTCCTGAAGAAGACGTAAAAAAAAAGGGGCTAACGGACTATGGGAGACGCAGTAGCATCTAGGTTTGTTAGATTGTGTCAAACCCAATGTATGCCGAGACCGTAAGTGATGTTGTAGGACTGGACCACCATGATTACCGATATCCATAGGTACTTCCAGTGATTAAACATAACTATTGAAAACTGGCAAGTCTACAGCTAAGATTGTCTTTGTATTACTTGATATTGCAGATTGGGCATCCTTCCCATGCGAGGCTGATACATGAGGGGTTGACATGGATGGTGGATTTAAGGCTCGAAGGTGTGGAGCTGGTGCTCGAACAATGCCAACCCAGTTGCTTCGTGCAACATGGATTGTGGGACTGGAATGTTGTGCAACAACACCAGTTGGTGAATCGTTAGACGTCTGCACAGGTGGTGCTGCACCTAGGCCTGTCAATGGTGGCTCAATTCGAGGATCAAGCATCGAAGTAGTTTGCTGAATCAACTGATTAATGAAACTGTCAATCACTGCAAGAAGAACATGTTGTCAGATATGAAGTTATAGGCAAGAACACCACATATATTGCTTTATGTGTGTGCACAAAGATGCACTTGTAATACATTTGATAATACAAACAAATTCATGCAAATCTGCAATCATAACCATGAAGCTGAATTCCTCTCCCTTTAATTTAAAAGAGCATATGAAACTTAATTTTGGTATAAAGGAGATTGATGTCTGAAGATAGAAGAAGGAATTATAGATGTTGATATTTGAACCGCAAACCTACTGAATGTTGACTCTTAATACTGAACTAGTTTTTATCGGATGAATTCTGCCTAAAATCATGAAACATGTGACTGATAGCTTTGGTGCAGAATTAGCAAACTTTAGAGCAGAAATCTCTAGAAAGAACAATGATACTTTATAAGCACACAAGAACATATGTCAAATGTTTAATAAAAGACGTTTATATCCTGCTCTGTACCTGTTGATCCAGCTGCTTCTTCGTTCAGATTATACGTCACTGTTTCTGCCAATAAATTATTTAATTGAACTCTGCTGCAATAACACTCGAGATCCTGTTCCTTTTGCTTGAATGCTATCTCAGCATCTCGAAGGAGAACGTCATACTTTTTACATATTTCTTCTATCTCTTTATCGCGCTCAGACTTCAGCTGCAATATCTGCTCAGTAGGGAAAGAGATGCAGTAATGCTGACATCATTTAGTTGACTAAACATGACAAATTAAAAAAAAAAAAAAAACTAAATTCATCTTGGACAAACCATATCTTCATGTAGCTTCAAAGTTTGATCTTTATACTTTTCTATTCTCTCCAGCTCAATTTGAAGTGGATTTGAGCAAGCTGGCTGAGGTGTCACAGGTCTCACAGTGTTGACTTGACAAGGAAGCTCATTTAGAGATCTTAACATAGTATTTGTGCTCCTTTGGTTCCCAATGCACGTTTCACTTCCAAGCACAGGAGTACTTGCAGATGGCTGTTGAGGCAAAAGTGTAACTGAAAGCATAATAGGAGAACCAGATGATTCATCCAGTGGTACCTCCAAGGATGGGTGTCTTGGAACTGCAACCTCTTGACAGAGAGCATGCTGAATGCTGCTGAGATGATGTTGCATCCCAGATGCAGGTATAATAGATATATTGCTCTCAGAGGAAGATGGCCTTATAGGACGTAGAAAGGAGAGAGCTGTCTGCAATTTGAGATTAGAACAGAATAATTAGCATATAGAGGTACTATTTATCATAAATATATCTGCTCGAACTCTAAACTTGTATATGACCACACCTAATTGAGTCAAGTTTCTAGAAGCTCTTTGCAGCCTAATCACGATCACAATTCTCTCCATGTGCATGGAGGAGGGAGGGGGAAGCATTGTTTATCACCGAATTTATCCAAAAACTATATTTGATGGCTATAACTTGCTTTTTCTTTTTTCTTTTTTTTTTTTTTAATACAGGGCATTGGATAAGAGCATATAGGAAATTGAAGCTTGCAAAATTCAATCTAGTTATCTAACCTTACTTACCTCTTTGCACAGCAATGAATTTGATTCAATGAAGTTAACATCTGCCTCCACCAAGGATTGACGAGTCCGAATAAACTCCATACCGTTTGAGTCTCCAGGAAGATAAGTAACTGCAGTATCATGCTGACTGATCTTTGAAACAGTCTCTCTTTCTGAGGCCACCGCATCTATTTCAACACTTTCTTCATTGTACTGGGTAGCATGGGTAGCATTGCCTCTAACCACTGCATTGCATTGAGCACGGGGAATTTCAGAAGGTTCTGCTACAGATTCGGTGGCTGGCAGTCTAAGAGGACTTTGGTGTTGTTGAGAATCTGATACAAGGGTATGATCTTTTGGTTGATCACTGGGACAACCAAGCTCTGAATCAGATCCGAAATGACCATCTACTATTTTCACAGGTAAACTGGATACTGTCTTTTCAGAAAGAGATTCATCAGGATCATTAGGTGAAGCACTCTGTACAGTTCCACTTTGATTACATCTAGGAGTAGAGGGTATAGGTTTATGCACACTATATTGGGGGTTAATGTGAACTTTCTTTAAACAATTTGACTTCTTGTAACTCTTTATTTTCTCAGAACATTGTGCAAACTTTTTCGCAACACTCTGCAAGTTGGAGTAGATAAATTCTACCTCTTCATCCCTGCAATCCAAATTTAAGCGTAGTTTTGCAAGTGCAAGTGACTTGTTCTGATCAATCTTATATTTCAACAAATCAGCAGCTGTCAAACACTAGAAAATTTACACGGTTTGTCAGCAAATTGTGCGTACAATGAATATAGAACATGCTTGTAACAAAGGAATTGGCAATTCCGAGGCAATGAATGTGAAACTTTGCGAAGTACAGTACAGAAAATTCTGAAAACTAGCAACTGGCAAGGTGAAAGTGTTTCTAGAGACATAAATAAGAAGCAAAAAGAAAAAAAAGGGTGGGAAGGGGGGAGGATGAATCCAAATGAGCAAATGAAGCAAAGGGCAGGTCTTAATAACAGTAAATAACATTAAACTGTTTTTGTGAATATGACTTACATGCAATAACAGGACCAAACTCCTGACAAAGTGATTGTAATAAATCAAAGGGTTGTGGCCCAAAAAAAAAAAAAAATCAAAGGGTACTTATATGTATTTTAATATTTTATAAACAGGATGTCATACTGGAGGAGACATCCCAGAAAAGTAAAAGAGCATGCAAAATTTAATGAATTCTGGGCAGAATAAAGTAATAAATATTTGTGAGAATTCTAGGTTGGTCAAGAGGTTTGTTGAACTCTTCACAAAAAATACAAATTAGATTAGAAGTTCATATCCCAGCAATCAACAGTGTATGGGCCTTAACGTCATCAGATCTGATACATTCCTTTACACTATATCAGAACCCTTCTATTCTTAAATCTAGTCCAAGTATGAGCAAGCCTACAGTTGCATTTACATGTAAGCAGACTACAGAGAAAGAGACAAGATGCTTATTTATAGATAAATACCTTTCATTTTAGTTTATATCAATGATAAATAATCATTCATACAACAAAGGAAACATGTTACACTAAGTGTTGGGATCATTCTAACCAGAGATATCTGGTATGCCTGCAATAAAGAAAGTGATTCCCAGCTAACATCATAATCTTGCATTATGTACTCAAGAAATGCCACTGTAGTGCCCCTGACATCCTCCTGCATTAAAGGTCAATATGTAACTTTCCAAAATTTCATCAAAGGTAGAAACAGATATAACTAAACAGAACAACAATGACCAAAAGTTCACAGCAACATTTTTTTATCAATCTATTTAATTTGCCAATCCAATTTGTGGGATTTCTTTTTAATTATGGAAAGGAGTTTTTGGGATCTATATTTAATTTCCGAAGTTCACCTCTTGCAGGGAAAATAGGTTTCTTTTTGAGAGTCAAGGTTTAGTCAAGGTTTATTACTATTAGAGTTGACCCATTGGAGAACATCTATAAGGTTTCTACAATGTAAGACTTTCTTCTATCCAAGTGTGATACCATAGGAGATGGCCTCTGTTTTTTTGTTCTTTTTTTTTTGGTGGCCTCTGTTTAAGTAACATCCTTGCATGTTAGAATTCACACCGGAACAGGAACCTATATATGAGAGGCCAATAGTAATCCTTTTCCCTTATTTTGATGTAAGTCATCTGCCAAATAGACAAGTCAACCAGCTTTTAATCCCATTTCAGGCATAAATTTCAAGCCCCACAACTACCTTTCCTTTGTCCTACACTGTAGGTATATTAGGGAGAACAATGATACATTTATTTTAAAGCCCCATTAGAAAACAATTCAGCTACAAAATTTTAACTCATTCACTGAATCCATTTTTTGCCATTTATAAAAAACTTACGCCAGCCTTTCCTTAAGCCAGGGCAATAGTAGGAGATCCAAGCAAATACATTGCAATATCAAACACAGTTTTCACACTGCTTTATATCGTGCATTAGAGAATACTAATATTTATACAGATCTGCAAATTTGTGCAATGTATTGCTAGCATCCTCCTAACCTAACTCATCTAATCACCTCGATATTAATTTTCTAAGCTAATTAACACAACATAGGGAAGGAAAAGTATAACACTTAACGGATGCAATGAGAGAAAAGTTCAATAAGAAAAGAATTTTAACAATTTTTTTTATTGGTGAAAATCTACACAACGTTATTTTAAATCCATATAAACAACATAAAGTTGTAGAAAGGGTGTACTGTACAGGAAGTTGCAGAACTTCACAAAGTTTCGAGATCCCAAGCTTCAGCAACAATTGATTGTTCTGCCACATTATATATTTCATTTCTCAGATTAAATCAAGTTGACTTCAAATTACCCTTTTATTATCATCAAGCAAAGGAGGCACCACTAGTAATTATTTACCTGATTTACATCTTTCTTACCATCTGCTGAGCAAGGAAAAATTTTCTCACTTATATTCTTAGAAGCTGCTGTAGAAAGAAAAGTTAGCTTTAGAAAAGTGGAAAGGGGACACTAAGTTTTGATTTTTTTTAGCAACAATGTTCTTGATTTCTTCATTTTCCACACAACCAGGAATCTTCCCACTTAAAACATTTAAAGCTAACTAGCATTGTATAGGAATTTGTTCATACCAGCCAGCTTTCTTTTCTTGTTCACAACAGTTACTTTCCTTTTGCCCTTGAACTTCCATTTTGGATATGTAGGATCATCTATGCTGTTGACTGCCATCCTGCTTTTCTTTATAACACCATCATATTCAAATTCAGATTTTCTTGGGAAATTATCAAGATATTGAACCTTCTTTCGGTTTCTTGGAGATGACTCAGTTAACAATTTCCATTGTGGATGCCTTCCTTCAAGCAGTTTTAGCCAGGAAAATATTGATGGTTCATTGCCCATTGATCCTATTTCTTTTTCACCAAATAAAGAAATGTTTCTATCATAGACAACGTTCTGAGGAACTTCTGTAATAAATGAACAGTTGGCAGAATGATTGCTTTCACCACCACAAGGTAATTGGGTTAGCAACTCTGACAATACAGCATTCAGAAATGATTGTTCACAAGAAACATTTGAAACTGAGACTGACTTACTACACCCATGAAAGTCATCAAGCTTATTGAATAGATTAGAGGCACCCCAACTTAGCAATCTAAGGCAGCTGTTCCTGCTTAAAGTTCGTATATTGCTATCCACACTTCTACCTTCCTTAGCAAGAATCAGAATTTTTTCTTCAACAGTAAAAGATGAATACAATCGGAACACTCTAAGCAGCTCAAACTGTGAACTAATGGAGATCTTATGCAGTGCCTTTATGTCATTCTGTGGCTCCCAATCACTGTCAAATAGAATGACAACATCGACTGCTGAAAGTTTAATGCTTGGGAGACAAGCACGATCTTCAAGCAAAAGAAAAGGTCTGCCACTATCTTTATTGTTAAACATACTTACAACAGCTTTTTTCTTTGAATGGGCATATCCTCCACCATCAATGCGCACGTAAGAATACTTACCAAATCTTTGACAGAGAAAGTCATCCAGAATATTTCCAACTGAGTCTCGTCCTGAGCCACCAATTGGCTGCCCATCATGAATTTTGAATGAGAGAATTTCAAATTGTTAATTAATAAACCCTAGGCAAATGCAATTAAGAAAGATATAAGACATTGAGAGGAAGGAAATACAAACTGTATCCATAAACACCAATCAACCACCAAATATTGATAAACGAGAATAACATCACAAAATTTTCATAGATAGCAGATCAAGAAACAAATAAACTAGTAAAAGAAGAGGATGAAAGGACAAAGGTTAAATCATAGTTAAATTATATATATAAAAAATAGTGAGTTGAATTCTTGCAATCCAATTGCAACCCTAAACATGCATCAATTGAAGCAACAAATGTTGACTTAAATTCCTTAAAATTTTGATATGGAAATCTTCAATATACTCATCATTCTACCAATCTGTTGAGGACTTTAAATGGTTATACCAGATGCAGGAAATTGAAGTCCATTCTACATTATTTGTAGAAAACTTAAAGAACAATTGTCCTTATTTCTTCTTATTCTATCTACAATGAAGGAGTACATCTAAATAAATAGGACCGGTGAAGTTCCTTATTAGGAAACAACTTACATGAAATAGAAAACAAAAAATAATAAAATGAAGGAGAATTATTCTATTTTAAAATAGAAACAAATTCCTAAAAACTTAACAATCAGAATAGTTGACTAAATCAGAAAAGGAAATGAGAAATATTCCCAAAATAAATTAGGAAATCAAGCTGCACTAATGTAGGAGAATCAGATTTCTACACTTCCCCTCAAGCTGGGTTATGAATGTTAATCATACTCAACTTGGATTTCAAACCACCAAAAATGCTTCTAGGAAGAGCTTTAGTCAAAATATCGGCAATTTGTGAACTTGTAGGGATATAGGCCAGTTTAACCAACCCATTTTCTATCTTTTCCTTTAAGAAATGTTGGTCCAACTCTATGTGCTTGGGCCTATCATGATAAACAGGATTTTTTGCAATACTTATAGTAGCCTTATTGTCACAAAACAGTGTCATAGATGCCACAGTCTGACTTTTAATTCTCCAAGTAACCTCATCAGCCAAATTCCTTCACAAATATCATGGCTCATGCTCTAAATTCAGCCTCAACACTGCTCCTAGCTACAACAGCTTGCTTTTTACTTCTCCAAGTGACCAAATTGCCCTAAACATAAGTGCAACATCCAGTAGTGGACCTTCTATTTGTTACTAATCCAGCCCAGTCAGCATCTGTGTACACCTCGATTGCCCTGTCCATTGACTTTTTAAAATACAAGCTTTCACCAGGCCTCTTCTTTAAGTACTGTAAGATGCAATGAACAGCCTTGAGAGACTCCTTGGTTGGATTATTCATGTATCTAATCCCCATCCCTACTACAAACCTGCTATCAAGTCGTGTATGGAAAAGGTAAATAAACTTCCCAATTGGTCTTTGGTGTTGCCTTTTGCTCGTGAGAGAGTTTCCATTTTCACTTCCAATTTTATTAGTTGAGTCCATGGGTGTATCGGCAGGTTTGCATCCAATCATACCGGTTTCTTTAAATAGATCAAGTACATATTTATGTTGAGACACCGATATTCTATTCTTAGACCAAGCCACTTCCATCCCAAGAAAATATTTAAGGAACCCCAAGTCCTTTATTTCAAACTCTTTTGCAAGGAGTTTCTTCAAATCATCTATTCCTTCCTTGTGGTCTCTAGTGATTATGATATCATCCACATAAACCATAAGAATAACTCTCTTTCCTTTATTAGTGAACTTAACAAACATAGTTTGGTCAGATTGACATTGAAGGAACCATACCTCTTCATTGCCTTGGTCAACAATTCAAACCAAGCCCGAGGAGACTGTTTAAGTCCATACAAAGATTTCTAGAGTTTGCACACTTTGCCCATGTTGTCTTGCCTTTCAAAAACAAGAGAAATTTCCATGTAGACATCCTCCTTCAAGTCACCATTTAAGAATGCATTCTTGATATCAAGTTGGTAGAGAGGCCAATCCAAGTTGGCTGCTAGTGACAATAGAACTCTAATTGAATTGAGTTTGGCTACTAGAGCAAATGTCTCCTCGTAGTCTATCCATAGGATTGAATGAACCCTTTTGCAACAAGTCTAGCTTTGAGTCTGTTCATACTTCCATCTACATTGTGCTTTATTGTGAATATCCACTTACATCCAACTAGGGTTTTCCCTTTAGGCTAATCTGAAATTTCTCATTTCCCATTTTTCTCTAGTCCCTTGATTTCTTTAAGAACTGCTGCCTTCCAATCTGGTTCATTGAGGGCTTTTTGAATATTTTTTGGAATTTGCACATTTGTCAAGATTAGTAGTAAAGGCTCGAAAGTTTGGATTTAACTTGCTATATGAGATGTACTTGCAAATAGGGTACCGGGTGCATGATCTCACACCATTTCTTAATGCAATAGGAATGTCAAGGTCACCAGTTGGCTGACAAGTTTCAGTTTCAGATTCAATAGGGACATTACCCGTGTTAGTTTCAGGTTCTTGGAGACTTGGATCAGGTTGATTTTTAGTGATGGGCTATGTACAGTTGTCCACTTCTTCCTGTGGTTTCTGCTTCTTGAGTAGACTACCCGTTCTTTTGTTTTTTCTTGCATAACCTTAAGGTTTGAAGAGTGAAGAGTTGTCTGAACAAGTTGGGTTTCGGAATCTGCATGGCTGATAGGTTGGGAAGGTTAAGAATTTGGTTTTGAAAGGGCTGGTTGAGATTTTAGTTTTGAAGGGGCTGGTTGCGAATCTAGTTTTGAAGGGGTTGGTTGGGAAATTGGCAAGTCAAGAGTTAAAAATTAATATTCCTAAGCAGTACTCTCCCCCTGAATATCATTCTTGTTGTAGTATGGAAGATTCTTAAAGAAGGTGACATCCATACCGCTATAGAATTTTTTTGTGATGGGTGAGTAACACCTATAGCCCTTTTGGTTTAGGGAATAACCAAGGAAGATGCATTTTAAGGCTTTGGGATCAAGCTTGCTGCGGTTTTGTTGGCTAATATGAACAAAAGCAATGCAGCCAAAGAGTTTGATGGGAATGGAAGAGATCAACCAAGTTTGTGGGTAGGAAGCAAGGAGAGTTTAACAAGGTGTTTTAAAGCCAAGAACTCGATAAGGCATTTGGTTAACCAAATAAGTTGCAGTGAGGACAGCTTCTCCCCAAAAATATTTAGGCACATTGGAAGTCAACAAGAAGGATCTGGTCACTTCTATCAAATGTCTGATTTTGCATTTGGCAACCCCATTTTGCTGTGGAGTGTCAACGCAAGAGCTTTGATGGATAATTCCATGATTGGTGAAGTAAGGGCCAAGAATAGAGTTGAAATATGCCCTTCCATTGTCAGTTTTAAGGACTTGGATTTTGGCTTGGAATTGGGTGTGTACCATGCTATTGAAGTTTTGAAAGATTTGGCTACCCTCAAATTTTTCTTTCATAAGGAATACCCAAGTGAGTCGAGTATGATCATCGATGAATGTAACAAACCACGTGTTATTGTTAACTCTTGACGGTCCCCAAATGTTACTGTGAATCATTGAGAAAGGCTGAGATGATTTATAAGAAAGGCTAGGGTAGGTATTTCGAGTGTGCTTGGAAAGTTGACAAATTTCATACTAAAAATCTTTAGAGATGTTGTTGAATAATGAGGGAAATAGCCTTTTTAGGTATGAAATATTTGGATGTCCTAATCTATAATGCCATAACATGATAAGGTCATCCTTACTAGTACTAGACGCTAAGGTTATACAAGAGTTTTGTGGTCTCTCAAGTGCATCATCTTGAAGAAGGTAGAGCCCTGCACACATCCTAGCACTGCCAATAATCCTTCCTGAGCCCAATTCTTGAAATTCACACAAGTTGAGAAAAAATTTAGTGACACAACATCTATCTTTCGTAAGCTTACTGATAGAAAGTAGGTTATAGCTTATATTAGCGACATGGAGGACAAAGTCGAGTGTTATGTCTTTCAAAACTACAATAAAATCTGTTCTTGCTACCTTTGAGAGAGAGCCATCAGCAATTTTTATAGCAAAACTATCATAGCAAGGTCTATATGTATTGAATAAGGATGCATCTCCAATCATATGATCTGATGCTCCTGAATCAACAATCCAAGATTGTGTATTTCCCCGTTGAACACTTAAGGCATTTAGAAATTACCTTTTTGTGCTAGTAAACTAGTTCCAAAAGTTGTAGAGTTATTTTGGAGGGTTTGTTGAAGCATCACCTCCTTGTGACTTTCCTCATGCCATACCTCTACAGAAGAAGAGTTCTCACTCCTGCTAGCTATAACAGAAACTTGTGTGGCTATAGTCTAATGGTTCAAGCCAACTTGCTCTGATACCATGCAGAAAACTTAAAGAACAATTGTCCTTATGTCTTCTTATTCTATTGACAATGAAGGAGTACATCTAAATAAATAGGAACAATGAAGTTCCTTATTAGGATACAACTTACATGAAACAGAAAACAAAAAGTAATAAAAGGAAGGAGAATTATTCTATTCTAAAATAGAAACAAATCCCTAAATATTTGACAATCAAAATAGTCAACTTAATTAGAAGAGTAAATGAGAAATATTCCCCAAATAAATTAGGAAATCAAGCTACACTAATGTAGGAGAATCAGATTTCTACATTATTCTTCAAAATGTTTAATAAGGCAATCCTAATTGGGCACATGAAGTATCAGATCATCAATTTAAACAATGACTGCTAGCAAGAAGTTTAAAATAATTTCTAATAAATGCCCACTTGAAATCTCATGATTCTAGCACAGTCAGGAAACCTTTCATGTATGATAACTCAATTAATTAACTTTATGACTATCTCCAATCCCCCCAAAAATGTCAGCATAGTCTTTGGGCTACCTGAAAAAGGATTAACACTCGTAGGCCCCTGGCTTTAGTCTCCAAAAGGATTTTATCAAGAATTTGCAGTTTTCCACTCACTTTTATTCCAACATCCAAATTTTCTTCTGCAGAAAGACTTTTTGCGGCAATACCTTGCAAAGATTGATCAAGAAGGTATGGGTGATCACAACACTGCAAAGAAACACAAAGAATGCACATGGTGTCATATTTACACCCCACAGCAATAAGTGCACACTAAATAAAAAATGGTAAAATAACAGAATGCAAAACAGCAGCTAACTCCGAGAGCCATGGTCTGGTTAGGACAACCTTCCTGATCGAAATAATAAGCTCACGAAGAGCATCAACTGGATCACTCTTCAAAGATGAAGAAAGAAGCATTGAGTTTGAAAGCAATGTAGCACAATACTGTTCAAGTTGCAGATAAGAAAGCTGGACTGGAACCCAATACTCAACAAACCTAGAGAAGCCTAACTTGTACTCAAATGCAAAATAACGCGCAAATCTTTCCTTTAGTTTGCAAACATCAGTATTAGAGTCAATCTTCACATCATCGCTGCTTATCTCACATCCAGAATCAAGGAGAGATAGTATGTTTTGATAGTCAGCAGAGCAATCCTGAAAAAGTGGGCAGTAGATGAGTATATCTGAGATTGAAGAGAAAAAATTGGTTACAAATTTAAATATACCTTGATTTGACCACTAACAAGAAGAAGCTTCATATCAGCTATTAACCTCTTGAATTGTTCAAAATATCTAGACATTCTGGGGCGTTGGCACTCATCAATTATAATAGCTCCCCATTCTATGCACTTTAGCATATCTAAATCCTGCATAACCACACAAGACAAATGAAAGTATTTCCTGTGATTGTCTCCTTCATACAAGAAAGTTCATATTTTAAGTTAGTTGTGGCATGAAATAAATAAGGATTGGAAAATTAAAAGAGAAGGTACCTCAGCAACAACATCAGAAGAGGATAGAAGTATCTCAAACATAATGGAACCACTTTCATTGTAGAATTCCAATGACCTAATACTACTCCAGACATCTTTGCTACCTTTATAAATTATGATATTGGCAGATGATGCCACGCGTAAGAACTCAGATTCCCATAAAGAAAGAGCAGCTGACTTTGAGATTATCAGAGAAGGTCTCCGTGCAGTAAATTGCAAAGACAAAACAAACAAAATCACCTTTATAACCCGCTCCTGAAAAATGAAGTTTAACTTGGTCATTTCTTCTGGTCATAATATATTTGTGTGCATGTGCACATGGGAATGAGTGTGAGGGTGTGTGTGTGTCTATCGGTGGGGGGGGGGGGGGGGGGGGAGAGAGAGAGAAAGAAAGAATCATCAAAGTTTAAGTTATAAATAAACTCACAACCAAACAAGCAACCCAAGACAGCAGGAAAATGAAAACCCGACCTATACTTTAAAGTGCAAAAAAATATTAAGAACATTGAGAGGGAAAGGGGTTAGATCTTAATCAGCACTATCAGTTACCATTATCTTAAATTCTTCCACAAATAAGAGTTGCCACCTGGCTAAAATTCATGATAAGCTTACTCTCTGGCATTGGGATTGATCCTGGGCACAGAAGATTCAATACAGACATTCCAAAGAATCTGTGCATATGTTACCACACAGCATCTGGAAAGTCTGTGTTGGAGATTAACACATAACCCTTTCTAGAGCCCTTAACAAACAATTTAAGCTCTTGGGTCAAGTAGTTCTTTAACATGGTATCCAAGCTGCTTTGATTAGTGACCTAAAGCTCGCTGGCTATCCCTTATTCTTATGAGTAAACACCAATACAATGTACTCATTAGACCAATGCATTGCCAATGCTTTTAAGCACAAACAGCACTTGAGGAGGCACATTAGACTATTGGTCCTTTTAACAACACAAAGTTCATAACAGAGAAGAACCAAGAATTGACAAATAGCATGTGGAGATAAATCCTAAATTTTCACAGCTGCAGTTTGTAAATGCAAAAATAGAGCCTAATTAATCACTCATCAAGCTTTGTCAGACAAAATGGTTGCATGGTCACAACAATAAAACTGATTTCTGGTTATGTGATTAAAACCTTAAAAAGCTGTTTATTTGTCTTTTACGCAATAAAATAAACAAGAAATAATAATAAAAGAAGAGGATATTCATGTTGTTAAAGTTCATCTATAATATCAAATACACACACAAATTAAAAAACAAAAAATCAAAGAGGAAATAATGATATCTATAATAGCAAATATATAACAAAAGTTCGCAGACACAATAAGCAAAGTGATAAAGGATGAAAAATCAATTTCATGAAGCATCTCAAAAACAGAAGCAGAAGAAAAGTAGGAATGGGAACAAGGCAAACAACCATCTACCTGATCCGCCTGATCATCATAGACAACAGCATTCTGATTTTTGTGCCAATGTGCAAGAAGCTTATTAACATAACTCAGATAATGATCGTATTCTCCAGATGAACCTCCAAATGACAAATGTGATAATTCAGAAATGGTGCAATTTTCCTTCTGTAAAACCAGTAAATTGTATACAAATAAATTCATAAATGCAAAATTAAAATACTCACACAGGTAGCACTAAATATTAAGGAACTGATGCAGAATAACAAATATCACCAGCTAGTGAACAGGCACGAGTACATATAAACACACAATATGCTGGTATGGACCATGACAAACACAAGCTCATATATCTAGAGAATAGTGGCATACTGCCTCAGAGTAATAATATATTGATATTTTAGGCCTGATACAGAGTGATTATCATGACAAGACTGAAGCACACGAGTATTAAACAAATGAACACAAAATCCTATACTTTGCAAAAGTTCATTTATCTAAGAACAGATCTCAACTGCCAGAGAGTAAACATACAGAAACAGAATAGGCATTTATATTCCTCGTGTTCTCATCAATTGAAGTTTTCATAAACTTTGCTCTCCAATTTCATTACTTAAGCCTTGATTTGCATGACCAAATCCTTTTTTAATTGAAATAAAGCATTCATCTCAACCATTAACATTTGATATTGTGATTCACAAAGTAATTCAAGATTCACCTTCTTCACTACCAAGAAAACAGAACCTGATGTCTAACAGAGACAGAACAGATTTTCATGTCAGATGCCTTACTGGGAAGTTTCGTTCATACAAAGCACAAGCTCAAGGAGAGCCAATGATACCAGAAAAGCACCCTCATATTATTAATTTATTCCTGCCACTTTCCAGAAATCTCAACTTCCGAGGAATCTCACTGACAGATAATAGTTAGTAGCTTAACAAACAACGTAGCAGGATCTTAGCTGTAACAAAGTTCCATAGCCTAATTGATGGCGTCCCATCCAGCTCTTATACTCTTACTTAGCACCCCAAGTTAAGAACAAATTTAAATATTAATTTCTAATTGAATGAAAAAACCAACAAGTATATAGTTCAACCAAAGATAAGAACAAAAGCGAAAGGAAAGGACAAAAAATCTAGCATTATCAAACCTATAAAACCACTCAGAACCAAATGATAAATGTCATTGCAACAGCTATCAAGCAAGCTAACTCCCAAAACCATAACTCCATGTTCACAATCTTTTCCTCAATAAATACTTTGATTAGCTTCTGCATGCCATGTCACATGCCTTTATTTAGCAAGACCTTTGTATGTTGAAGTGTGAACTAGTTACAGAAGGAAAAAGACTCCAACGTGCAAAAACATTGAATGAAAGAAAACATGTCTAACACCTACAAAGGTGGACAATAAATATGCAGTAAGTAATTAAGTACAATTTCAATCAATTTGCCACTTGTCAAATATTGAGAAACACCTCTTTTTCGGAATGGGAAGACAATCTTTCTGACTTTTTGTGCCGAATTTCAAAATCTCTTATGAGCTCCATAGCTTCAGGTGACGTCAAAAATAAAGAATTCTCCAATTCCCATGTAGCTTGCTCATAACCAAGGCCAGTCCATTTCACTAGCCACTCAGAAGTGCAATGTAAATTATTCTCATCAGAATTTGTAGGAAACAATAACTTTCTCTTCTGTAGCAAACGTTGTGGAACAGCCCATTCTGATTTCCACCTAATCACCTGAAAAAACTACTCAACCCCCACCCCATCCCACAAGGAAAGGGAAAAACATACATTAATATTGTTCTTTCCACTAAACTAGGAAGAGATATGCATCACTTTTTCCTCCGTTTGGGACTATATAAAGTTGAACATGAAAAACTAGTAAGAACCTGATTCTTGCTATTATATTTTGTAACAAGTGTTGGAGCCTCAAAAAGCAGCTTTTGTTCAGGAATCCAGCGGTTGTGAACATGAGCAAGACCTCGGTACTTTACCAAGTATTGCTTCTCACTTTGCATTGCTAACACCATAGAACCAACCAATCACTACCAAATTTGACATCCTACACATACTGTATCAGCTAAACATAAATGTGGAAAGTTTGCGAAACAAAGGTATAATGCATTGTACCTTTTTTATCAGAAACAACCTCTCTAGCATCCCAAATGGACTCTAATTCAGAAACAGAGTGCACACCAAGTTCTTTCTTCTTTTTAACACACCAAACACAGTGCCAAACTCCAGGAGGTTCATTACCTAGAGCAGGAACAAGACATGAAAGATGGAACTTCCTTTTGCACCCTTTTCCAACACAGGACCTGAAATTTAACAAATGTGATGCAATATTACTAAGATGCAATTGAGATATAACTAGAAGATGGACATAAGAAAGAAAAGATAATACTATAATTCTAAAACCAATTAATAACTTTAAATAAGTGAAAATAATATTGCGATAAAGTGGTGCTAAATGTATGTACTACCCACTCTAGGGCTATATTTTACAAACCAATTATATCATATTAACTAATCAAATAGCTTGTTCAGAAAAGGATAAAGAAAAAGAGGGTAAGGTTAAAAAAGGGGAGAGATAGGCAGCCGTTAAGAACAAGAAAACACTACATTATAAAGAAAAAGTAAGCAAAAGAAATTTTAATAACCATCTGCATTTATCACTCTGCACAAAAAATCGCCGACCAAACTGCATATGATTGCAAGATACATATAAGAAGACCATTCAATTAAACTTATTCAGCATACTTTGCTCCCCAGTTGGGACTAGTCGCATGCAATCCAATCTATGGGATGAGATATCAAGAGACTAACTATATTTGAATGACTCACAAAAGCTTTCCCCCAAGCATGCAGGTGACACATGCATTATGTCCACTGCCAGTTTTAATTTCTAACTGAGATTCCTTGTCTAACACATCACTGGAATATTCTTCAGTCTGATACATATTGAGCTCAGAAATCAATTCCTTTCCATCCTGGCATAATGGATAAGAAATGGTAAGAATAATAAACTTTAAGCTAATTGAGTCAGCAAAAACGTCAATGGAGAGAAAACTTGAGGGAAAACAAAAGATACTAAGTAAAAATAAAGAAGTTAACACAAAAAGCTCTGAATAAAGACATATTACATAGAAGTTAGTACCTCTACTATAGCACTTGCATTAGTTAAAACAATCCAAAGAAATTTGCAAGAGAAAACAATTATTTGTAGGATAAAATAAATAAAGATATGTGTAACAGCAATAAAATACTAAGCAAACGATAAATCATTTGTTCTCAGCTTTAAAAATAATGATGATGATTTAGAATAATACTGCAAAATTTAACAAGAAAAAGCATCTAAGTTCAGGAACTCTGGAACCAAAATATATGTTAAGGACTACAGTCTCATCCCTTATGTTATTGCATGCAGTCTCATCCTATTAAGGACCTCTTACAGCAAATGCTTCTTTCAAAATTGCCTAAAACATGCACATAAAGCTCTTATTTTGAAGCTAAACTCAGTAAAGCATGTGAGGGATGCAAATAGAAAGCTAGGCACCATTAAGTACAAAATATACAGCTAAATATGATGTGAAAATGGAAAACAAAAACTCATATTTTAAAGAATTTGAAGTAGATCTACCTGAACAGGAAATACACTATGCAATGTGTTCCCCAGTTCTGCATTGCAAGAATAACATTGTTGTGTGGAATCAAAATCCACCCTTCAAAGGTAAAAAGAATAAATGATTGCCATCAACATATAACAATATGTCTAGGAGTTTTCATCATCAAGTTTCTCACATAATATATATATATATATATATATATATATATAGACACACACACATTAACAATACTGGTGAGTTTTAAGACCGCAAAACAACCAAAATGAAAGTAGCCAAGCCAACAAAATGGAGGATAGGGATTTAAGTTAAGCAATGTTAAAGTAAGATGAACAATCAACCGTCTTACAACATTTCAGATGCTTAAATAAACGTAAAGCATACACGGTGGCCACTTTTCAAACACAGTTACCCTTTCATTTCTAACCATAAATGAATATAGAGCTCTATGCATGCCCTTTGTAGAATAGTCACATCTATCCTACAATTTGCATTATTAAACCCCTGTTCCATCACTAGCTATGGGACCAAAAATGACAGTGTTCTATCTTCCAATGAAGTAAGCAACCGATACCAAACAAGCTGACTATTTTAGAAATAAAAAGTTATAACAGCAGTACCTCCGCCTTTTAGTACATGAAAGGTGACTCTCAACAACTTCCTCCTTGACTTCCTTGCAAGCCTCAGCACTAGTGACACTCAGCCTTCCATAGGATCCTTAACAAGATTAACAAGTTAAAGAAACAAATAATATGGTAAACCAATTTGCAGATCTTAGCAAGATAAAGATTCTTTTCACTTGTAACGTCCATATGTAGAGAACTGAGACCGCTGCTACCCAATGACAACATTCTATAACTACGAGCATTTATAGACAACAAATGTTGTCTTTTCTTTTGAAAAGCAAAAACAAAAGTTGACCTTTTTTAAATTTATAGACTATAGTTACATTAAAACATGCATGATTGCAATAATATTTAAAAGCACTAATGACCTATTTCTACCTACCTAGATAGCCGTCCCTACATTTCCTTCACAAAACTAAATCCTCATGCCCCCCAAGACACACCACACAGAACAACTTGTTTCAACGAATTAAGAAAATACAAAGAAAAAGCAGCAATAAGGAGGTGGCAGGTCACCACTTATCTAACTTAAATTTGCAAAAATTCCTCAACACCATTTTAGATACTTATCAAACAATTGGTGGAATTGAAAATGGCTGTTACCTGACACCTTATCTTTGCTTGCTCCTGATCTCAGCCATTCTCTATAACTACGAGCATCACATATCATCCTACTAGAAGGATTATTTCCAGGGTCAGCAACCCGTTTTACATTGGTGCTGCAGTTGCCATCACGTGGTTTAACTACTCCCTGAGGGCTCACCAACTCAACTTGCTCGTAGTGAAATGAACTTGAAAGTTTTCCAGGCATCTTTGAGACAGAGAAACATGAGAAGTACTGATCATCTTTATCCGACCTTCTCATAGATCCTGTCATTTGTCTCTTATCAATCCACTTGGGGGTTCTCTTAGCTTTAAACAAGGGCTTCTCAAATATTTTTGTGTTTCCACTACTCAAAGTTCTTGGTGAAGCCGGTTTGTTTATAGACATTACTCTGGTTGAACTCCTTGAGCGATTTGAATCCTTCCTGGCTGAGGCCAACGAAGCCGAACCTTTGGCGCTAGTAGAAGTCATTTTTGGACTGTCTAAACCATTACCTTCGATACTGGAACCAGATAAACTACCACTACTTTGCATGACCGCAACTGCGAGCAATTAGATTGAATAAAATAAGATCAAAATCAAATTTTTAAAAATAAACAAAAACAAGCACAGACAGAGTTACAGAAGTAAAAGAGAAACTTCTTCCCCAAGTAATTATTAATCAGACACTATTAGTCTTTGCTTTCTAATTTCTCTTTTCTATTTTTTTTTTCTCAACTCCTTCACAAAATTCAACAATCAAATCAACACTACTCTTAATCAAATCTACCTAGAATTGTTAATTTATTCAGAGGAAATTATATATTTGAAACAAAAAAAAAGGGCACAAAGAAATTTTTTTCAAAAAAGCATATATACGTTGTAGGATCAAATCAACCGTCATCAACAACAAAAAATAAACAAATAAATACATTTTTCTCGGTAAAATTAAAAAAATAAAAATAAAAATGTAAGCATGCATACACAAAACACATATTTAAATGTAAAAAAAAAAAAAAAAGAAACAAAACAAAGCCGAAGTTCGAAAATTTTAAACGGCGATTTGTTTGGTTTTTCGAGTAGACAAATCACATTAGAAAGAAAGAGTAATGATTTTCGACACGAAATAGACGAAATTTTCCAGAGTTATTTTTTTTTTCTTTTTTTGGAGGCCTGGGTTTATGTGAAGGCTTGGAAAGCAATTTATTATGACGGTTTATAAAAGACACTGTACGGACAGGGCGGAGCTGTTCTGTTGAAGGCTGCCACCTGTACAAGTACACGAGATAGTTATTTGACGGTAATTAAGCAGGGTTTAGGCTTAACTAATTGTGATTAATTAATTTGAATATAAAGGAAAAGAAAAAAAAAAGGATTTAGGTTTGGTTTGAAACAAAATGTCAAATTTACCCTTGAACTATAGTGAGGATTCATTTATAACCTTTTACTTTTTTGTAATTTTATCACTTCTACATTTTATTGTAATTTTAAACACTTACGAATGAAAATAAAATTATTAAAAGTTAATTGATCAAATATCTAAATATTGCCCATTTGCCCAAATTTTTTCTAACGTCAAATACAAATTTCACTATAAAACATAAGCATTGGTTTTAAGGTAAAAAATTAAATACCACAACAATTAATTCAACAGAGATTAATAAAAAAAGTTTATCGGATTAATTAATGTGTTTGTTTTTAAAGTTTTCTTTTTTTTTTACTAAAACCCAAAATTTTCTATTTACTAAGATTTATATTATTGTAAGTGAAATTTTTAAAAAATAAAATTATAAATAATTTTTTTATCAATATGATATGAAAAAAATATTGTAGATAAAATATTTATTTTTATTTATATGAATAGAAATGTATAAAAAATTATAATACAATGGTAAATTTGTACATAAAAAAGGTAAAATGAGATAAAAATATTTCAAATCTAATACAATGATAAATTTGACATTTTTTTCTTTTTAATTTTTTAAATTTTGGTAATGAAAAAAAGGTTCAAAATATATTTAATATGCCGTGTTAATGTATATAATCAATTACTGACATTTTATCTTATTATTTAACAAATCGCATAATGCGAATAAAGAATTACTAACTCCTCTACCTCTGTAAGTAACTTCGTTCTTAAGGATTTAAAATAATTTGTTATGATTCGAGAGACCCAACAACTATTTATCTCGATTTTTATTTACAAAAATAAAATAAATAATAACAATGTATAATGTCTATTTTTCAAAAATAAAGAAATATTTTTTAAAAATAAATTAATGTTTGATAATATATTTGTAATTAATCGAATTTAAATCGATATAATATCAAATTTAAGATTTAATTCGATTCAAAATTTGAAACTTAAAATTTAATTTAAATTTAATTGAATTTTAATTTTTTAACTCGAAATTGATTTGAAATAAAAATTAAATTATTTGAATTTTTTTTATTAACATATAAAAATAAATTTAATTATTATATTTAATAAAAATTTAATTATTTATATTAAATTTAAAGTTTAAATTTGATATATTTTATTAATTAAAATATATTAAAATATAAAATTTTAATTAAATTTATGAGTTACTCGAATAAAATATAAAAAAAATTTTAAGTAGATTCGATCAATAAATTAAATTATTCACACTTAAACTCGGTTAATAATAATTAAATTAAATTTAAATTTTATTTAAATTAAATTTAAATTAAGTATTAATATATCATTAAATAAAAATAATATGAGTGAGTGGTCAAAATTAACAGTGATTTCACCTACCCAATGAGAGGAAAATGTCCGAACCTTGAAAAGTGGCAACACAAATGGAGACTTGAAAAAATAAAAAAAATGAAAACAGAGCGGCCATTTGGGCAATTGGGTTGGTGAGATGGGGACACGCCTAGCAATGGCCCATATACTTTGAACAACACAAATCATTTCCACCAACCAGGATCTGAAAATCTCAACTTCTTCTGCTTCTCCTTTTTCTTCCTTTTCTCTTTCTCGCTTTTCGCTTCACCAAACTATCACCGGCAACCCCGAACAAATGGCCTATGAAGGAGTTCTCTTGGGGATGGGCAATCCTCTCCTTGACATTTCATCAGTCGTGGACGAGGATTTCTTGAAAAAGTACAGTTATAACAGTTGATTTCATTGTTTTTGTTATGTTGGGATTGATTGGTTGTTGTTGTTGTTGAATCTGAGTTGGTTTTGGTTTTGTTTTTGGTTCTGATTACAGATACGATATCAAGTTGAACAATGCAATCCTAGCTGAGGAGAAACACATACCCATGTGAGCAAAATTTGTTTTGGTTTTAAATTTGGTTTTAAAGATCTAAAGATTTGTTTTTGTTTTCTTATTTTAATATGAAACCTGATCAACTGCAATTGTGATTGTTATTTATGGTAGTGTTAGTTTATGTATTAAGCACTTCCTTATTGGATCTACTAGATCAAATTTTTATTCATTTCCGTTATGACATTGATATGTTCTTCTAATCTTTTTGTTCCCTCAAATGTCAAATTGTTGATTTGCTTGTTTAGCTAGTTATGCATATGGAATAATTGATGGTTAATCTACGTGCAAAATTGTTTGTGTCCCTTCCTAGTTTAGAGCAAAGGTGGAAAGTTATAAACTTAAACACCTTTAGTATAAACAAATTTGGACATATGACGAAAAAAGTTTCAAAGAATGAGTTGCCTGACATGCTGGACTGCCAATCTTTAGGGCGAATGTGACTTTTTGCAATGTAGTTTAAGATGTGAAACTGAAACCATATCTCATTTTAGAATCAATTCCCTGAAGGAGAGGGTTAACTCTGTCATCATTCTCCTTCAGAAAGAAGATAGAGTATTTAGTGTCTCGCCTGACCTAATAGGTTCAGAACGATATGATCTGTTGGTTGAAAACTTGAGGTTCCAGTGTGTTGTTGAGTTTAATATTACAGTTTCGACCTTCCCTCTAGCGAGATACATTTGTCTTGTTAATCACACCTGTTTACAAGCATGGTATGCACTGTTCTTAATGGCTTTCTATGACAGGTATGAAGAAATGGCTTCCAAACCTAATGTAGAGTATATTGCTGGAGGTAATGCATGGACTGCCTTGGTATTTGACATTTTTTTAAAAGAAAACGAGAAGTTGGATTTTGAATTTTCAATCAGAACTTGGGGGATTTTAATGATTCTCAGTTTTATTATGTGCAGGTGCTACTCAAAATTCAATCAAAGTTGCACAGGTATATCGTGGTACATTTTATTTTGGCTAGAACTTTGGAAAAATGAAATCATATCGTTTATTTCTACCATAGACTGAGTTTCTTTTTGCCTTATGCAGTGGATGCTTCAAATTCCTGGTGCAACTAGTTACATGGGTTGCATTGGGAAGGACAAGTTTGGGGAGGAAATGAAGAAGAACTCCACAGCTGCTGGTGTTAATGTGAGTACTCCTAAAACATTTACCCCTAACCTCTAAAAGAATTGAAAAGAAAAGTGAGAAAGGAAAAACAGAAAACCAAGTATTGTATTTGTTCTTTTATTTCAGTTACAGACTGCTTTAAGCGTAATAGGTTATGCTTCTTTTTTTATGTCCCTTCACCTTCCTATTTCTCAATGCGAAATTATTTTAAGTTGCATTTTCACATTTCATATGGTTTGGAACTGAAAATAATAGTATTATTGATGTTGTATGATGCATATTAATTAGGTTCACTATCTTGAGGATGAATCTGCACCAACAGGAACTTGTGCTGTTTGTGTTGTGGGTGGTGAAAGGTCAGTTTGACAACAAGCTTTATTTTTCCTTGTTTCTTCTACACTGCCAATTTATTGTTTGTTATGTTTGCTCCAATTATTAAGATGTTATCTAAGCATATATGTTTTATCCACCGGAGTAGCAAGATTCAATGTTAGATCTATTATAGGTCACTCATTGCAAATCTGTCAGCTGCAAATTGCTACAAGTCTGGGCATTTGAAGAGGCCAGAGAACTGGGCATTGGGTACTCTTTTTTTCTTTTATATTATTGGATATGGCTTTCTTTTTGTTAGTTTGGTCTAATTATACATTAATTGAAATGAACAATTTGATGTCACTCTGGTTATAGCTTCTAAGGACTAATTTGTTTGTAACATATTTTAATGCAGTTGAGAAGGCCAAGTACTTTTATATTGCTGGATTTTTTCTCACCGTATCTCCAGACTCCATACAGCTTGTTGCTGAACATGCAGCTGCAAAAAACAAGGTATATTACGCCACACACAACTGAAATCCCTCTTTATACTTCTGTTCCTGGCTTAGTGGACTGAAACATTTATTTTGTCTGCAGGTGTTCTCTATGAATCTTTCTGCTCCATTTATTTGTGAGTTCTTCAAGGATGCACAGGATAAAGTTCTACCGTAAGCATTCTATCATATTTTTCCAGGGTGGAATAAATGTACACGTACTGAAATTAGTCTGAATTTCATTTCTATTAGGTATATGGACTTTGTCTTTGGCAATGAGACAGAAGCAAGAACCTTCTCAAAGGTTCATGGCTGGGAGGTAATAGCTGTTAAATATCAGATGCTATGGGGGATTGTTTATGTTTTGTGTTTGACCTGTTTGGCTATTTTGCTGTCCAGACTGATGATGTTGCAGAGATAGCCTTGAAGATTTCTCAGTGGCCGAAAGCATCTGGAACATTCAAGAGGATTACTGTTATTACTCAGGGTGCTGATCCGGTAGTTGTTGCTGAGGATGGGAAAGTGAAGCAGTTCCCTGTAATATTGTTACCCAAGGAAAAACTTGTTGATACAAATGGTGCAGGTATATGTTCTTTCCCTCTTACCTCCCAGACTTGACAACTGTAAACGCTAAAATCAGCTACTGTCTGAGACACATATGTAGAAAATAGAAGAGTAGAGGATGGAGGGTTTGGGACGGTGGGCGAGTGGATGAATGAAGAAATAGTTAGGATTAGTTGTCATATGATCTGACTTTGATCCCATTTGGCATATCGGTGAGTCTAAAGCAGAATCACAACCATGTAATGGAGTCACTCTTAACAATTGAATGCTATTTTCTGCAGGTGATGCATTCGTAGGAGGCTTTCTTTCCCAACTGGTTCAAGGGAAGCCCATTGACACATGCGTAAAAGCTGGTTGCTATGCATCCAATGTTATCATCCAAAGGTCTGGGTGCACATATCCAGAAAAGCCCGAGTTTAACTAAGCTATTCTACTTAATTGGTCTCTCCAACGGTGTTGTTTTAAAATTTGATTGTTGAGAACACTTTGCTAGTATTTGATCTTTGTATTTTGCTTTTATTTGCCGGCCATTTCCATGGCTGCATCCAGAAATAGCCTGAGAAACTCTATATAAGAGAATGGCATTCCATCCCTATGTCAACTGAATGTAGTCTGTGATGTCCTTTTCATCTATCTGTTTCATTTCATAAGCTCATGGTTGAGACCATGTTTTCAGCTTTTTCTACGTTCTTGCATTAGAGAGCAGGCCAGAAGTATTGTTATAACTTTCAATTTTTGTTACATGCGCTTGCATTAATGCTTAAAGCACCCATCAAGACCTTAATTACAGCATGGAGTAGAAAATCAAACCATACCATGCTATTATACAACAAACAGTGCTCGTTGAAGCTAAGCATGGCACCTGAGGTTGCAGAGTGTATCATCAACCAATGCCTCCATGGGAGGTTAGAAACCAGGCGATAGAGCAGACATTGCCCGGAATTCTTTCGTTGAAATCGAAGGACACATTGTGGTCAGTGACACATTTAGAACCCACCATTTCTCCACCATGAGTAAGTAGAAATGATCTGGTTTGGTTGTATTTGTTGAATATAAATAAGAGCATCAAATCATTAAAAATTAAAATTTGTAATAGTTATATATTTTAATGCGTTTGATAATTTGTTTTACAAAATCCACTTAATGCACTAAGCTAATTTTATTTAAAGAAAAAATGTTAGCTAATTGCTTTAATTTCATATTCTTTCATTTTAATAAGTTATTCTTTTCTTTTTAACTTTTTTCAATTAAAAATAATTATAAAATTATATCTTTTTTATTAGAAAAATAAATAAATTTTTACTTAATATTTAATTTTCGGTAACATACCAAATAATTTTTATATCATAAATTTAATACGTAGTTTGTAAATATCTCTTTACTTTTCTTGGATCAAATCAAATTACGCCCAAGTTGGGGCCCAACTACTAAATATCCGCCCATCAATGATTTCTAGGCCCGGATTTTTCCAACACCCGCGGTTCTTTCCTCCCCAATTTTGAAACAAAAAAAATTCTTCTTAAACCAAAAAAGGAAGTCAGAAAACCGGAAAAACAGAAGCCCTTTCTCTATTCAAACACCAATGCTTCACATCCCATAAATCTGAACCAAAAAAAAACCGCCATGACCGATCACCGCCACCGGTTCGGCCAAATTCGGTCTACATCTCAGATCTTAAAAAAGACCGCCGTGCATTTCACCGCTCACCCTTTCACATTCCTCTTCCTGTCTTTCCTCCTCCTCTCATTCCGTTCCTTAGTTGAATCTGGTTCCCTTCTCCTCACTTCCTTTATCGACCGTGATCCTTCTTTCAAATCCCTTCTTTCCCGCCTCGACCTCCATCCTTCCCAGCCACACGCGCGTATCCACCCCTCTCGTCGCCACACGCGCCGTCCTTTCCTCCACCTCACGCGTGTCGGTACTCTCGACGACGACTTCTTTTCGTCCGACGATGATCGCCGCGGCCGCTCCCTCTTCGGTTCTTTCACTAACCGCCCCGTCAATGGCACGCCGGTGATTCTTTCCAACTTCGACTCTAAATTGGGGTTTTCGCATTTCGTTGCGGATAACGGAATTCTGCTACCGGAAATTGTACGTTACGGAGTCAAATTCAAAACGACCTCGTTTGATTATGAAAACAATGAAAGGGAACAACAAGAAGAAAGAATTGTGGATTTTCAATTCGTTTATAAAGGATTGGACTTGGGCCGCCGTGACATAGAGGCGCTTTTCTTTCTCGTCAGCATTTTATCGGCGGCGTATGGATGGGTAATTCTATTGTTTACAGCGATTTACTCTTTGGTGTTGGGTGTTCTTTTTGTTACAATTGTTAATGACTTGATTGGAAGATTTGTTTCCCTTTCTGGGGCTTTTTGGGGTGGGTCAAAAATAGGTTTGAAACGACTCACTGGGTTCGTTTTAATGAAATGGGCGGTGAGGGACGCGGTGACTCAGCTTCTTGGGTTATGGTATTTCGGAGAAATTGAGGATCACTACTCGTTTTTCAAGCTTTTTGTTAGGTTAAAATTGATGCCTTTTTCGGTTATGTCACCGTGGATTAGGGGTTTTGAGAAGGAAATTTCAGGGTTTTTGTTCACGTGGTTTTTGGTGGACACTTTAGTTTCATTTGCATTCTCATTAGCTGCTTGGATTGCCATTGTGGATTCGAGAAGAAGCGGGAGGGAAGTTTTTAAAGAAGGTTTTTATTTGATGTCAACAATGTTGAACCAAGCGATACAGATTAAGTGTTACGAATCTATCTTTGGTGGGTCTCTTGCAAGATGGATTTTGACTCATATAGGTGGGGAATTTTTTGCTACGGTTATTCAGGCAGCTTTGGAGGTGTATTTCATGGTGGCTTGGTTGATATTTTACTTTGTGGTGAGGTGCAAGGAAGCAAATGCAGAGGGTAGGAGGTATGGGAGGAGAGAATTGGAGGTTTTGATTGATGGACTTAGATGATACTCTAGTGGGAAAGAAATGGGTTGAAGTTACTTTTGCTACTAGAATTTTCGATTGTGACACTGAAGATAGCTGAAGATAGTGGCAACCTTTTCAAACTCTTTGAGTTTTCCTGTTTTTGCAGCGCTAGTGATGCAGTACTACCATTGTTTGGTGTAAGAACCTGCCAATGCATTGCATGTACTTTTATCATGAGGCAATATATTACTTGTGTATATTTTTCACAAAATTGCTTCTGTGTATATTCTGTTGCAATCAATTGTTTTTTACTGCCTTGCTGTCTTGCTGGTGTCAATGAGAATGGTAATGGTTTCTCATGCTTCAAATGTTTCTAATGCTCTTATACTTAGAACGTTACCTTTTTTGGTCTGGCCTTTTCCCCTTTCCTCCTTTTGCATATGCTAATGTTCTGAATTTCTCTATTAGCACTGCCTGAGCCTTTTCTTGTTTTTACCCCACTTTTGATTGATAAATTTTGTTAGTAAGATGCCGACAGATGTTACCTTGCAGTCCATTGGATTATTGAATGAGGAAACAATAAAGGCTTTTAAGTTGTGGAATGCTGGATAGTGAGTATACATACTACTGTTTTATAGGGTTAATTTGATGAGCTTTAGGAAGGAAACAATCAGCAGACTGAGAAAGGTTATATATGTAATGAAGGTGTGATGAATGTTATGTTAGTTGGTGAAGAGAAGAGAAAAAGAGTTTATTCATGAAACGCACACCTCAGGGCTCGCTTAAATATCCCATACACTTACTTGATTTGGCTGTGAATTTTTTGATTTGCCATTTTATTGGAGTGAGGAAAAGAAGGAATTGTAGAAATTGAATGGGAGGCATGCTGTGTTACATATGCATTTTAAGCTGTAATGGGCAGATAATTGGGATGTGACATGCAATTTTAGCAAATATTAGATGATGTTTGTATGCCAGGGTATCAGAACAAGAGAAAAGCATGCAACATTGCCTAGATTAGGGCAGCTTCTACATTTTTTTAACCTGTTTGTACTGATGATTTTTAAAGGTTATGGAAAGTTGCTAGTAATTGTTGCCAAAGTTGCGGAGTCTAGTGGAGTTCAATTAGTTGGCTTTGTGAGATTTAAGGGGATCTACCTTAACAACTTAATGTGACGGACTTTAATGATGAAGGCCCGCTTGTCTTCACAAGGTTCAAAATCTCAGATCACTAAAATGATGTAACAAATAAATTGTGAAAATTATCCTCAAAATGGATTTTGCTATTCCAATGTTTTTGGCTATTGGGTAGCAGCAGTAATGAAGCGGCTGATCTGCCAATGCCGTTGGACAGGTTAAATGGTACTGGTTTTGGATTTTAAAAGTCGCTTATGGGCTTTGGCCTTCAAAATTCATTTACCTCCATCCATGTTAGTGGCAATCAGAAGCTTTTGGGCTTTGGCCTTTGATCTCTTGTGAAGGAGGATTTTATCATAAGCGTTATCTATGGATTTCTACTCACTAATTTTTCTGATAGTGTTGGTTGATATTTTTATGATTTTCAGATGCAAATGCATTTTAGTCGGTAGCATTTCGTCTTTCTGTTGACTCCACTAGTATGCCTTATAATTTTTGGACAAGTTTCCTTTGGTCCTTCATGTGGAAAACACTCAATTTTATCAATATTTTTTGGACACTTGAGCAAGCGTGGATGAATGACGTGTAGATTTATTGTTGTACGAAGAATGAGTTTCTGTACCTTTTCACCTTGTTATAGACATCCAATGCTAATGTGCAAAGAATACAAAACAAGAATCAACCATATGTCAAATGGTGTATGATTCTTATTGGCCCAATATTTGAGAGATTCAACCATTTTCACTACTGTTCCTGTACTTTTAGGATGTCAATTCTATCACTTGCCCCGTGCAGAATTGTTGCTCGCTGGTTGATCGCCTTCTCTGTTTCTCTTTTAGTTGTTCATTTTTGTTTTACCGAGTGTCTGGTTGGATAATGAATTACTCAATGTTGGTTGAATGAGAAAGTTGGGAACCTGGGAATATGCAGAGCTACTGGAGATTATGTCAGTGTGAATCATCATGTGGAATCTATGAAAATGTGCAGGGTGCAGCGCATAAGTGATTTGTAAACCTATCTATCATCATGCATATGAGCATATATATAAATATATATATATATATATATATTCCACGCTGACATTGTGTAACTGGCTGGGATTCTATTATTGTCTTGAGTTTCAAGCATCATGCTTGCCAATCGAGTCATAATTTGATTTCAAGCATTTGATCTCTAAACTTTTTTATTCTTCTTGCAGCATTAGCTCCCGAAATTTAAAACATATAGGCCAACCTCAAAACAATTCTGCTCTGATAATCTTGGCACTGTCAGATTCTTCTTGATTAATTACCTGCCTTTTCCTTGTATCTTTTAGCACCTGAGATGGGCTCGAGGAGGGTAAGGAACTTGCATCTTCAGCTACAGCAAATGTTTTTGGTACTACGGTCTAGCATATGGTCCAACTGGAAACTCTCAGGATGTTGTCAAATGGTGGGGTCTGGTCCAGCTTCTTGTTCGGTGTTGATCTGGCATCTTATTGTATTTACTGGGTCCTACTTGGGCCCAAGAGCTTTCACATGCCTTGAGCACTTGATGCCCTTAGAGACAGAAATTACAAGGGAAAACAGAAGTTAAATATTTTTTTAAATTGAATTACATTTATAGGCTACAGAAATTATGTTACAATAGTATACTCAGTATACTACATATATTAAGCATTCTCATTAGGACTTGAACCTTGTGAATAAATCAAATTTCTAGCATGAATTCCTAAAGACACTGGGAGAGTCTTCGATCTGGGGGATAGCTAGCACAACGAACAACATCGAGGAAGAGGCTTTCATCACAAGGAATGCAGAGTTTGGAGTCAGTGGTAAAATCATATTCATCTCGAGCTTGATCCAGCAATGACTTGAAAAGTGAGTGCTTGAGCAAGGTGATTTTAATAACAAACCTCTTATAGTTTTCACCAACATACACTACTAAGTGACCCCTTGGCACATCTCTTGGGATTGAGCTCTCTTCATGGCGCATGGAATAATTAGGCCACTTTGCCCACTGATTACAGTACTCACAACTTCTACAAGGTATGACTCTACTCCCCATCTTCCTCCATTTGTTTAGGCATGCCTTAAGAAACTTTCCCTTCATTTTCTTCCAAGGAAATTAAGTAGATATTGGAGGAAAAAGAATTAGTCGCATATATCTGAAATGGAGATCGAGTTTGGTTTCAATGGTGAAGCAGATGAAGTGAAAGAAAGGGTTATATAAATATAAATATATATATATATATATATATCAGTAGAACTGAAAAAGAGACGGTGTCTTTGGAGGGAGCATTAAATGGTTGATATGACAGGTACGTAGCTGATCGACTATAGAGAAGGTGAGAGCTCGATCAAGTCTTGGTAAATATGTAGTATATATTTGTAATGATATTTTTCTTATTAAGCGCAAATATATATATATGACAATTGAGATGGTTGCCTCGGTTTGCCGGGCTGTACCCTTCTTTTTCCTTTCTAGCATTTGTCTTTATACGAAATTGTACGAACATGCATCTCATGACGTAAAAGCTATACAAAATTATTGCTTCAAGGTCAGACAGGAAGTCTCTCTCTCTCTCTCTCTCTCTCTCTCTCTCTCTCTCTCTCTCTCTCTCTATTGCTCTTTTGAGAGAGAGACAGAGGATGGTGGATGATCAGTGATCTTTGAAGTTAAGGCCCCACAAGTTGTGAGTGGAAAAGATAAGATATGAAAGAGGGATGGGATGAGCTTCTTGGGCAAAGTGCGATCCCACTTAAAATTTTGTTGATATATATGTGAATGTGAGTAGTATTAAATGGATATTGTAAAATATATTAAAGGAAGGGAAAACGAAAGCTTTTTATTAATCCTTCCCATTTCAGTCATGTTCATGTTAAAACCATTTACTTTAATCCAAGCACATACGTAAACCATTGCTTGGCTGGAATTCACATTTGGCCAAAATGTTGTCAGCAGCAATTTGTCCAGATTTTCTTTAGATTGAAGCAGCAATTTCTTGTTTTTAAGTTTCCTTTAGGTGGCTATAAGTTATTGTAGATCTTGGATTGGAGGGTCTGGAATAAAAACAAAAAACAGTGTACAATTTTCGTCCATAGGCTTTACTTTAAAGATGGCTGCTTTGTTCTGCGGCTGGATTCGGGATAAGTTTTGCGTATCTCTGCACCCTGTCTGTGCATGCATGTAATGGGCTATTTGCTGCAAAACAAATATGGAAAGAAACAACTTAGGTTGCAGTCTTAACTTGCCAGAGGAAAATAAAAGAAAAATAATAATAAAAAAGGAAGCAAAGGGAATGGAAGTCGCATTCGAATCTTGCAATGATCCTTCCTTCCCAACGGTTGATAGTTGGAAACATTCTATACTTGGCTCCATATCTTACGGACCAAACCAATAGTTTATAGGCTCTTTTAGCATGAAAACATCCCCACATTAATATATTCAAGATTTATTTTAATTAATACATTTTATGAATTCTGTAAACTTCCAATGTTAATGAATTCCAGACTATGGAAAGAAAAGGAAGAGAGATATCGGTCATTTGTTCAACTTTTGTTTCCTGAGAAAGATGATTGAAAAGCCAGCAAAGGGTTCATCCCCTGAAGACAATATGTGCTGCACTCGGTTGCTGAAGGAAAAAAGGAGCCTCTCAATTGTATACATCATTCGGATAGAGCTGCCAACAGTTTTGCAGACATGGTGAGAGAGAGTGAGATAGACAAGAGAAAAGGAGTTAATACTAGTAGTATTGTGGAGTCCATTTCTCTTCAGCTTCTCTTTTTAATGAAAAAAATATACATTTTTGTTTTTTAATGGTGGAACTGTGGATGAGATAGTCTAAAAAAAACACAAGATTAAAACTCTGTATAGTTATATTTTACCTAGCTAGACAGCTAGTTTGGAGCTTGGACTGTGAATAAATAGTTTTTAGATGTTACATACATGAATGAATGAAGTCAACAAAGAAAATGAATATGATTTCCTTCAGTGGAATTTCATTAAATGAGAAATGGAACAACTTCATGTTATCAATGCATTGCGGTGGCAGTACCAAGAAAAGAAAAGAAAACCAACCTAATTTTTTAATGGCTAACCACTATTGGAGTTTTCGTAATGGTGTATTAGGCAGGCAATTCCAATAGCCTTTCTTTGACTTGGGATTCGGTGCCAACTTAACTAATTCTTCATCACAATTCACAAGGCTATTTAGATTTTAGATGTAAGCCAATTGGGACTCTGAGCTCCAACCTATTCTCCATCTCAATCAATGATCTCATCTTTCTAAGCAAAACATTCGTAGAAATGAACTAGTTTTAATGTTAGAAGCAAATCAATCCTCTTCAACAATTTCCCTTTTTTAAAAAAAAATCACTAATGATTATAAAAATTAGAATGTAATCTCAAAACTGAAAGGTTTGAATTTTTTTTATCCATATGTATAATAATACTTAAATTTTCAATCTCCTCCATCATTGATTCCTTATATATCATAAAAGTAAATTATATATACTTGCAGACTTATAACTTTGTACCTATTTATATGCATTTGGAATATCTAACATGTTTTCCACACAAAGCTTCACTTCTATATTTATTTTGAACTGTTCAATACACATTGATCACTAGAATATTAAAACAATGAAGAGTTATTGGAACATGTAAGTTCTAGTCTGGATCATAGCAAGCAACCTCTATGAAAGTGTGACACTGTCTGAAAAATTAACTCTGGAGAAGAGGAGGAGGAGGAGGAGGGTGAAACATTGTCTGAAATTGTAGGGAAGGATTGTAGTTAGTGACAGAGTCTCGATAGGTTGGGGAGTGCTGTGTAGCTGAGAAGGGGACGTGGGTGCACAGGAGGGCCGGGCCACCACAATTGTTGATGTCCAACTGCCTTAACAAGAGTAAGAACCTGAAATTGTAAGATTAAAGGTTGATTAATGGTAAAATAAAAAAGTTTTTTCTGCGTTTGTATTTTAACATTTAAGTTAATATTCAAAAATAGAGGATGAAAAAAAAATGGTAACAAAAACCAAAGAATTGAAGAAATAACACCTGAAAGAAAGGAGCTATTTACACTTATAGGATAAAAATATCAAATTCGAATGATTTAAAGTTAAAGTGATGGGATTAGAATTGACATTGCTAATTCAATTTAATTTAGTGGTCAACAATTGAATTAAAAGATAACAAATCAATATTTTAACATATTTTCAAATAATAAATTAAGATGATCAAACTAACATAAATTTTAAAATTTTAAATCAATTTGATATATCAATTTGAGTCAAATTAATTAAATTGCTCGCATCTTATCTGTAGCTCACACTCTAAAACAAAATATCCATGTTACCTTTTATACGTAAAATGCCCCTATTAACAACCAAACCCCAAGTCCAACCAAAGTTCTTTAAAAATGGTTCAGTGGCTCACACAACTCACCAGAGTTTATCGAGATACACCGAAGCAAGGAAACAGCTTAAACCGAGAGTTGGTGACGCATCAAACCGCAATCATATTATGCCTCGGTCTGGGGGCCGCCAAAAGCTTACCAAGTGTCTTCAAATTTCCAATGATTTGATTAGACTTTCTTTCTCCATATCCCTCAGTTTTTTTTTTCTCAGCTCCCTGAACGACTGCGCGTGCATTCTCCTGTTTCTATTAGCTGTTCCCCCTCGCCTTCATTTGGATCTATTGTTATTTATATTTTTTTATTCCCTCAACTGCCTTCCCATGGTTACTCCCATTTCCCATTAATTCCTTCCCATGCTTCAATCGGGAAGCAAGAAGTTCGAAGATTTTTTCCACCCTTCCCTTGCTTCCTCTTTTGGCTTTGTTTACTTCTTTTAACGCTACTTTTTTTGATTCAGAGGGTTACTTGTTGGGAGTTCATTCATGTCCTCGACATAATATTGATCTATACTCTCGGAACTGGAAGAACAGTAGAAACTTAAGCCTTGTATTTTGGTTATGGTTTGTACTACGCATATGCAGGCGGCAGCCCAAGCTTGTTGACCAACCCCGACTCTGTCATGCCTTTTACCCTCCCGGCTAGGGGTAGATCTGAAGTTGGGAGATGCTACCTTTCTTTTTACGTAGAGAAACTATAAGGGCAACATCACAGTTCCACAGGAAGGCTCAAGGAACCCTCCAAATGCCCCGTACTTTACGCCCTCTCTAACTCTGGCCAAGGCTTTATTTGCCTTTATTATTTTTCCACACGTGCTGAAAATCTTCTGAATGCCCCCATACTTTAAAAGAGCATGGGAACCTATGTCCGTTACTGGAAAATACTACAATATGTAAGTTGGATATGGGTAACACTCAGAAAGTCAATAATGCTAGCAACAGCCAAATAAACGTCAGTTAGCGATGGCTATTAAAAATGTAAAATTTGTTTTCACTTGTGCAACATTTACCAGATATTTCTAATGATCTGAGAACATTTATATGTGCAGATCGCGGCAGTTGTTAGGGGGACTGTAGGGAAGAACACAGCTTCTTTACAAATATAATTGGAATTTTGCTTTACTGCAAATTACAAATGCTTCTTCAGCTACACTTCTTCCTACGTAAATTTCTTCCATGAGAGTAAACTGAAGCACCTTTAGTTGTCGGTTGTTTGGATGAAGGAACATATTCAACAGGTGAAATTTTTGGGCTGCGAACCTTTGGATATGGGTGAATGGTGGCCAGTTCACGGATGCGGCATACCACAGGCTTTGGTAGGGGGCGTACAGCATGCTTCAAATTAGTCTCAACCTGCAACTAACATTTTAAATAATGATTATACTATAAGATACACTATAAACTACTCTTAATGAACATACACTGCTCATTCCTGATTATGCAATTTGACAAGCAGAAGATCACAAGTAAACATTTGTCCTAATGATATACATTTAGATGGTCAACCCTGCATCGGTGCATCCCATATCATTTCATACTTTACCAAAAGGGAGAGTTTCAAACATGCAAACCTTAAGAATCCAGGGTCGGCAAGGACTCCAAGCACTTGGAATTCAAAATACATTCTCAGTAATTTAAGAGATAATTGCAATCAAGGGACTAGTATTAAGCAAATAGAATAATTTAGAGATACAAACAATTGAAGAGAAGACTACCCTATTCCGGTGGAAGCAAATGAAACTGCAAATGAAGCCGGAAACAAAAAAGAAAACAGAAAGCTAACCTCTCTCCTACTGTGCTTATGTGCAGAGCTAGATCTTAGAAGATTTCGCCATTTATCCTGTATAAAGCATTCATATTTAAAAATAATTCAAGTTTTAAAACAAGAGGGGACCATATTGATTGGATAAAGCAGAAAGGTACCCTCAGATCAACAGGAGTTCGATGAGCAGATGATGCAAATAGATGCCTTTTTATATCAGTCCATCTTCCAACACCATACTGAGCAATTCCATCAACCAACTTAATCACCTCCGAAACAGTCCACATCCTTTGATGCTTCCTCCTATCAAAAGCTGTTTTGGTTCTTTTGGTTCTCTTACGCTCATCTTCACATTCAGATGCAGAAAGCTCACAATCAGATTCAAGCTCCTACACAGAAAACGAGTAAAAATAATCTTAAAATTTTAAGTTATCATGCTTAAGAAAGTAGTAGGGTTCACTACAAGACATAGAAAACAAGGAACAAGAATGCTATCTACTCGTGCAACTGAAAACAAAAGTATCACATCCTTGATAGTCACTTGTCTTCTGTTTTCTCACTCATAGTTTTCATATAAGAAAACCTCACATCAATAATACATGCCGTACTAAAATGCAGCCAAAAAAACCTGCCAAGAAGTCAACATATATGGGTTACCAGTAAGCACAGAGGAATACGAAACAACCATTTCCTTATGCCTAATAATTTTAGATGCATTTATGGCAAATATAACATATCTGCAGCTAGCATCCATCTTTCCTCAATGCTCAATAAGTCTTTCTGGTTGTCATGGCCACCACACGGTATTCAAGGCCAATACCTAAATCTAAATAAATGAAAATGATGAATAGAAACATAAACAAGCTAGAGAAGAGAGGAAGGAGAGAGGCTGGGAGGTCCGAGTAACCTATATCTAGAAGGACAATCTAAAAGAATATAATAACTGGGGCAACAATGGAACTTCTCCTACCAATTTTGGCACAATTTTCTTGGGACGCCCTCTCTGTCGCCTGGATTCAGATGGCACTTGAGGAAGTTCTTCTTGTGATTTGACTTTAAGGCGCTTATTCTTTCCAGAAGTAGTAGAATTTCTAGAAAACTCTTCAATATACCTCTTAGTAGGCTTCCGCAGTCTCTTCTGTCTGAGAAGTGTGCCACCCTTTGTTACTTTAACAGAGCTTTTTACCTTTTTAGTAGACAATACAAAACTTACTAAAGGTTTTTCATCATCATCAGACTCATCAAAATCTTGCACATGTTCTATAGTAGGATGAATGGTGCCCATCACTGGAGCCTGACACCCACATTTGTTCCTAAAGTTATGATGACAATCACATCTGAACATCTTTCCAAGCGCACCATTCTTGCCGTTGGATTCTTGAACGGTTGCAATTGATGATTCTGATATGCCACCAGCACTATTACTAATTCCACTAAACCCAGGTGAACGACTTTCTGAACTTGAGTTACGCAAATTTGATCCTTTATGTGGACTGCAATCCAATTCAGAAAACTTTTCTGGAAATTCAATATCTGCCCTCAAAAGGAAAACAGAGAAAGAAAAAAGAGGAAACACAATACATGAGCATCATGTGTTATAGCACACAACTGGTAGACAATTAATACAAGCACAGACAAGACTCACCCAAAAGAAAATCTTCACAAGCACCCGAGAGATCATTGGCTGCATGAATATCATCCACTTCATCAACTTCATCCAGCAATCCATCAAGAACCTACTAAAGCAGTATTTCAACAGATATCAGCATATACCCTATGCATGTTTGCATATAGTGACTACAATATTCAAAATCAATGTATAAACAAAAAATAAAAGGAAAAGCAATAACAACCACATACAAAGCATATGACAGAAAAGTTAAAGAAAATAATGCATCAAATAATGACTTGGCCGTGACATGAAAGCCTCAAAAATAAGCAATACATACTTCAAGCTTCAAATCATCTCCTCCTTGACCATGGATAAAATCCAGCCCACCTTATCAAGAATCACAAAAGATATAGCAGCATCAGAAGAATAACTATAGAAATTGAAAATAAAAATCTGAACAAAAGCATTCTTGTGTTCAACAAAGGAGTTGTAGGGTTAGTGTCTAGTTTCTACTATTTCATTGTCTCATCCTTGTGCAATATTTGAGAAACATTTGACAACAATAAATAGCATCAAATCTTAGAACACTACCCAAAGACTGTCCCTGCATCCCTGTGTGACTCATAATTTTCATGTCTCGAAATGATTATGACAATTCATTACTTGAAATCAAGTCTTAGAACATCTAGTCCAAAACTGTCCCAGCTTCCATGCACAACTCATAATTTTCAGGACTTTAAACAATTATGATAACTTTTGAGTTATGCACACCAACTGATGGGGAAAAACAAAAGAAGACAGTTACTAAGCAGGATTAGATTTGTTCAAACAATTCAGAAGTAAAAAGCTCAATATCACCAGAAACAATTATTTTAACCGGTTTAAAGCACAATAGATGTTGGTTGTGCACGTGCAGAACTAAGTACAGAGCAAATTTGTGCACAAATCATTCTACAAAAGCATGTTAGCAAGTTCATGCATATAGAACACATGGTCTTTGCTCCTACTATATTGTTTTGATTTTTACTCCCCCTGTAGAGGGAACTACACAGTTTGGTCTTAAAGGGAAGAGACAGACCCATTGTAGAGTAGTTATCAAACATTCTAGATGCTTCTGCACTCTACCAGTCACAAATTAGAAGCACTTCAAAGATCATTTTCTTTTTCTTTTAAGTTTTGAAACAAAAGCATCAGCAAAAAGCATAGTGACAAGCTGATAAGAGTATTACCACAATTAATTTTCCAGCCATAATCAAAAGCACAAGAGAAATCCTCCATTTTCAAGTGCTTTTCTAAATTTTCCTTCCCAAAACATAGGACTCCGTTTGCTGAAACATGCTCACTTTTAGGTTCCGCAAGTAAATGCTCAACCTCAGTTGCTTCATCTCCCACACCATGAACAATGGATTCATCTACCTGCATCCAGAGAACAAAAGCAGGGGAAGGAAGGCAGGGAGCAATGTAGAATTTATCAATTTTACATGCTTATTTAAGGAGAATGCCATAAGCAAAAGATTTTGAGGGGAAGCCAGAGACTGTAAGGCGCTTATAAATCAATGAAAAGAGGCAGGAAAAACAAAGAAACATAGAAAGAAGGATGAATTAACCGAAAAGATTAAAGAAAAGTTTCTTACCCTTTGACATTTCATATCAGCAAGCTTTTTTATCAAATGTGGTTTCCGATCAGTTTTCATTTTATTACCTTAACTTGTACTACAATTCCAAGCCCCCATTCATGTGTCCACTTTTTCCCTATAAACAAATGGAAAGAAATTTATAAAATTATTGTCTTCTTGTGCATCAGAAAATGGCTGGCTTAATACACCCAGGCAAACAAACATTTGTTCTTCCATTAATTAACCCAAAGAAGGAATTTAAAATAAAGAAACAACACTTTTGGGCGTAATCATCAATATAGAAAATTGATAATCGAACTTATTTTCTCACCTTCATCCAAATTGGTAACTTTTCAAGGGACTAAGAGTACCATAAAATATCAACGATTCGAGCCATATTACAACTAATAATCTCAATTCAAAGACAATACTTATTTTCTTCCTGCCTTTTTTCTTTTTTTTTTTGGGGGGGGGGGGGGGGTGGGTTTGTCAAAATTGGCCTTGAGCATACAGTACACAATAATAAAAGTATCTTAAGTTCTTCATATTCTATTAACATTCTTTTTATGAGCAAACTGCATATCAGCATAGCCAATTCTAATTTCAACTGTATAATACTCTAAGCTCATAATTCCTTCTACTTTTTAATACCGAAAGAAATGAGTGACAAAAACTATGAAGCAACGGATACAGTCAATTTAAAACGCCAGGAAACAAACCCCATTTCTTTTTTGGGGGATAAATAACAAACCCCATTTCAAGCACGCATCCATACAAGATTTTTCAACAAAAAAGACGAGAGGAAAATAAAAAAATTTCATTTTAATGTAAAAAGATGAAAAGGGTGAAAATCAAGTATACGGAATTTCAATTAGGATTTAACGTTAACAAAAAAAAAGAAAAAAAAAGTTTGTTTATGAATTGCAAGTAAAATTTTATTTAAAAAAAAAAAAAACTAATTTTTCAGTTCTATTACCTACATTTCTTAGGAGAAATAAAAAAAAAAACATATCTTTACAGTTAAGTGGGCCTACTCTAGCTGTTCAGTTCAGCTAAATTTTTTCTTTCTTTTTAATTTCTAATCTCAGCAAGAAAATGAGAAAAAAAAACTTGGGAAAAGTTTATCCATTTTAATGAACATAAAAAAAGGACAAGACAAAAAAACCAAAGATTTTTCTTTTCCCGATGTTTTCTCAGGAACCAAACAGACACTAAAACACAACTCCAACTACAGAGACACAAAACAAAACAAATGGCAAACATACCTCATTCATCCGTAAACCAAACGCCAACCACTTATCACTCTCTGATCTACATAATTTTCAGCTCAAAAGAAAAACCTTAAAGAAAGTAAAAAAAAAAAAAAATCAAGATCTGGTAAAATCTAGAAAAACACAGATAAAATCTAAATTAAAAAGAAAAAGATCTGACCTTTAAGAGATAAATTGAGAGTGTTAAGTTGAAAAAAAAAAGAATTAAGCGAATGTTCGAAAGAGCACAGCTCAAAACCGCCAAAAAGCTATACCAGATGATGAGATGAACAGAGGGATCGATGCGGATTTATATTACTAAAAATTTTATTTTATTTTATTTTCCTTTGAGGATATATTTTTCTTTCGTCTAATGTGTCTGTCATGTCCGGGATACCCTGTCTGTGACCTAAGACAGGCAGAAAAATCGAGGAATATATAATTTCAAAAAATGATTTGATTGCGTTTGCTTTATTGTGGATTGTCCACGTAGGAGTCCTTTGTCGGTGATGTAAGGGACGTTAGATACGATAAAGGGGTGTTTGGAAGGGGGGTAAATGTGGCAAATTGTTGTGTGTTTGGTTATAGGTTTGGGATTAGCAATAAATGGGTTGGGTCGGCCCACGGATTCTGATTGGGGATAGCTTTTCTTTGGATTCCAAACCTGACCTTAGATATGGCATCCACTAGGTGTCGCAGACTTAAGGAAGAGTCTTGAATCTCACATTAAACATAATAGGAGGGTCACTGAGATATATAAGGGTTCACACTATCTTCGTCTTGTGAGACGCCTTTTGTAAGACAAAACCGTGAGGTCAGGGAGCCTGAGCGGACAATACCTCACAAAGGTGTGAATCGTGACGGTTAGGTTGATCCGAGACGTCGGAAGGGTGAATGCCCGAGTCCAGGAGTCGCACGGGTTCGGAGCTTAAGTCTTGACCCGAGACAAGTGGTATCAGAACCAGCCTTAAACCGTTCAATCCATGCCAAATACCTCAAAGGGAGGTAGCCAGGGTGGTCAGCCTCCGTGAGGAGAGCGTCACGATGTTGAGTGCAGAAAAATGTCACGGACCTAAGGAAGAGTAATGAATCTCACATTGAACATAATAGGAGGGTCACTGGAGTATATAAGAGTTCACACTACCTCCACCTTATGAGACACATTTTGTAGGACAAGGACATCACGAAGTTGGGTGCGGAAGAATGTGACAGATCTAAGAAAGAGTCCTGAATCTCACATTAAACATAATAAGATCACTGGAGTATATAAGGGTTCACACTACTTCCATCTTGTGAGGTACTTTTTGTAGGATAAAACCGTAAAGTTAGAGAATCAAAGCGGATAATAACTCACAAGAGTGTGAACCGTGACAGTCAAGTTGATCCGAAAAGCAAGAATAGTGAATGTCCAAGTCCCTGAGCCGCACGAATTCGAAGCTTAAGTCTCGATCCGTAACACTAGGCACTCACCTGCGGACCCCTCTCAAGGAACCTAAGGTCCACGTATTGGACATTAATGAATATGAGATTTTTTTTAAAATATTTTGTCCAATGGCTTGAAAAATATATTATTTATGGGAGTTTTTACAGGTGATTAATAAAATGATATATGTATTTTTAAATATATTTAAAAAATAAATATATGTTTTTTTTTAACATAAGTTACTTGATTTTTTAATTAATATATCATTAAAATTGTCATTTGAAAAGTATAAATTCAAGAGAATTTATCTATATAATATTTTCATATGAAATAAATTTTAAAGTAAATTAAAAATTTAGAAGAGGATTAATCTATTCGACGGGGTTTGATCCTTGACTGTTAGCCATCAATTCCCATTTTCTTTATAGGGAATTCAATGCTGAGTTTGTTTTGATACAAATGTATGGACTTTACAGATTTGTACACCAACAAAAAATCTGACCCAAAAAAAAAAAAAAAAACCAAGAGAACTTCTAACTCATTTCTTTCTGAAGGTTATAAGTATAAAAAAGGCTATGATGCGAGCAATGATGCCATTGATAACAAGGATGATTAGACATAGATTCCAGTCATGAAGATCATAACCGCCTTGCTTCAACGAACCACAACGAGTTATCAGCCACACTCCAGAGTACCTGAAGAACAAAATATTGAGGAAGGTGAAGGATGGTCTGAATGGACAATAAGTGTTATGCTTTATGACTACTCTTGAGTTAAACACAGGAAGAAAAAGAAATATGGGAAGAAATCAGAATGGAAAAATGAATCAGGTAGTAGGCATTAACCTTTGGGCATTTGCAATGACAAAAGCTTCTAGAGCCCACTTTGTATAGCAAAAATTCCCAAAATATTTCACAATTGCACTATCTTTATCCTGGTTTGCAACTAGAGTCAAAACAACAGGAAGAAGCACTGCCCACTGAAGAGGAAATCATGAGGCTCATTAGCTAAAAGAATTCAGAAAATGTAGGTTAATATTTTTATGAGTTGATGAATGATGAGTTTTAGTACATACCAGTTGGGCAACACTAGGTGCAAAGAAAATGGCCAATATGTAAGCAATGCCTGTAACACAGTAAACTAGGCAAAGCAAGACAATGTAGTTATCTTGAAAGGTTGATCTGGGATTGTTGAAGAAATAGAACATGGATAAATATGCCACTGGTTTGATAATTGTATTGAACTGATCAACCGTATCTTTCGATAGAAAATAAGCTAGACTGCTGATCCCAGCTGCGCTCTCCCTTTGATATTGTAATTTATCCAGAGAAAATGATCTCAATGCTGCGATCTTGCATAATAGTGCTGCAAATGAGGTGATTAAGTTTATATAGAAAGACATGGAAATATTGTGTCTCCCTGACATCTTGCCTATTGCAAGTATCTAACTCAATGACAAAATGATTATGTCAGCCAAGCTTTTTTTATTTTTATTTCAACTTACAAATAGCAATGACTGTATATGTGTAGCCAAGGGAGCCAAATGTTTCATCGTTCACTTTAGCAAGTGTCCCTAAGCAGGCTCCGGCAAGTAGTAGAATCATTAGATCAACTGCTTGCATCTGAGCTTCTCGCAGTCGCTGTTTAGTAGACCTGAAATCATTGGGAAACAAAATTTAAAGTTCATGTATTTTCCCCTGAGCGGAGAGGAAAGAAAACTCGCCTGTTCCAAAGTCAAAACTTTAAGAAGTTTAATCTACAAGAAGACCACTTTTTGAGAAGCAGGTGTTTGGACTAAGCTCCAAAAAATTGGTCCTTAATAAATATTCATATATTCTTATGGAACAAGATTAGGCAATTGGGAGAGATCACTTTGCTACTGTGATACTAAGGTGCCTTAACTGACCTACAAAAACTGGCCCTCTCAGTAGTAGGTTACAGGCTGTAATGTGAGCCTAGGGAGGTTCTCCAGGCAACAATGACTTTTTTGGAAATACTAGCAAAGCTTCCATGAATGTGTGAATGATTTAGCTACTTTTATCTGGGATATATTAGTTTATTAGCCATTAATTATATCAGAGAGTAGAGGAAAAAAATGTTCTATACGCTTCTGAAATTGGAATACCGGTGTTGGCTTATACCTGCCAAGGAAGTATCTGTACTGGCGAAGTATACCCGGCGTTCTTCTGTTCGACAAGTCATGAGATTTTGAGTAACGGTCATGCTTTACTTCATCACTACTCTTTACATCCTCCCACCGGTCTCCAGCAAATGATTGTCCAACAGCAGCAGCACCAGAAATATTTGGGTTTGAGCCAGAGGCTGTAGAAAGTTCATCAACCAAATCAAGCATATCTGCGGGTATTGGGTAGCCATTGTGCAGCATCCATCTGATAGGAAGCTGTTCACGAGTCACTCCAGTGGGCTTCACAATACCTTCCAGAATGTCAATTAAGTGGTCCGGAGGATTGACACGCTCTGGTACATTGATCCCCATGCCAGCAAAGTATTCTTCAACTTTCTTCACAGATCCATGATACGCAATGAGACCACCTTTGGCTAGAAGTATTAAATCATCAAACATCTTGAACAAGGTATAGCTGTATCAGAAGAAACTAACAATTACCTTCAGCCTTCAAGAGCTTTGATATATATAAGAAGCTATAAACAGACAAGCACACACTTTTTTCCAATTTATCTTTTCCACTAAAGCTCAGTCCTATCAAAATACTCGCACTTAAATTTTATAAAAGCCAAAGTATTGAGCTTTGTCAAATTCTAAGCACTCAGCTTGACACTACCGCCAAATGAAACTCTCAATGTAGCAGCAACATACATATCAATGCACTATCATATCATAAACAATCAATTTGCTGTAAAAGGTAGAAGTAACTAATGAGAAGAAGCAACTCTAATAAGCACCCACTGGGACCTGGTTTACAACGATACAGCCGATTAAAAGCTTATTTTGTCTTTGTTCTAATTTTTGGGTTTGATTGATTCTCGTCAAGTTGTTCAATTAAAGGCAACAGGAAAATCAACAGCCACAGACATGGAAAGAAATATTCCTTTCTTCGTAATTTATCAAATGAGGCTATAAGTCAAGATCATAGCTATTTTGGGGAGAGAAAGAGAGGGAGAGTCATACCTTGGCTGGTGAAGTACCATACAGATATTTACTCCTTCAAGAGCTTCACGTCGAAGTGCTCGAAGGAGCAATTGTGATGATGAACTGTCTAAACCAGTAGTAGGCTCATCCAAGATCAATAGAGAAGGTTCCATAACCATCTCTAGTCCAACATTTACACGTTTTCTCTGGCCTCCAGAGATCCCTCGCTTCTCCACTGTCCCAACAAGTGAATCCCTTACTGCCTGTAGTCCCAAGGACTCAATAACCCTTTCAATAACCAAAACTTTATCGGGTTTTGCCATGTCAGCAGATAGTCTTCAGTGTTATGGCATCCACCAAAATAATAAAGTTAGAATGAAACTTACAGGATGCGAGGTACCAAACATAAAGATAATAAATTATGTTCTAGATGGATGGTTAAGACTACAAAATAATTTCTGATTTATCCCCAGGTGCCGGAAGCAGGGAGGACTTAAGGAAAGCATGCAAAATACATAGTTCTTTACAACTTGAGTCTTGACCATTGGCTAAGTAGTCTGTCGGAAGTCTAGAATGTTTTTCTTTCGTATCATGATATGCTTGAGCTAACAAGGTACTTATTATCATGATTTCATAAAAAGTCATGATTTTCACATTTGTCTATTACTTTAAACTGCATGAAGCACATATACTGCATAAAACCTAACAATCCCAACTAATAGCAACAAACTGAGGCCATTGAACTTCTAATTATAATTGAGGCAAGGTTTCTTAAAATAACATAAAATGTGAGAATACATCTAAGAATTCAATGATCAACCAGCTATAAGAAAGAGGTCCTGATAAAAAATGAGCTGTCTAGCAAACCAATCTTATAAAATGATGAGAAGATGACTGCAGTTAGCTTGTGTCACAAGTTTGAAACCACATACCTGCACCTAGCGCTGAACCGAAGATTCTCCTCTACTGTCAAGTTTCCATGCACTATATCATCTTGCGGTACATATCCAATAATTTTCTTATATGATTGGATAGGTTCATTTTTTCCATTCACAAGAATTAAACCTGTTACATTGCATCCAGCAGCAGTTTTTCCTGTCAAAGCAGAGAGAAATGTAGTTTTCCCAGCTCCTGATGGGCCCATAACTGCAGACACTCGACCTGGCATGAGTTTCCCAGTGACACACCTGAGCAAATGTTTGTGTTTCCTCTTTAAAGCTAGGGTTAGATCCTTAAAATAAATCTCAATCACAGGCCTGGTCCTGATATCATTATCCGTAGCCATTGAAATTATTCCTGAGAAGGTCAAGTTCTTGTTCTGTTGTGCTTTCTCCTTCTCAATTTGACCATACGCATACTTAAAAATTTGACTCTGAGTATGCAATTGTTTACCCTTTGGTGCTTGTTTTTTTATATTTTTATCTCCAATATTCAGATTAAAACCTTCATGACTTTTGGGATCCTCTTCAAGCGAATGCAACATCTTTGTGAGGCTGCTTGGTTCCTTTTTCTTTGCCTTTGAATCTGTAGATGATTGCTCAGACACCCTAGGTGGTGCTGGTGGCAACTGAGTATCAACTTTAACAGATTTACCTATACCGAACATCTTCTGCTGTTCAGTTCGCTTATGTGATTTTGCCCGAGAAAATGTCCGTGAAAGCTGTTGCTGCCAACCCCCCTTCTTGGCAATATCTTTTGCTGCTTTCCATCTTTCACGTGCTTGTGCAGTTTCACGTGCATGTCTTGCCGCTGCCTCTCTGGATTTAGCCTGTCTTCTTTCCCGAGTACTAAGAACTTGATCAGAGCAATTATAAATAATGAGCAGCAGAAGACTCATTCCAACCTACTTATGCAACAGAAAGTACAAAAGTCAACTGGTTGAAACAAGAGCAACAAGAAAGCTAAATAGATCATATGCAGAGAAAAAGAAAACACAATTTAATTTTGCATAAGCATGCAAAAGAACTCCTTCAGTGGAAATAATCTGCATGTGGAATGCATGAAAGAATTATCTAAAATGCATATAAATTGACAGACGTGGCTGATGAACAATTCCATTTTACCATTAATAAGGCACTGAACCAGCTCAAGAATAATAATCAAATTATTGATCTATGACAAGTTTGGAAACCACTTACAAAAATCATAACTCCATAACCGTGAATATTCTGGTTGGAAGTATTTGGATTGCAGGTAGTTAACTTGAAGCAAGCTGAAAAGTATCCATAAAAATCACATAAAAAGGGATATCCATTCCTTTTAAATGAACTAAAATGCACTGAGCAAACTTTGCTGCCTATGCAACAACAATAAATAAGACACCTTGAGGTTACGAGAAAGGAAGGTTGGTAGAACAATGGTAAGGAGTTGCAAATAAATTGTGGTTCATCATATCATTTAATTGCAATAAATCTTCCATCAGGTGATTCAAACAATCTACTTTTTGAGGCACTTTCATTCACTGAAAATTTACACAACATTTTGATATTTTCACATAGGTTGCATGGAAAGTTTTTGCATACATTGGATATAATACACAGAAACTGATTAAGCCATTCCATCTAGTCCTTTTGATTATAAATTTGGTGAATTTCGTCAACTAGACAAAATGCATTGTTAAAATTTTATCTGTTAGCGTTCCATAATTTTTCTTCATAACCCTGAGAGTTCTCTAGCTTTAAAATATATAAGTTGTGAGTTTTGTAAAAATGTGAACAAATTCCAAGCAAGCTTCCAGGAAGTCCAACTGATAAAAAAAACTTACACAGTTGAGAAGTGGAACCCATTCTGCAGTAATGTCTGAAATTCCATCAAAAAAACTTATCAGTAAACATAAACTCCGAGCATGGAGTACGCTCATAATTTCATCAAATCATGCATGCTATCTTGAGATAGAATACATGTTCTGCAAACACTTTTATTAATGCTATGAGCTCTGGGATAAAAATCAATACCCAGTACTGCAAGTAACTTTAGTTATGGTAGAAGGGCAGTATGATCCTGGTGAACAGAAAATCTCACTACTACTTGCAACATCAGCCCAACTATCTGCACCACCACAACTGTGATTTGGCTGTCCAGGAGGAATTTGGTAATTATATCTGCAAATTTTCTCTACCAATAAATTTTAATGCCTACTGTACAGGATATGCTCGTGTGAGAGCAGAAGAAATTTGTTTTTGAAATATTGGATATGAACTTACGGGTCACAAACTCCAGTTGATGTATTCAGCTTTGCAAGCGGGCAATAAGAGCCTAAAGGGCATGCTTCATTTTGCATGAAAATGAAAGACAATAAATGCATTTCATTCAGTTCCACTAATAATTCAATATTTTGAAATTTCCACTAGTAATTATTAGCTTTATGCATAATTCCATTGCCTTTCAAACAAGAACTAATTACATGACCTTAAATCAATATACGAGAGAAAGGAAAATAGATTCATCTGTATCAGGCTTGTTTTTCTTTTCAACAAATAAATAGATTCATACCAAGAAGTCAATACTAGCATCTAGGTGTGCTTATTCACATAACTAAACTTGTAGGTATTTTGGCCCCAAAAAAAAAAACCTTAGCAGGCATGAATATTGATGCTGTACTATCCACATCCTCTCAATTTTAGAATGTAAAGGAATATCTACCCTACTGTTCGATTTATCATGGATTTAGCGCAAAAGATTTACTTTGCTTGTGAACAGATGTATTATTGAATGAAATATAAACCAATTCTTGCATTACAGAATGGTATATTACTGCAAAGATTTTGAGCAAGTTATTTCTGATTAAACGATCCAAGACTTATTAAAAGAAGTTTTACATTTTTTCCTGTGCTTATTTACTTTACATGTACAGATGGGAAATACTTTTTCTTGCAATGCAATAAGGTTAAAATGCCCAACTGGTTAACCCACCCCATTCATATGCCTTTTCCAACCATGTTATGCTATCAGACAAGACCAACATCATTTAGATTTCTGGTCTGCAACTTTTATAAAATAACCTTTCCATTTTCTGATTTGTACAATATTTAAAGTGTGTGAACTTCTTCTCTAAAAGAAAATTAGAATAAAGCAGGATTTGCTTTTACACATTGGATTACTACCATAGACTAGTGTCAACTTTTTACATTGCTAATTAACATACAAACAGAGAAAAGAGAAAGTAATCAACCCCACATATGTTGTAGAAGAAAGAGAAACACCAAACATCTGCCTAAAAAATGTAATTGAACAGTTATCAAGTACTTACGTATCATGCAAGCAAGACCCCTAGGGCAAAAGAATCCTTCACAACAAGGTTGACAGTTTTGAGTCCTGGAAGGCATGTAAGTTGAATTTTTGAGTTCAACATGCTGGTTTTCGTCAGCATTACAACCCCATCCCGGTTCACATCCAGAGACCCAAGATGTCAAATTGCAGTTCTTGTTTGGTTTTACATAATTGGTAGCTCCTGTCCCCTTTGCAAATAAACTACTGAAGTAAAATTTTATTTCTGCTGCTGTACATAGTCTCTGGGTGAGATCTCCTGTTAAATTATAGTTCATAATCAGGTCCTAGGTGACAAATATGATGATAACACATTTTAAGGATGGAAAAATAACTCCAACAGAGAAAACTTGAATCTTGGTAAATATTGCTATCAGATAATTCACCTATTAACTTTATGGCCCATTTGCTACTTTTTTTTATCATTTTTCAGCTTACCAAACGGTTGAGAATTTAAAAGGACAGAAGTATCTTCTGATTTATCTCATTTATAATAATAATGGAGTTATAGTGAAAAACATTTCTACAAACTATTGGCATGTTTGAGTGATGATCTTTGTTTTTTCAATTTTAAATATCCTTAAATTATAGAAGTTAAAGAAAATCCTTTTATTCTTAGGATAATGCCAGTATGAATTATGAGTACATATCGAGTCAGAATTTTTCAGTAGACATAAAAACAAACATCCGGATCATCACAATGTCACCAGTTCAAGTAAATATAACATTCACTTGGCTAAAGCTTCATACCTTTTGTCTTCTTGACACAATTACTCAAGAAATCCAAATTTCTTGAAAAATTAAATGCTCCATTCCAATCAGCTTCCCTGAAAAGAAAGAAGACATGCATCAATTCACCACTTAAAAAAAGGTCATTCACGAGAAAAATAAAGAAGGGTGACGTGCATCATGCGGAGACAAACAGAAGAAAATTGCAAAATACTTACGCATCCTTTATGCAGAATCTCATATTATGACTGATATCATTGCTTAATATTACAGTAAGATTGGAAAGCCGTTTATAGATGAGGTCTGTTACAAGGGGAAGGTAGGCAGGGTTTTTTGTTTGACTGTAATCATCCCCATCCACAGACCGTGCAAAAGGAAACAAACTCAAAACAACAAGAAGAAAAAGCAAAGCATGGGGTTTAATAACTCCTCTCATATTGGTCAAATGATGAAGCTCTACAAATCAAAAATCCTAGAAAGAACATAAAACAACTAACTCTAATTGAATTCTGTGAATGAACCATGGCATTGTCAATGGTAAGGTGCCTTAATATTTCATGGTCTTGAGATTTTATCCTTCTTTCAAACAAGACCATGAACATTCATGGACCAAAACCAAAAGAAAAAAAAAAAACTTGCAAATAGGGTAGTTGAAAATCTGCAGAAAAACAATGATGATTGACCATAGGTGAAGATTTGGGGAGCTGTAGACCCTTGAGAGAAAACAATAGATTTTGGGTCAAAAGGTTGGAGTGAATGTGTGTTTGGCTTTGGAAGGAGGTCCTTGGTTTTGGGAATGAAGAAATGGCGAGGAGAAATAGGTGGCTACATTCAAGGTGAAAACTATACTCCTACTACAATAATTCTGTGTCTGCATTACACGTTAAATAACTAACATTACCATGTGTACGTTTGCCATAACAGATCATTTACACCTTATAAACATTACCTTTCCACGTTTAACAGATAGATTATTATTTTTTTTGGACTACTGCTAAATTCGAAGTGAATACCTTCAATTCTGAAACTAGTATCATTGAACTTAACTGTTCTTCGATAACTCAACTGAATAAAAATTAAAGTTGTAGAAGATACGAATTTTAAAGACAGGTTTATAAGATTTTCACACCTTTCTTTGTTCTTCCAACTGAACACCTTCTTTATTCCGATTTTGTTAACCCAAAAAAGAATACTTCTAAGAAAAAACAGAGACTTAACGTATCAGCCGATGTTGCTCCGCCGTGATTGGCCCTTTTAATCTGTCATGGCCCCGCATAAGTGAAAAACATTGGAAGTCAAGTCAAGTCAGTAAACAAGATTATATGTTTATCGTGTTTCAACATTGTCGGTAAAGATTCGACATATTTGGATGTTGCAAGTACCATAGCAATGAGTTCATTTGTTTCATCGTAAAACTAAAAGGGTGTGAAGATGATGCATTTAATGACTTCGATGACTCCCATCTTTCCATCGTCAGCATCACGGGACAAGACTTTTCTGCTCCCCGTATTAGACGCTAAAGCAAAATCGCTGTCTGCTGTTTTTTGTCTCTCATTCTCAAAGCACCCGTTCACACTTGAGGAGCTTCTCCTTAAATAATTGGATTTTGAATAGAATTAGTAGGTTTTTATTCTTGTGTTTTTTTTTTCTTTTTAATAAATATTGGTTGGTCAGATGACTTGTCATCCCAACTGCTGAGCTTCCGTGTACAGACTTCTTATATATAATTGAACACCGTTCTTCCAAAATACCAAGCATTTTGAGGTCTTTGGGGGGCATTGGACTAATGGGTTGCTCTTAAAATCCATAAATTTGGAAGCTTTTTAAAGTTTAGTAGCCAAATTTCTGCCTTTCCAACCAAGAAAATTGAAGGTAAGCTCAAAGGCAACTTTCTTCATTTTGGCTTATATTCAGATTTTTTTATTTTTAGTAATGATTTTGTTACGAAAATAAGGAGGAAATTTTGTGGTTTTTTTTTCTTTTATGATCCATAAAGGCAGCGTTTGAAATTTGGGTTGCTCAGCATATTGATGAGATCTCTAAAACTAGGATTCCTTGGAATTATTAGAATTTAGAACCTTTTTGGCTGTTGCTTTCTTTTGCCTTTTCATTATGTATGATATAGTTTTGGAAACTATAGGTTCTAAATTTGTAATTTGTTTGGTCTAGTTGGCTATAAACTCATGCATTTTTCAAATCTTCTCCATGACTTAAAATGTGAATTTGACCTTTCCTTAGAATTTGTTGTTCACGGTATATCTTTTCTTATTGGCATGTAAAATCAACTTTGGGTTCCCTGGTCTTCAAGTTTATAGCGTCATATTTATTCTTCTGCAGAAATGAGCTTTCTTCTTATATTTAGCTCTTGACTTTGCAGGATTTGTTGGTAGTCGTTGTTTTGGTTCATCATACCTTTGTATCTCTTTCTATCATCTGGATCTGCACTTTGAGGGCTATGAAGTGTTTTATATTCCCCAGTTGGGATAAAAAAGATGAACCAAAGACCCCCAAATCTGTTTCATCTCGGTCTATGAATTCTACATTCACTGATCGTGAAGTAGGGCGGTCTGGGTCTGAATTAAATTCCCAGAATGACTCAGGCATTAGTACTGAGTCTATGGGGAGGTCCTCTTTTCCTAGCATGTCCCAAAGACCTAGCAATCTAAGAGTATTCACGGTTTCTGAGCTTAAGTCTGCCACCAAGAATTTTGGCCGCTCTGTCATGGTTGGAGAGGGTGGATTTGGTTGTGTTTACAAGGGGTTTATCAAGAATCCTGATGATTCATCTCAAAAGATTGAAGTAGCAGTGAAACAGCTTGGTAAAAGGGGGTTACAGGCAAGTCTCCTTCACATGACAACATATTGAAAGTTTCTCTTCTGAATTAACTTGCCTTCTGTTTATTTATCTTTTGAAATATCAGAGGCAGAAATCATTGATATTGCGAGTTGTTATAATGAAGAAGGTTTGATATCATAAGCATATCCATGCGTCTGGATACTGTACAAAATAGGTTCCAGCCAAGTTTTTGTACTTTAGTGATCTTACATGTTGACAAGAATCTGCATCGTTTATGTCAATCCAAACGAATTCAATTTGCTGGCCTGGAACATTCTTCGTTTTCTTGTAATAAATTTAGCAGAAACAAGTTCTCTAATAAATAACGGGTAGAGATGGAGGTTTTAATCACTCAATGAATTTGACCAAGTAATAATCAAAACTGATGTTTCAGTTCAGTGTCTCAGTAATTGTATTACACAGATATTATGAAAAGTGTATATTTCTCCAGAAATCCTGATTGAATTTACTCTGCTGTTGGTCCTGTGCATATGAATTTTGCCCCTTCCATAAACTCTATTTAATGCTTATGATGCATGCATCCAAAATTCTGTTAAATAAGATGGCTCCTGTGACTTTGAGCTGAGAGTCACTAACTTTTATAAACTTAGCCATCTACCTATTAATTGACAGGGGCACAAGGAGTGGGTGACAGAAGTAAACGTCCTTGGTGTGGTTGAGCATCCAAATCTAGTAAAGCTAGTGGGCTACTGTGCTGAAGATGATGAAAGAGGAATCCAAAGGCTTTTGATATACGAGTATATGGCCAATAGAAGTGTGGAAAACCATTTATCTATCCGGTCAGAGACAACCCTTTCCTGGGAATTGAGATTGAAAGTAGCTCAAGATGCTGCTCGTGGGTTAGCATACCTACACGAAGGAATGGATTTCCAGGTATGATGCTATTAAGTTTCCATCTACATTCAGCATTTGAATGGTAATGGCTGTACTTTTTACACTTTTTCTTCTTTGATTTTTTTTTCATGAAATCCCCTTCTTAGGATAACTCACTGTTGTCACAACCAGTAATTATTACAGAAAAAATTTCCAGACCATTTTGTATGATACTAATATAGATTTTCTTGATCATATTTGATTACAGATAGTCTTCAGGGATTTCAAGTCTTCTAACATCCTTTTGGATGAGCAATGGAATGCAAAGCTGTCAGACTTTGGATTAGCCAGGTTGGGCCCTTCGGAAGGATTCACTCATGTCTCAACAGCGGTATGTTCAGGCAAAATGATCAATCTATTACTTGAAGTGTATCCCTTTAGTCATTGTTCGATTATAGTACTCTAATAATGTAAATGAAGGTTCAAACAGAGGTGGAATTTTCTTATCATCTCTAGTAGATGTCTTACGGGTAAAAACCTCCAAAAGTTTCTACTTCTCATGCACCAAAATGTCCTGTGATCAGTTGTACATTTAATTACTCTACTGATGTTGTTAGATTTGCCCTCGAAGCATATGTGAAACAAGCGGATGGCTTCAACCTTATAAGAATATGTAACTTGCCTTTAGATGATGAAAATACAACAGGTTCATTTCGAAGTACATGAGAAAGAAATGATTTTTGTTTTTCGTTAGGTGTTTAATATTCAGTTTATGCAGCTAAAATGCTTGTTATAGTCATGGTAATATTTCCCTATCTATTCATCAATCTATTTACATGCACCAAACTGGTGGTCTTCAACAGGTTGTTGGAACAATGGGATATGCCGCTCCTGAATACATCCAGACTGGACGTCTCACATCCAAGATTGATGTGTGGAGCTATGGAGTCTTCCTCTATGAACTCATTACTGGTAGGCGCCCTGTAGACAAAAACCGCCCCAAGAATGAGCAAAAGCTTTTGGAATGGGTAAAGGCATACCTCTCTGATGTGAAGAAATTCCAGTTGATATTGGACCCTAGACTGAAAGGGAAATACCAACTCAAGTCTGCCCAAAAGCTTGCAGTTGTGGCGAACCGATGCTTAGTCAGAAATCCAAAGTCACGCCCTAAGATGAGTGAGGTGTTAGAAATGGTGAACCGGATTGTGGATGCATCATCCAGATCCGGAAGTCCTGAGCCACCATTGAAGACTTTGCCATCTATGAAAACCTCCAGGGAAACAGAAAGAAAACACAGAAGAAGGATCACAGATTTCAGAAGTGCTGAAAAAGTTTGTTCGGCTGTTGACTCCAAAGCTTGTAAGAACATGTTAACAGCCGGTAACTTCAAGCTCAAGGTTTAAGCGAACCACGCCTGCAGCATTTTCAGTTGTTTAAATTTAACCTTAAAAAACCTCATAGAATTTCAAAGGGTTTTAGCATGAAAGTTGACTGAGCAATGCAATCAAAGTTCCTATAGAATTATGCAATCAAAGATGTATAAAGCTGCTCTATAACCATAGATGTGAAGAAGCTTTCAGATACTGCAACTTCTTATGGGAAAGGAAACCATTTAACATCCTCATTTTGGTATAAGAGGCTAGCAAAGTTGCTCAGAAGAAGATGCTTAAAACAAGTAGGATTTGGGTGTCGAGCTTGTTTTCTTGGAAACCTTGATAGCATACGAACAACTGTACCAAAGTCCTATATTTATTGTTGTATTACGTCATATATGCTCAGTTTAGGCTTGATTTAGCGACTGGTACATAATATTATGTTTAATAATAGAATAAATAAAAATATACTTTATAGTTTTCATATTTGGATTTTGGTTTTCATGTCTTTGTTGAGACTCTGACAAGAATCAATAGTTCCTTCTCATAACACATTAAAGCCTTTTCATATGATATGTTAGAAAATAAGATTGATCCTTTGGTCTCTTTTAAAGAAACCCTTTGTTAATTTCATATTTAAAATGACAATGAAACAGACATTTGGACAATAACAAGTACCACAAACAAACTTGATATGAATCTCAACCAACTTGGTTATTTTCTTCAAATGATTAATTTTTGTAAATTTAAAATTTGATCTCATCATGTATAATTTTTATTTTTTTATATATTTCACTAGGACTACCATCAAATTCAAGATCAACCGTAATATTAAAATTTAGTTCAAAACTAAATAAATAATTTTACTATCTTTGGTGGCGGTAATTTTTAAGTATAATATAAAATAAACCATAATGCATAATTTAAAATTAAAAAAGTAATTATGTATTAAAATATTAAATTATAAATTAATTTATAATTGTTCTTCTAAGAAAACGTCAGAACCGCCATTTTCTCAGCAACTTAATTAGGACAAAATCAACGGTCAAAAAAATCAGGACGAAAAGCACGCAATCACAGCCGTAGATCTCGTAATTTCTCCATTTAAGAATTAAAAAAACATTCAATGAAAATAGAAAATGCCGCTTAAAACAACGGAAAATCACGTCCGCTCGAATTGCGTATCCAACGGTTGAAAGGACTGTCCATATGGAATCGGGTCGGATCGGGGCTTGCTTGTCGTTTTTAACCTCCGTGGAAAACAGTTTATTTATGAACACGTGAATTGAGGCATGCTGTTTTTTGGTCTTTGTTTTTGATTTGGGTTTCAAAAATTTCAACGTTTGATCGTTACATTATGTCACTCGTGTACTCCATTAATGCAACACTAGTTCCGTGTTTGCTTTTCTGTCTTTTTTTTTTCCTTTTGAAACCAATGTTTCAAGCTTTCTAGGTTTGGTGAGCACCTTAAATTCCATGTCTTTTTTCTATTGTTTTGATTGAATTGGACTTGGAAAAATTATATATTACTGGGTTTTATGGAAATGCACACTTGCCTTTTATGTATGTTTTCTGGTCATTCTGTTGGTATCTTTTCTCAAATATTTTTGTGGCAACTCCCTAAAGACAAACAGCGGACTGAGAATGGGGCATCACTTCATGAATAGAAGACCAACTACTTTGGCCAGTTGGGATTCGAACAGCAGTTACTCCAGTGGCCTGATTGAAGGCAATTGTAACTGAACTAAATCTCATTTATTGCTTCCTGCATCAATCCTTGTGACTGTAATGCTTTCCCCCTGAATTCCATCCCCATGCATTTCTTTAATTTTTTTTCATCCCAGATTGTCACTCTTGGAATTAGGGGAAAATCCATCATCTTCCTTGAATATGCAGTCTGTTGCAGCTGATACCGAGGAGATTATGAATGTTGACCCAAGTAATGTACTTCCGCTTGCAAAGAAGGCTTTGTTAGTGTCTAAACAGGCTGCATCATTGGATGAGGACCTCAAATTAGATCTTGATGAGTCACTTTCTAGTAAGTTAGTTTCTATCTTGTCTTCCTAATTGCATTAGTGTTATAGTTTAATCCATCAAGGACTGATATCTAATGCTATTGCAGTTTGGTCGCTGCTATAATTCCTCTACTTTGCCAGTTGAGAAGGAGGAAGCAGTTACAGTTAAGTCAACAAGACGTTTAGAGAGACGGTCTAAACAAAGGAGGGTGCAACCTAAAGCTACGATTTGTGAGACCTACAGTTATCGAAGGATTGATGTAAGAAGAAAGTTGTTTGCTTTATAGGGAGAATGGAATGATGAAGTAGGATCTTTTATCTTGGCTTCGGCTTGAACTTAAGAGAGAGAGGGTTGGATCCAATGTAAGATCTTCGGTTGGGCCTGAACTCAGTCGAGTATTAAGAATTTTGGAATAAAGAATTGCTTGAATACAAATTCACACCCCTTATGCTAATGATCATAAATGACTTGTTGTCATTGAGTCCAGAGAAGATGGGTGAAAAGTTGTCTATGGACTATGATCATGAGCCGAATTAAAAAGGGAGGAATTTGATTTCAATCTTTTCACCATTGGATGCTAGGAATTTTACTGATCCATAAGATCTATGCAAAAGCGCTTGCCTTTTTGAGATAAAATAAAAAGAAAAGAAAAGAAAAAGTTGGGAAAATATGGAAACTCTACCTCTCTATACAAGCTCAATGATTGTAGCAAAAGGTTAGAATAAAAAAAACACTGCAATAATGATGATAACATTTTGGTGGTAAATCATGAAAGATGGCGACCCATAAATGAAAAGTTATCCTAAGACACAAAAAGACGACTTGAAACTGGCTTAGCACATGGCTGGCCCCATATACAGGATCTCTGACTCTTGACTTTCTTCTTCGTTCGATGGTAAAAAATACCAGCATCCCAAACATTAATAATCACGGCAAGCATTTCACCACCAATGAAAAGCTTGACAGGAAGAAACCATCCTTCCTACTGTTGGTCAAGCCTGTTTACTTTTTCACCTGTTCATCACTTTAGCAAATATCACTTTCTTCTAATGAGTTGTCCTGCCCCCTCCCCGGTTCTTAGGGAGAATGATGCTTTTACCTCTGCAGAAATAAAAGCATCTCACATCACACTGTTTAGGGTATATTATTGTTGTTCGTGTGGCTTGGTCTTGTAGCATTCAGATTTAGCCTTTTCTTCTTTTCTTTTGGTTTCTCTGTACCAAATGAATACTGTTTATTGATTCTTACTTGTACGTTTTACCCCCCAAAAAAAGTCTACATTTAGTAAGAGAATTAAGAACTCTACTCATGCAGATAAATCCTTAACATCAAGAAAATGCTTGATATCAAGAAATTAAATGTCCAATTAACACTTAATTACCGTATTCAGTTGTCATAGCATATATAGAAGTGAAAGCATTTATAAAGTGAGGACACGTGCGCTACTCGAGCTAGTAACTTTTCAGGTGAATTTGGCAAGAAGACTAATATTAGTCCATACTGTATCTTTTTTTTTTTTCTCACATGCTGCTCTGCTCTATCCTCCCTGACAGCTGGTGGGTTGCAGTGGCTACAGTCCATACCTGATTTAGAGGAGCCCTACCCAGAATCAAATCATAACACCTCAATTCAAAGTATCTCCTTTCTATATAAATAACACCAAGCTCATTCAACCTCTAGCCCTTTCATATTTACTGCTTCTATTAGTAGTAGTAGTAGTAGCAGCAGCAGCAGTGCCAGTAAAAAACAGCACTAGACACAGCAGCTCAAGCAAGAAAAAGAAAAAGCTTACTCATCTTCACATGGCAGGCAAAGAAAACGACACAAGATTTATTAGTAACAAGCACGCCTGTGAGCCTTGCAGATCTTTTGGTGAAAAGTGTAGCCATTTGGTTAAGAAGAAGCGAGCAAAATTCTACATCCTCCGGCGTTGCATAGCAATGCTTGTCTGCTGGCGTGACCGCGGAGAGCATTAAAAGGGCCAGCCTGGTTTTATTGCCTCTACTTGTATAGGAGTGTAATTAAAACAAGTACTTTTGATTAATATTAGTAAAATTGTAGCTCATTATTGATTTCAAGGATAAGAAAACTTATATAGTGTTGCATTAGTTTTATCTAGCCTTCTAAAAAATAAAATTCTAGATCTGTTTAAGTTTTGGATATTCTTCTTGTTGAAAAAATGAGGAATGGTTAATGTCTTCAGTCCATGTAATTGTTGTAATGATTGCTCTTATCTTTCTTTTTGTTGCTCGTTTTTCTTTGTTTCTTACTTTGGTTTTCATGGAATGCTGTGAAGTTCAAACTTGCTGTTCAGTTGTCAAAAGGATTGATGGGACCGAAGGGAAATCTGGGTTGTCATCAAAATTCTCTGGAAGGGTTAGTTTTGTTATGCAATAGCATATCCATTTCTCATAGGTGGAAGAATGAAAATTCCATTTTTCATTATTTTCCTTGTTGCTGTTTCCAACTGATACTTTTACCGTTTCACATATGTTTTCTTCGTTCTTTCTAGTATTATTTTTCTTTTCCAGTCGCCAATTTCCACTGACAAAAGGAAATTTGTGAATTAGACCAGAATTCTCTATATTGGCTTTGTATATCATTCAAGAGTTGATAGCTGTAACTTGGCCTTTGCTGATCATATTGATTTTACAATTAATTTGTTCATTTTGAACAGTTTGCGTGCTATAAATAGAAACTGCAGGTTCTTGCTTTTTCCTCAAGTTCTTCACATGAAATCATCATTGGTTAGAGAGAAAAAAACAAAGAGGACAGTTGTTTCTACTTTCCCATATTTCACTTTTCCCTTTTCACTGTCAGACTCATTAAACTGAACTAATCTTTCCCTTTTTCTTCGTTAGTAACATGTAACTATCATTAGTATCGGTATGTTTTCGTTAAATTTATATATAATTTTTATTAAAATTTTAAATCGCGTTTTTTTTATATATGTCATCATAATATAAAATGCAAGAAATAAAGATAGAAACTAGTCCTAGCTAGTTTCCTTTCATTTCCATGTCAACAGAAGGAATGCCAATAATTCTAACAAAAAATTTTGTTATAGAATTTTTTGGGGGAGAAAATGTTGTCAATTGAGTATTAGACAAGGAGAAATAATTATTTTAGTTTCATGTTATAGAATTATGAGAAACATGCTCCCCATGCCTCTAGATGATTTTGTCAATCCTGACAATCTATTTACCAGGTCCTTCTGCTTAGGGAACATCAGACAAGAGCAATAGCACTAATTTTAGAATTATTTTTCCTGGAGCATCCTCCAGTTTCAACTTGTTTATATTTTTTTTGTTTTGTCCCCCAATCCCACCATGTTCTCGTTTAATGTTCCTTTACAAGCAACACAAATCCATCGGCTTAGATTCAATGGAATGGCTGACCATAGGTAAAAAATATACACTATAAATAAATTGATCATCACGCACGAATACAAGTTATTTCCTGTGACAAAACCGCTATAATTCCAAATCCGGTAGGTTTCAGTTCTAAAGTAAAACCTCAAGGTGACTAATAAATGAACACTTGACCAGCCAGCATATTGGTTATACCCTTTATTTTAGGGGTTGTTGATGATTCAAAACATGTTCACTATAATCAACATTGACATTAATTTTCATCTGTCTGTGGCATGTTTATTATAGTAGCTTTCAAATGATGATCACATAACATGACAGTTGCTGTCTGAAATTCACCCTCGATCCTGAACTAGATGAACATATCTATAGCAGCTGGTTAATGCAAGTGAAATTAATTCTACTGGCAATTAAACTAATTAATCAATCAGTCAATCTTATTTGTAAGACCCTCAAACTGTGTATTCTAAGGCATAAACTTTGCCTCAATTTCAAAGAACAATGAAACCTAACTTTGACTATGGTAAATACCATAGAAATAATAGAGGGTTGTAAAGGTGTTTTCCACAAAGAAGAAAAAAAAAAAAAAAAGGCCGGAAAGTTGATGTATCATGTATATACTTCCAAGCAACAGTAGAAAAGATACTACCAAATTAGGCTAGGAGATAGGATTAGAAACTAGCTAGGCAATAAAAGCCTATTTTGATACCAATGATGTGAATTCAATAGATGATGATTTTCGCCGGTAAGTGTAATTTTTCTTTATTATTTTCTTTGGTTTTACACTTGTTACAGTACACTTTTCTGGTGAAAAATAAAGGAATACTGGAAAAGTAAGGTGTCTGATGAATAAATGTTATCCATCAAAGTCGGTAGAAGAGATTGGTACAATTTGATTCCTTTCCATGTTTCCATTGTTATGAAAAGCTTTTTGGTCATCCCAAAACAAAATAGATTCAAATAATGTAATGATATTAAATCGTTTTTTTTATTGCCTTAGGTACTAAAAAGTGCCAGTATAATTCAAGATCAGCAGTCGGCACCAGAACCAATTTGCTATGGAGTGCAAAAAATATCAATATAATAAGAAGAATTATTAAATCATATGGGAAGGAATTGAAAAGAAAAGAAAAAGAGAGCTTTTCATGAGATGAGAGAGCGATGTGAAAGGGGCCAAGAGGTGATGTGGGTGGGTCGATGGATGTGTTAGCCGACAGCGAGAATCCTTGGAACAACCCCTGCAGCTATCCCTCGTGCGGCCCTTTTACACTTGTTGTATCTATTTATCCATGTTTTATGAAAACATGCATTCAAATTCCGTGGTATTTGACATTTTCACCATTGTTGTAGCTAACTGCAACAAAAAAGACCAGAGTTGAGAGATGGGATGGGGGACCAAAGTGTGGAAAGAAAAACTACTACTACAACGACTAGGGCAAAGGAAGGGACCCATAAATGAGCAGAGGCAACACGTGCATGTCTGACAACGTTGAAATATAGGCGGGTCGGGGTTTGGTAGCTTTTGTGTTTAACCGTTGGGGTTGGATTTACTACTGATACTGCTGCTAGGCGAATTCAATCGAATCAATGTCTGGCAAAGCTGGTCATGATAACAACAGCCTGCAGCACCAACAACAGAAGCATTCAACAATGTCGTTTCCGTGTAGTTGCCTTTCAAGACTTTCCACGTGGACATGCACGTGTGGGTAACACCAAGGAAATAAAGAAAAAAGGGAATTGATGGGAGGAAGAAAATAGTATTGTTAAAAAAATAGAGTTTGGATGGTGATGGCTTTAAAAGAGTGATACCTCACACACTTTTTCTTCCTTTTTTCTTTTATGTAATCTTGTGAAGGTTATCTTCTCCAACCATTTGTCAGTTGTCCCATAATTTAGATTCTCATGGGAATTGGGGTTTCTTGTTTATTTTTTTCCCTTTGAATTCTAATCCTTCCTCCATGGAATAATGTTTGTGTTAATGACTAATGTTTGATCTTCCAAGCTTACAATTCTTTTTTTCAGTTCTCTTAAGCTTCAACCTCTTTTATATATATATATAAAAAAAAAGATTTTAAATAAATGAAAAATAATTGTGCATCCCATCACAACTATATGTATTGAACTTAGAAAAAAAATATGCTATATTCAACTTTGAAATAAATTAACTAAAAAACAAGAAAAAAAAAAAAAAAAAACTCTGGAGTCAAGATTACCACAAGTACATAAAATATGCACGTGTCCAGACAATGTTCAAAGTTTCTTAATAAATCATTATGACCATTTAGACCTCATTTATGTTATATAAACTTAAGCTACAATAAAAAAAAAATAAAAAAAAAAAAAAAAAAAAACCTCACAATGACAATTATCTTCATCACTTTTTCTGTCTATTATGCACTACTCTTTTTCATGCACATATATTTTATTAAAAAAATTAAAGAATGTATCTCTAATAATCCTCTGTATAAATAACCAATTAGTAATTTATTTATCTTGTAGTTAAAAAAAAATTAATATTCCGTTTAATAGATTTTTATATATTTTAAATATATATTTTGTTTTTTTCTGTGTTTTTTACATTTTTATTTTTTACAGAAAAAAAAGGGCATTTACCAAGAGACTAAATAAAGCATACAATAAATTTGACATATTGGTTGAACCCGTAATTATATAGTTTACTGTAGGTTTGTAATTGTTGGAAAAAAGGAGTAAAATGGTGGGGTACTAAAGGTGTGATCCTAGACATGATTGGCATCTACATGGATATCGATATGATATGATATGATGTGCTTTCATCACCATTATTGTTATTATTAGGTAAATGATATGATTTGATATATATTTTTATTATTATTGTACATGTTAAATATTTCAAATTTATATGATGAAAATTGCCAACAATTGATTAATATATTATTTGTGCTAACAAATATATATAAATAATATGTGTATGATCTTATGAATGTTGAATGATACAGATAAATAAATAGATAAAAAATATTCTATATGATTAAAGTAACAATGAAATTTTTAAATAAAAGATTTCATAAAATTAATTATAGATCATTGATTTATTGAATGATTGTCACAAAGGTATAATAATTTCATGTCACAAAGGTATAATAATTTCATAAAAATCAGGTCATCACGTCTATGTCAAGAGTGTGCTTTAATATCGTCTTGAAATTCCTTGTGACATGAGTAATTAAGTGCCAATTGCCAAAGTGTCCAAACTATTTCGATTATATTTTTCAAGAAGGGAGAGGGGGGAGCTTTGGGTCACACTATTGTTGGACTTGACAACCGACGTGGGGTTATAGAATCAAAGATTGCAAAGACCAAACAGCAAAGAAGTAGCCTAAAGTGCGAGGACAGGACACGTTAATCTCCATTTTCTCATGTGGGGTTGTCTCCCATAAAGTGGCTTAGTCTAGTCAATAATTTCCACCCACGTCTATCTTTACCAAAATACATTTCCAATAATAACATGCTCTGTTTCGAGGAACATGACTCTTTTTCCCCAGCAGCATTGGGCATGCCTAACCCTCCCTTGGGCTGGTTTTGGCTGTAGCTCTAAATTGTGAGGAACAAGGCCCAACTTTTGCATCCACATGAAGAGACAAGGTTTTTTTCATGACTAATCAATTATACTAAACACCAAGAAATCATCATTTATGCTCATCTTACCGTGCTAAACGAAGTTCTATTTAAATTGAAATTAAATCTTGTAAAAACTTTGAATTCCAAAATAACAAAAACTGTTTTTTGAACTCAAGGGGGGTAGCCAGGCTCCCTTCGGCTCAACAGTTGTGCAAATGAGCTTTTAAATCATACAGTCAATAATTTAATACTACATATATAAAAGATAAATTGTCACCATAAATTAGGCAAACACAGATGAAGGTTAATTTAACTGTAAAGGTCATCTTCATCAGCTCCTCCAGCAGAAGCTGCAAAAGGATCAGATGCTGCAGTCCTGGAACCAGTTTCAGCAAACCTAAATTCACTTCCAAATCCCCTTGACTGCTGCAATGTTTGAGCAAATGCCTGGTATTTGCGGATGTCTGCGTCACTCACACTCCTACGAGCAAACTTCATTGATTCCTCAAAATGGGCAGGCTTGATTTCTGCCACTTCATCCTCAACATCTTCCTCCATAGCTTCAGGGTTCTCCCTCCTCCTCCTTTCTTTCTCAATATCCTGTAAAAATAAAGATATCTCATGTTACAATCTCAAACATCATGAAAAAAACATAATATTTTGAGAATGCGAGAGAAAATAGTCATAACCATACCTTTTCAATGTTTTCTCTTATGGCATATTTACATGCACGCTGACAAATTTCTGTAATATCTGCCCCACTAAAGCCTTGAGTATATTTGGCAAGAGCTCTGAGGTCAACCTCTTTTGCAACAGGTGATTTTCTCAAGCAAGCCTTAAAGATCTGATGGCGAGATTCCTCATCAGGGAGAGGGATATAGATCAATTGATCAAGACGACCTGGACGCAAAAGTGCTGGATCTATAATGTCAGGTCGGTTGGTGGCTCCAATGATGAAAACAGTTTTCTTGGCAGACATGCCATCCATCTCAGTAAGAAGTTGGTTCAAAACCCTATCAGCAGCCCCCCCTGCATCACCTACACTGCTTCCTCTCTGCAATATATAAACATGAATCAGCATTATATGACGGCAAGCCAAGCAACACCAACTATGTACAAAGACAAGCATATTTTCATTGCAAGAATAAACACACAGAAACCCATATTGCTCCTGCTGCTAAATAATCCATAAAGAAAGAATTCAATTGCCTTGAACATACCTGGGTAGCAATCGAATCAAGTTCATCAAAGAACAGGACACAAGGTGCAGACTGGCGTGCCTTGTCAAAAATTTCACGTACATTGGCCTCACTCTCTCCAAACCACATTGTAAGTAATTCTGGACCCTTCACACTAATGAAATTTGCCTGACATTCATTGGCAATAGCTTTGGCCAGAAGAGTTTTCCCACATCCTGGAGGGCCATAGAATAGTACTCCCTTTGAGGGTGACATCCCGAACTTCTCAAACTTCTCAGGATGCTCCACTGGATATTGAACAGTCTGCATACCAAAGTCACAAATTAATCCCATTTATTGAAGAAATTTAAAAAGATAAAAGGAAAGAAAAAGGAGAAGTAATAAAAACCAGTACACGGCATTACCTCTTGAAGCTCCCTTTTAACATTTTCAAGGCCTCCAATATCTTCCCAACTGACATTGGGCACTTCAACAACCTGACCAAGTGTAAGAAAAATAATAATTAGAAACATAACTGACCCAAGAAATCATAATCAGGAAAGAATCTGCTATCACACTAGAAGTATCTTGGTTATACTCACAGTTTCACGCAGTGCAGATGGATTGCTTGTTCCAAGAGCAGTCTGGAAGTGCTCATTTGTGACTGCCATAGAGTTGAGTATCTCTGCATCTATTGACTCATCTTCCAAGTCAATCACATCCATCTTTTCCCTGATGCACTGTAATGCTGCCTCAGTACAAAGAGCTGCAAGATCAGCACCAACATAACCATGGGTGTCCTTGGCAATTCTTTCTAAATCAACCTGCATTAAGTCAGGAAAATAAATTAGATTCAGTGCTTCATTTTTAGCCAATAAAAATAGAAAAAAGATTTTTGAGGAAAGAAGAAAAGTTTATAGTTTTTGACATTACATCTTCAGCCAGCTTCATGTTCTTTGTGTGGATACGAAGCACCTCAAGACGGCCAACTTCATCAGGGACACCAATATCAATCTCCCTATCAAATCTTCCAAACCTTCTAAGAGCTGGATCAATGCTATTGGGACGATTTGTGGCCCCAATAACAATAACATGTGCACGGGATTTAAGCCCATCCATCAATGTCAACAGCTGAGAGACAATCCTCCTCTCAACTTCACCATTGGTCTTCTCTCGCTTGGGAGCAATTGAATCAATTTCATCAATGAATATAATAGATGGTGCATTCTTCTCTGCTTCCTCAAATGCTTTTCTGAGATTGCTTTCACTCTCTCCAGCCAATTTTGACATGATCTCTGGACCGTTGATGCAGAAAAAGAAAGCACCAGTTTCATTTGCAACGGCACGAGCAATCAAAGTCTTTCCAGATCCAGGAGGTCCATAAAGCAAAATTCCTTTAGGTGGCTTCACACCAATGGATTTAAAGAGCTGTGGATGTCTTAATGGAAGCTCCACTAATTCCCGAATCTGAGCCATCTGTTTTCTCACTCCACCAACATCATCATAACCTACCTCATCTAATCTGTTCTCATCCTCCCTCCTGATAGGTTCTCCCTCACAGAAAATCTCAGTGTCCGGTGCGACCACACAGTACTCAGCAGGATCAGTCTCAATAACCTTGAATTCTACACTTCTCATTCCACCTCTCACAAGGAAGAGATCACCCTTCCTCACTGGGCGGTATGCTTCCAGAAAATAAGCTGTAAATACAAAATTATCATAGTCAGCATTTATGGACTACATTGTCAATAATTCAAAGTTAAACCCAGTCCTCAATTATGTTAATAGGAATTTAGTCCCAGTATATGCTAAGTCATAGCATAGAGTGTGGTTATAATGCATACATGTCCATGCATATAATTGAGCCACCTATGATGCATGTATGAAGGTAAGAGTCCACCCCAGATGTATAGATAAATCAATACATAGACAGTGAAAGAGATTAACACAAAGAAAAGGCAGCCTATAAAGTATTTTTAACATCAAACATGCATAAAAAAGCAGAAAGACTAACCCCTTGAAAGCTTAAGCCCATCAATAAATGCCTTTAAAATTAACAAAATACAGGAAGTCTACTCCATAAGGTTAAAAATAATATATCAATCAATCAATAATAGTCTTATTTATATTATTTAATCAATCAGTGAGCTGATGATTGATTAAGGATAACAAATTATATTCTTCTCTTATGATTGATTAACAAAAAAAGAAACTGTTTTACCTCTTTACCTGCCTAGATAACCAAAACCACCACAAATAAATTATGAAAGACCATTCAACATATAAGTTGGGAATAAAAAATTAAAAATAAACTCACGTTTCAGATAAGCATCAAAGAGATTTCCAGTAACCCCTTCAATTGTATCATCCACAGGTAAGATGTGAACACGTTTTCCATACTTAACATCCGGACACTGGTGCACAGAGACAACGTCACCAAGCCTAACCCTCAAGTTTGACCTGACAACCTTATTCATCCTGATCTTTGGTTCATCACATGTTTCATCTGCAAGAGCAATGCAGATAGTATCCTTCCTCTTTTTCCCCTGTGGACAGTATTAGCAAGGATATAAGCCTTACAACATTGAAAAGTGAAATACATAAGAAGAATTGCAATTCAATAACTATTCATGCCACATAAAAAGCAAGCTTCAATCCCGCAATAACAATGCCCTCTAAACTAAAAATGCACATTCCTCGGTAAAGAAACAATCTTTACGACAGGCTTAACAAATTAGCCTCGTCACCTTAACAGAAACTAGAGAAATAATATAGACCCTAAACAACAAAATCATGTAAATAGCCTACGACAACTTCCATTATACATCCAATCTACCACAATAGAGACCCAATTGAAGACCAATACAAAACAACATAAAAACGCAGGAAACCCGTCAAATAAAGGACCATTTAAACCCTTAAATTTAACAAACCAGCTAAAATAAACAAATACCTAATAAGAAAAAATCAAAAAGCTAAAATAGCCCAATAAAACAATAAATAAAAGCCAAATCTAAAGTAGAAACCTTGATCAGGATAGTGTCACCACGAAACAGCTGGAGCTTTTCCATGGTATCAGGATGAAGAGAAACAACAGAGTTATCATCGTTGATTGCCTCATCGACAACAAGACGATTCGGTGCCTTCTTTCTTTCCAAGATCGCCGTACTAAAATCCCTCTTAGTCCCCTTCCTGAAACACAAAACAAGAATCATATTAGAGAAATCTAAAACAAACCCATATAAGAAAAACGGAAAGAGAGATCTGGGTAATTACGAGTCAGACGATTCAGCTTGGTTAGACATGGTGTTTGGTTGATGGAAGAGTCGAAAAATCAAGAAGAGCTTTAGGGGGTGTTTGGTGAATGCGTGGGATCTGTGGAGAAAGAGAGGAGAAGGAGGGTTGGGTTATTTATAGAGGAAGCGAATCTCCCGTTTCTTGTTAGGAAAGAAAGGGTTGTTTTGGTCAGGCTACTTCTTTGCTTTTCGACTTTGGTGTTCGGCCTCTAAAAGGAGAAATTTGCTTTTTTTTTTTTTTCTTCTAATCCGATCTAAACCTGGAAAGGAGAAGAATTTATCATTGATTATTTTTAAAGCTTTATTTGTTTATTATAAAGAAAATAATATTAGAGCATAACTTTAATTGTATTATTATTTTTTAAAAATATCATTTAATTAAAAATATAAAATTAAATAAAATATAATAGATTATCATCAACACTTCAAATGTACTTTCATATCATTTCATATTTTATACTTTTTAAAAAATTTATTAGATAATTGTTAATATTTATTTTTGTTTATATTTTTTAACAAAATATTATTTTATAGAGCCATTTATTTATTATTTGTGACATAAATTTTAAAAAAATGTACATATTAATAGAGTAGCATTATTAGTTTAATCACTCGTTGCTTTGCTTGGTAACACTAAATTCTAGAACATTTTTTGCATTTGTATCTTCAATTTCCCGCCAAAAAAAAGGTGCTAGGGTGCAAATTCCATCCCTTCACCCAACTCAAAGCAAGTAATTAAATTTAACTAGAGGTAGAACTCCTGATGATCTTTAGTCCAAAATCACATTTCAGCTGGACCACGTTTTGACCAAGTAAACAACCCACGACAAACATGTGCTCCACTTCACACAACTGGCCCTAATATATGAACAACCATTTTGGGCCAAAAAGAAGCAGTTTGACCGAGTCAAACTAATTCTCTAAACCTAGCAGCCAACTAAGAATGGAATCAATCAATGTTTGACTGAGATTCTTGTGATGTTTCATTGTCAAATGAGCGAATAGATTAAAAACTCAGATTGGTGTGATTCAGTTCTAAGTACTTTTAAATCTTAAGGCAGCAAATCATACAGGATTATATTGGTTTTGCTTTTTTGTTCCTTAGGGTTGTTAATGATGGCTTTAATATAGTCTCAGTGATATACGAGTGCAACTTTCCACAGCAGGAAGGCTGACTCTTATTAAAAAAAATGCATCCAATCACCACATAGCAATTGAACAAAACCCATGTCAAATAAAATAAATAGAACGGCTCTGGTGTCGTCCATTTGTGTTGCTTGGTTAATCATCAGACTATAAACAAGTATAGAGAAAGATATAAAATGAAAACAGGTCGCCACCACAAGTGTAGGAAGTGAAAAGTGCTTTGTAAAAGTTGATAAGGTTCGTTCCTCCGGGAAATTCTCTAATTAAAAAAGCCAGAATTCTCCTGGCTCGCACCAACCTGTGTCTCTTGCACTTTCAGGTCAGAGTCAGACAAACTTGTTAGTCGCAGCCTTGAAGGTTTCCAGCGACAAACTTTTTACTCTCAAATAGTTTCATCCTGAAATCGAACTTGATGAAGATTTCAACCCTCATTGTCAAATTTAGAAGCCGAGGATGCATTGTCCCGAGCTTCTACTGTTGATATCGATTCTTTCTTGTCGAACCCAAAAAATAAGCAATTTTGAAATGCATCCAGACTGCTGGCTATTAGTTGGTTCAAACCTCCAAGGTTATCACCTAAAATCAAATCTTCACTATGATATTTACAAGATGGTACATCAAGATCTAGTGGTCCTAAAGAGTCAGGCTGCAATGTATAGAATAAGAAAGATAGTCAGTTGTCTAAAGAATTATGACTTTACAAACCCTTATTAACAGTGCTAGCCCCAGAGTTATGCCTCAGAAAAACAGCCCTGCTTTGCAGATTAATGCAATCAAAGGTTTAGTAAAGCTAACATACCCAATAAATGTCAGTCAGCTCATTGAAATCCTTTTCCGTAGTATCCATGATGTGCATATCAGATGGGCACTCATCCACAAGCTCTTCACAAGCAGAATTTACCATTGGCTCCTCAGGATCAGGTGACTTCAGTGGGAGCAGCTGAAATGACATTATACTGGTTAGTTAACTATTCCTCCACCTAGACAACCAAATTGCCAGGATGGAATTAAGATATACGTTAGAAAGGGTGCCAGATGCCGCAGATTTTGATCTTGCAATCTGTTTACAGGCTGCTTGGGAAGTTGCACTGGAGAATCTAGAAATTGCACAAGGAGTAGGATTCTTTGAAAATGAGAAGACATCGCAAGTTTCTTCAGCATCCCAAATAGAAGATGCATGGGATGCCAATGATGGAAATTCCATCTTGTTTTGATGCCTAGATATATGAGCAGCAATAGCTGCGTCAAATGAATCACAGCTGAATGGAATCTGCTGAAGACATTGCAAGCTTTCTCCAACAGGGTGGTCAACACAGTTACTGTCCAAGTCGTGAGGCACTTCTGCAAGAATATCTCCAACACTTATGTTTGTAAGACTGTCAGCCCATTCTCCAGCAGATACTGCAGCAGTACTATTGTTCAATCTCTGATCATCCTAAGCAAACAAAAAAAAAAAATAAAGTGTCAGAAATATACGGTGGATCAATCTGAAGACCATTCGTCAATGGTAGATCTAAAATGCCAAAAGTGGGCACTAGTATTCTTTAAAGAAATCTAGTGAACCAAGTAAGCCCCAGCGGGCAGTGAACAAAATGTAAAGTTGCTTGAAATCTATCATGTTGGTTGAACAGGGAAGCCAAGAAACAACTGTAAGGATAATGTCAAAGTATCCAAAAAGTCATAGGAAAAGAGATTTATGGATCCTCTGATGCTAATGGTAAAATTCAGAAGAGATGATCTCTTGATCTAGCAGATAACTAGGCAGTCATTTGCAGAAGACTATTTTTGTAAAGCGCAAGGTAATGAATAAAATTGATTGATAAGTCTAAACAAAGGCTACCAGATTTAGATAATAGGCAAAAAAAGGCACAGCTTTGGGACAGAACAAGTTGGAAAGTTTTAAATAATAACTGCCAGCTGAAACTCTCGAACAGATTCAAAGTCTTTGTAAAAGGGATGGACACTTACTGCATCTTCCAACCATCCCATAATAGCAACATTGCAAGTTTCACTTCTATCTGATGATGTATTTGTTGCAGGAATAGGGGAATCCCCAAGATTATCTTTAAGACCAGTGGTAAGGCATCTATTCATCTCATTGGGGAAATCGGTTAAAGAAGATTCAACAGCATTATTTTTATTCTGTAATATTGGCTGATTCTTGCAAGGATCATCAAGTTTCTTAGGCTGATCACCGGTAGATGAGACAGATACTTGTACTTCTTCCACAACACAGCCCTTCCTACTTTCAACATTCATATTATGCATGCTAGGAATGTAGGGTGGGGAAACAGGTGCTTGCCAAGTCAAAGATGCAACTTCAGTATCAGAAAACCAACCATACCTTCAGAAAGAGCTTACAAATTAGCAATTGTCCTTACAAATATAACACAGAAGATAGCAATGAGGCCAAAAGGATACAGGAAAGTACCTTAGGCGAAATACTTGGGGGCTTCCAATCATTGCATATACATCTGATGCACTGACGATGGATGCTTGAGTCCATCTCTGATAACCCCTAAGATTTTCTCTTTGAACAACATAAGGGAAAAGCATAAGCTCTCCTGATGCTATAGTTGAGTTGCCCCATTTTCGATTCAGGTGCTCCAATACTGATGATATCTTCTTTCGAATACTAAGAGTGAGTTCCAAGTGTGGGTTGTGTTTATCCTGACAAGAGATGAAGACCAGTTATCTCCTTAACACTACCCAACTGGTAATACTTGATGCTACACCAAAATCATCAACATAATTTCCTTTTGGCGCTCACCATTTCCAAGGCTCTTCTAGTACTGTCATCAATTGGAAACAGTTGGAGCTTAAGCTTCCCAGCAGCATGTACATTGCTCTCAGCAAAAGGATTTTGAGAGAAAGCAGGCAAGCGAAATTGATTATTTTCAATTGGGTCAAGAATCTTATGCCCTGGAACTGGAGTGGAAAAAATTGGAGTTGAGGAAATTTCCAATTTTAATGGTAATTTCAATTCCTCTCAAGGAAATAACTGATAAATTGATTAATTTCAATGTCACCTGGTGTATCTTGTTCTTGCTCAATGTCTTTATCATTAGTTGTTCTCTCCAAATGCTCAGCAGCATCAGCCACCAAAGAAACCCCAGCAATTGCAGCCTTTTCCCATTTTTTGTATGCAGCTGATGAGGCACCTACCAAGCATTTTATAGCAATACAGGTTTAATTTGAATGGAAAACAAAAACATTGAATTGTAGGAATGCCCATACAATACCTTAAAACTTTAAGTATTAATAGTACAAAGCAAGAACAGATAAACATCAGCCATGACATCAACAACAATGTTTAGTACAATGCTCAGCATCTATAATATCATGGCAGCAATACATGAAAGTAAATACATACACGGAAAACCTTATTGGGCTAGAAGAATCTGGAGATATAGTTTATTTTATTTATTTGGATGGGTAAAGCTACCTGGTTTCCGCCGTTGCCTTGCAGATTTCATGGTGTTTGACTCCCCTTTGCCATTGCTACGATTGACACCTACACTGGTATTACGCTTAGATGACCCTTTTCCAGGTCCTAATTTTTGAATATTTTGACTGTCCACAAGAACCAGTTTGACCGTACCAGCATCATTTCCTGAAGCCCTACTCTGATTTGCGACACTGTTGGGGGATGTAGGTGAACTATTCTCCCCTTGAGAAGGTCGTTTTCTTACATTCTTCTTCCGGTCCTTCACGAGTTGATGCTCCTTCATTGGGACCACAGATCAGTCAGTCCAACACAAGCATAAAATGTCATATTCTATGGAAAGGAAAGCAAACTAGCGATATACAAGATTCTTTTGACTAACCAATGCTTCAACAAAAATTTTAAATCTTCGAGGTTTCAGATGAAGTTTTGAGGCTCTGCAGCTATACTTTTCTAGTAGAGACCACCTGTAAAGAAGACTTGCAATTTGAATAAAACAAAAAAATATTCAAAGGGCACATAAAGGAAATGCTTGTGTCATATGCCCTCAAATGGATATGAATTGAAGATTCAACATGGTTATACACCTAACATAATCAAAGGTCATCTAAGTCTTGCTGGTAGGCAACCTATTTCACTGGAAGTGGCCCATCTCAGCTCAATAAATCTGCTCTAAATAGATATAAATGATGCCTCTAGATTGACTTAAAACTTATATTAGTTAGCAGAGCTGTAATAATGCATCCTCCACATAATATAATTGAATTTATCTAAATGAGGTTTTTTTAAAAGGCAATTAGTTCCCAGCATTACCAGCGAAGCATTGCTGCATTAGTATCTTTAGAGTTTTTGGCATCCAAACATAATCCTGGTCCCAAAAGCTTGTTCATGCGCCTCACAAGACGATAGTAATAATGTCTGACCTATAAATTTTAAAAGAAAAAAACAAATCAAAACATTGACAAGCGAATGTAGTCAGACTTGAATCAATAATAAAACAATCAGATCATATTCTAGTAGCAAATAACCTGATCTTTGTTTTTACTTTGCACACGACATGTGATCTTCTCAAAATTCTGCAAGTAATGCAGTGTCAGGAAATATTATATAGAAAAAGTTAAAAGCCAAACTCACATGTAAGATTGACATGCCTTCCCAACTTGTCGTAATGCAGTGAAGAAACTCTCTTCCTCTTGACGTGTCCAAGCAGCCCATTGCCGAGTTGGCTTTTTAGCTGCATTAGGCATTCAATTCATACAACAATTAAAGGCACAATCACTCTTCTCCATAGATGGAGATGGTGCATGGACTGAATCAATGAAAACTATTATAAGGAGAATTACAAGTGCATTCACTTACCAGGTTGGGCTGGCACAATATTATCTGAGGTGAATGACACTACACCGAAATCTCCTACCTGAATAGGAATATTTTCTTGATTATGTTGTGCCTCACAGGCTAAAGAGCCCTGTGACTCTGTCTGCATGTTGACAGCATCACATGACAACTAATGCCTCATCCCTCTTCAAATTTGTATAAAATCAAGTAGCCCTATTTATCACAAGGAAAATAAGTTTAATATCATATAGAAAACTGGGAAAGGCAAAAATTAGAGGAACACAAGCCAATATATAATCATAAAAAAAAGCTGACAACACAAGTGTAAGTACACTTATGCACAAATATCCCCCTTCTTCAAGAAAATAGTGAAAATAAGATGTTTCCTATCTTTGACTCTCAACAAATACAAGAGATTTTTATTGAAAGATAGGATCATGAATTTTGTGGCCAAACGGCATAGAGCCCATCAACAACAATATAGCTTACGGTTTTTACAAGATCAGCTTCCTGTTGTCTCCTATTATGCTGTAAATATTCACGTTAATAAAAACATTAAACAATGTTTTCTTTTTGGTGAAAGGTAGAAAAAACTTAATCCAATAATCAATATTTGAAGACCTAACCATTTTTCTATTTATGATCAGAAACTTGTTTTCACGGTTAGAAACAAAAACTTCAAGCATGCAACTATGTGAATACTAAGCACCCTCGGTATCCTCCAATGTGACTACCATGGCCAATGGGTTTAATAAATAAAGCAAATGATTATTCATCTTTTCTTATTCATCGATTTCTTCTTTCAATTTCACTTTTTCAAGGTCTAAGCCAACCATAGTTGTCTTTGTCTCCTCGGTACCCCCTCCCTCTTCTTCTTCCTCTGTAATAGCTGCCTCGCTAGCGAAGCGTCTTCCAAGCCCTGCGCGAGCTGCGTGCTTAGCACTGAATTAATAGCACCACTTCTACCACTTGCATAGCATATCGGTAGTAGCTACAAGACAAAAAACTAACTAAAAAATGCATATGAATTCATCACACAATCAAACTTCATGTAAGAAATTAAGAATGACATACCAAATAAAACAATCTTCCCAACCCTACATTATTTATCCCGATAACATTTCAATTTCCTTATACTAATAAACCCTAGAACCAACAAATTCTATCTCAAATACATCTGCTGACAATAAAATTCAACTACAACGAAAAAACAATACAGCTTTAAAAATATGCAGATTTTAAACAAAATGAAGAAATGTGAGAAAGCTTAATTTGTTTCAAGTGCATGAGATCCCAAAGAGCAAAAAAACAACCTACAGTCAACTGTACGACTAATTGACCAAATCGAATTCCACTTTTTCACATCAAAATAAGTTGAACAGAAAAGAAAACACACATAAGAACATACAATTACTTAAATTTTCTCGACATCCAAACAAAAAACTAGGGTTTCAAACTACAGTAAAATTTGATCAGCAAAAACCTAATAATACTCAAAAAAATAAAACAAAATAAAACAAAGAAACTGAAGTTATTCTGAAAATACCTGAAATAGAAAGAGAGATTTGGAAGATTCGAAGGAGATCAGATTTTGACCAAAGAAGAAAATCTATAGAAACCGGAAGAACCTTCCGACAGACGTCCAAGATCAATAAGATAGAAGAAAGAAAAGAGACCAGATTTTTTATTTTTTCTTTAATTTTTTTTCTTTTTCACTTTGAAGAAAAGAAAAAAATATTTATTTGGTAATTTGAAAGACAAAGAGTACAAAAATAAATAAATTGAGTATTGGATTTATCAAAAAGCAAATTTAATTTGGTAGCTTAAAGTTAAAACTGAAAGCCGGCAGAAAAGAAAAGTAAATTAAAATAAATGGACTGACCAAATTTATTTCTATTTTTATAATTTGGACTTGTGGGATACCCTGACCAGCTTATCTACCATAGAAAGGGCACATGAAGTGCCTAAATGAAGTAAATTTTATTTTTTATTTTTTATTTTTTTTTAAATATGGCAAGTAAGAAGGAAATTTTAATTTTATTCAATTAAAGCAAAATTTAATCAGTGGCATTTTCCTTTGTCTAGGTTGGCATTATTTGTTAAAAATTTGATGTCAAGTGGGTGATGATATAAAATGGATCGACTTTATTATTGAATATTTTTACTTTGGTCTTTTTTTTTTAATCTTTTAATCCAACATTTGAAATTTAATTTTAATACTTTCTTAGTTGGAATTATTCTTTTCTTTTTCTCCTAGGTTTTCTCTTTTTATTTTTTATTTTTTTATATAAGTTGACGTGTCAAAATTTTTTAATTAAAAAACTTGGTTGAAGAAAATTATTCCATGAAGGCAGATCAATACTTAAACGAAAACTCCTTAACAAAGAAAGGAATTATTCTTTTTAATACAAAATGTAGTCATAATTTTAAAATAAAAATAAAAAATTACAAGTGTTAAAATTTAAAACAAATATATTTAAATGTTGTAAAGTGTTTGACTTTAATTTTAATAATTAAAATTTCAATTTTAATAATTTCAATTATAATATATATAAAAAAAATGAGAGAACAACTTACATAGTATAATTTTTTTTAATTTTATGAATTTTTAATTCTTAATTTTAATAGATCTTAAAAATAAGATTAAATTATTTTTTATTTAAATTTATAAAAATCAATTATTAAAAAAATTGATAAAATTAAAAAGTTTTATATTGATGTAAGTTGATCCATTCCTTATATATAATATATATTTTTTTTATCTCTTGGATTTATTAAAATCAATAATTAAAAAATATGCAAAATTTTTTAAAATGTAATTGGATCCCTTTTTATATAAATAAATATATATATTTGTATATATATTTACACACCCAAGTTGCATGTGAGTAACAAAGGGAGAGATGCTTTTGCCAATTGCCACTTCAATTTCCTTAACTAAAAAACTACTTTTGATTATTTATTTATCTCTTTTTTGGGGATACATTACTTTAAAGAAATCTCCCAAGTTAAAACCAACACATGTTTTGATTACCACACTCAAATGAATTTTGTTGCTTACCATCTGACAGAGTGCTTTAATGATGAAAACTATTTTGCTTTTGACTAGAACTAGAATTTGTGTGACCACTGCAATCCAAGGAAAAAAAAAAAAAAGTGTTAGGTCAAATCATCATGTCACAAGGGGGAGAGGAATAGGTGCCCCATGTTCTGATAATGAAACTTCACAGTGAAAAGGAAATACAAACTCAAACTTCAAAATGAGGAACCATTCATGATTTCTTTAGTGCTTTTCCACATTTTATTCAAAACTGATTTTTTTTTTAATTTAAATTCTAATAATTGAAATTAAAAATTAACAACTTTGTTAAGACGGCTCAAAATAAGAAGCTGTTAGCTCAAAACAAGACTAAAGGTTCCTTTTCAAGTGACAAGTTTTAACATGAGTTACAACCTCCAAACCACCCTGCCAAGAAAGGAACTTTAGAGAAAACAATGGAAACAAAAAAACAAAAATTAAGCCATTAGTCTCAAATTTCATAACGTTCTTTATGGGACAAGGGCATGACCCATGTTGAAGCAACTTCCATTCTTTCCTAAGATAAATGTGGAAACTTAATTTATGAACAACACAGCTCTGCAGTGCGAATTCAGGACTAAAATTTCCTCCTCTGCCCATACATACTCTTGCAACAATGGCAGAGTAATCTCTTTCATCTGCCAGTTCACAAACTTCGTTATCAACAAGGATAAGAGGTGCCAACGAAACGCTGCGTTTAGATAAAGAACGAAAATAAACATTATTTAGAAGAATACTACAAGAAACGACACCGTTCCTTAGAATCAAGATTTTATAAAAAAAACAAAAAGATAAAGTGCTTTCTTGGGGTTTTGGGTCGTGATTTGTGAATCGACCGAGGAAAAGCCGATCTTCAACGATGGGATTGGGCTTCATAGTCGGCGTTTTTGGAGTTTTAATCCTGTCCCACGCAGCTTATTCCACGATTCAGTGTAAATTCCCACAACTCTCTATTCCTTTCTGATTTGATTTGATCGATAAAGTTTTAAAATTTTCTTTTTTCAGATAGGGGATTGTTGAAGATTATGGAGGAGGAGTTTTCAGGTCCACCCATGAATGTAAGTTTTTTTTTTTTAATTTATTTGATTTGTTGATAAATTTGTGTTATTTTTTAATGCAAAATCTAAAGTAAAGACATTGATGTGAAAAGAGCAGGTGGTTTTAGAGTTGCTTCTAGGGTTTGTTTTCTGTATTTGGGCTGCCCTAACCGTGCCCGGGAATTTTCACTCGATACATCCTGATTCTGAGGAGAATAGGTACGTGGAAACTATATATTTCTTCAATTCTCAGTGTTTTATAAAGATGAAATTGTTGTTAATGTGTCATTCAATGGCTTAATTTTAGATTAGGGGTCAGTTTAGATTATCCGAAGTTGATGCTACATTTTATTCATGTAAGATTGGGGGAAAAAGGTATACCTAGAGAGAGGGAAAGTGTTTGGTACTAATTTTGTGGTTAACTAAAAAGAAGGGAATTTTTCTTATTAGTTTTGCTGCTTAAATCATCTATATTGAAAGAGAGGAAGTGACAAATTAAACTGAAAATGCTGTTGGCGTCTTAGGGATCATAATCATGCTCTGACTGTCTTTGACATCTTCTTTAGTTGAAACAAGTTTGTTTTCCCCCCCATATGATGGTGTGATAGTATTTCATAAATTACATTTATAGATTTTCAGTTTGTGAGCTAGCATTTGTTCCTATTGAACTTAAGTTGAATGTTAGTTCGTAATCATAGACTAGCGTGCATCTTAGCAATTTCACATGGACAGATATGACATAGAAGGTCGTAGTGTGTTTATTCTTGTCTCAGTGTGTTTAATCTTTGATTAGTCTCCCTCGAAAAAATTTCTCTCAACGCTCTTTTCCTAGTAAATTTACAATCAGCTATATCTTTCGAATAAGGAGTTTGCTGAGAATCTGGCGAATTTGGTTTTGACTAATCATTCTATTTAAATACTGCACACTTCTATGGTGATTAAAAGATATGATGCTTGTTTGCATTTTTAATAGGTAGAGAATATAGCTGCTCTTATGAACCTTTCAGCCTCATGTTCCCATGCATACTTATACTTAAAAGCTCCCCATAAATGCTTTATATGTTTTTTAACTGTGCTTGCCAACTATTGCTGAAAATGAACAAGGAAGCCTAAAATAGACTCCTGACCTTGGCTGTGGCTTATCGTTCTTTTCAATGTTGGTGGCTCTTCCATAATATACTTTCTAGAAAAAGTTTGCTAACGGATCTTTGCATCTGTCATCCTTAACTTGCTTTGAGTTAGTAGAAAGTGAACAATGTAGAATAACTACTATTATTCCTGCTAGCTTTGTTGTTTGTAGTAAAAGTGTATGGGTCACTAATGTCACGAAGTATAATCTGGAATGCAGGATTGTTTCTTTGTCAGCAAACTTGGACTTCATGATCTTCAATCACAGAGCCAAAGCATTTCCGTTAGAAATTGAGATGAAGCTGAAGCATTAAGATCAATAAGCTTCACATATTTTGATTAAGGAAGTGCCATCGTTGGCGAGTCTGTTGATCTTAAGAGCTAGAGGGCATGGTTGGAGGTGTACTGTCTCGCATTGTACTTTTTTATTTTTCCAAAGTGGTAGCGATTTTAACCAATCATCAGTTACTATTCTTCTTGATTTGGCATTCTTGTTTGCTTTTATGTTATATTGTCTGGCATACCGAACCTCAGTGTCAGTTTGAATCATAGACACGGTTTCCAGCAGGTCAGCAATTCGAATCATTATTCGACTTTTCATTTTCTCCTGTCTGTGGTTCTAACCTGTTTCATGTTTGACATGGAGCAAATATTTTAAATTTGCAGTTATAACCTAGTGTTAAAGTTAAAAACTGCCTCTAGTAAGTGACTTTGAATTTAGCCTTAAATATAGCATGGAAGAAATCTTACATATCAATAATGACAAAAGGGAAGGTTACTTCTACCGTCTCTGTTACAAGCAGAAGCAACTCCATATATTTTAGACGGCTGCCCTAGACAGTTGCGGGCATTGTCTTACCAGAATTCCCTGGCTCTAAGCTATATACTATTGCGATGATTTTGAAATTTGCATAAAGAAACTGACTAGTTTGATTACTGATGGAAAATTCCAATTGAAAGTGGGGAAATTTTCCTGACAAGTGATTTCCACACTAAACATCATAACACGAAGTAAAAGAGAATCATATAAGAGAGACAGAGTTGTTAGGTTGGACATTTTCCTTGTTTAAATTGAACAGCCGAGAGTAAAACTGTGCAAGAAAACTTCCTTTTGCCAGATGCATTGTCGTGGACAATTTATACGTGCTCCTCTCACCCTTCTTTTGGAAGCTCAAATCTAGCGACTCACCCAAGATTTTCTTGCCAGTTCGAACTTGAAATGAAGAGCAGGCCTCTTTTCAGGAAGGAGAGTCTTTCACCATCCAATTCATCAGATGGCCCACATTTCATTGCTTCAATGACAGGAGCAAATGCCTGTAGCACAGAAACATGATTGCCCTTGCTCACTTTATCAGAAAGACCAGTTGGCAAAACAACCTGTGAAACATTTTTCTCCCCAGGTTGCATGGGGTAGCAAGAAAAGGGTTACTTCCAGCTTCTTGTAATTTTTCCCTTTTAGCATCGATGAACGCAGAAACTGAAGTTCCAGTAGAACCGTTACACACCAGTCTCTGCCCTCTCAGCCTTTCTCTGCTGCCTTGCTTGCTCAATCTTATCAGCACAAGGATCAGATGCCCTCTCTTTCCACATAGGTGTATGAATATAAGTGTGAGGATCAGGCAAAGCAGGCAACCAAATTGGGATATGCTTGCCAGGTGGGGTCCCATTCATATGCTCAAAACTTTGAATCAGGTTCCTATACTTAACAACAGGAAACTTAAGCACAGGCTGAGCAACCAAAATTTCATCCTTCAAATTCACAAACTGAATTATTTCCCTAATTGTGCCAGCACCTACAACACAATTTCGAATCTCCGAAGCACCCGGAAACCCATGTGAAGCTCCCAAATCTTCCAAAGCCCAAGTTATATTAAACAGATTGCATTATATCCTACCAGCTAAATTAGCATGAGAACTTGCATTTTTTCCTAAGTCACAGAGGTATGGAATTGAGATATCAGTAAGAGCCTCCAAAGCAGACTCTTTAAATCCCTGATAACCGACACTCTCGCACATCTGTACCACTGCAGTCTTTGAAACCGCTCTCCCAAAGTCATCAGCTTTCGATCTTCCCAATGACAAGCTACGCTGACCATCGCTCTTTCTTGTATCTCTTGTATTCCCCACACCGCCATGGCTCATGTTCAAAACCTCATATCGAATTTAACAGTATTTTCCCCCTAAATTCTGACATCATCTATTCTTTCATCCCTTTAATCTCCTACTAATTACTCGTAAAAAAAACTAGCCGTTACCCTCTATTTTGTTAATGGGAAAGTTTCGTTTTCTACGAAGAAAAACCCAGGAACTAAACAAACCCATTTTTTTCTTTCTACATTTTTCTCGGGAAACAAACAAAGACAGAAAATTACAGCTGATTCCAAGATACCTAGAAAGGGTCTACACTTCTATTTCTACAACAAACAAAAAAGGAACAAAATAGGGGATAAAGAACAGAATTTGAAGCCTTACCAGTCATGCAGGAAGTTCAAATCAACTGGGAAAAAGAACGACTTCAGTCTTCAGCTGAAACCAGAGAAACAGGCCCAAATTTTAAAACGCACCCAACCAAAAGCGAAACCTAAGAAACACGTTCCTAGAGGTTTTAAAGGTTTTTAAAAGGTTAAATGCTCGATTAAGATCGAACCATTGTGTATTTTTTAAGTTAAAGATTTCAACTTTATTTTAATTTAATATAGAATGTAACGTTTTCAATTTTATTCAAATAAAGATTAAATTAAGGCTGTAATTTATTCGTTCTGTTAAATTTATTTTTTGTTAATATTTTTCATTAAAATCATTAACTTTAATAAAAAAATACAAAAATTAAATACAGTAGCAATCGATAAGGTATAGAGTAAAATTGAGCACAATAATTAACCTCAAATGATCAAGCAAGACAAGTTGGATCGTAGCAATTCACAATCAAAGGCCATTGAAAAACAAGAAATTTGTGACCAAATTTTTTAATTTTTGAAGAGGTAGAAAAATATACGGTAAAACAATTATTTTGAGAAGGTTTTTGGGAAAAAGAAAATTTTTTGTTAAACAATCAACAAAATAAATTTATCAATAAGATTAACAATCAGTAACTAATTTTAATTAAGTAATTGATAGAATAAGAAGGTTTTAATTCACAAAAGCAGCCATGGTAATAAGATTTGATAATTCATCAACAAAGTTTTTTTTTGGGTTTGATTTTTTTTTTTTTTTTTTGAATTTTAAGACAAAGTTAGAAAAGGAAGAAAATGCTGATCGATCGACGGTACAGTGGATGGTGAGGAAATTTCATGATTCTTGAGTTTTTTAATTTTTGGATTGCAGTTGAGTTTTGATTTAAATATTTAAAGAGAGAATAATGGAGAAGAAAAGTTGAGCCTGAGATTCTTATTTCAATCACGAAGACGTGTCGTCGGTGAAGGACAAAGATCGACGATAGTCATTGGCGACAAGATTGATGAACAAAGAGGTTGATTTCTAAATATTATATTACAAAATAGTGATTCTTTTAAGGATGTAAGTCACAATCATAAAGGAATGCTTTATTTGAATAAATTCAAAAATTTTATTTTAAATTGAATCAAATTAAAATTAAAATTTTTAATTAAAAATCACATAAATATTAAAATTTTAATTGAGTACTTTAATTTTTTTAAAAAATCAAAGATAATACAGGAAAATTTGAGAAATTAAAAAAAAAAACTCTATTTGGGCCTATCAAGCCGGCCCACAACTATATTTCACTTAAAAAAAGATTTTTTTTGTTGGCCTTATCCTATTAAAGATAAGAGTCTGGGAGGAGAGCTGAAGAAAGAGAGAAGCTTTGGCGATGGAGAAGTATTTTGGGAATGCATATAGAGGGGACCCCGGCGTGCCGCATGCGGGTCCGGATCGGTTCATGAATATATGGATTGGGTCCTATGCTTTCTCTGCTCTTACTTGGTTCAACCCTTACATGTGGCAGCTTGCTAACCAATTCAAGTGATTTTCACTCCTTTTTCTGTCTTTAAATTCTTTTGTTTCATCTGAATATTTGGCTTTGAGTTTTATGTTTATTGGACAGTTTCATATATAAGCTGTGATTTTTATGTTTAGTTTCCTCAGTTGGTTTATTTTAGGGTTTTTGTGATTTTGGTTGCCGTTTGAAGTTAATGAAAGATGGTTGAAATTCATTAGCATTAGGATTAATTGTTTTTCTTTCTTTTTTTTAATTTCAATATTGTAAGGTTGAGATTTTGATTCATTGTCTCCATATATCTCGTGGTCTGGTTTGATTGGGATGGGAATGCTGGATTAGGGTTGGATTGTAGCATAGTTCCCTTTCTTTAATTAGGAATATTTCAAATTGCAGTTGGCATGACCAAGCAATGATATTTGAACACTACCATTGGAAGAAAGCCAAGGCAAGGAAGCAACGATACAAATTTAAGGTATGTTGTTTGATATCACTCATGGGCAAGCTTTCTTCAAAAGCAATATGGAAAGTCCTTTTAGATGCCTTATACAAAGTGGACATGAAGTGTTCTCATGAAACCTTCACTTTTTTGTCTTTGCAGTGGAATGAGCGCATGGACAAGGATCACAGGGACTCGTATTATTTCAACTGGCCTGTCTACTTCCCTTAGTTTCTCTTTTGTGTAGGCATGCTCTTTGATAAGTAGTTTGGACAAAGAAATTTGCACTGCTGAAAAGTTTGTGTATCTTTATTGCTTCACCCCTTCTTCCGAACTCATTATGCTGTCTTAACTCCTCCCTCTCTTATTTTGGTGGATCTGAAGTCTTTCAAGTAATATTGGGATCTTTTGTGAATGTTTCTACATATATTTGTTATGCTGTTGAGTGACTTATACCTTTCTCAAATATGCTAAGTCGGTAATGATGAAATTTTTCTATGGAAGAGGGTGAATGATTAGTTGTTTGTTGTCTGAAAGATCAATGAGAATTGGAAACAGGAGAGGTATATTGTTGTTAAATGCTAGGTTTAGCTAGTTAAAAAGACTTGTGCACATCCTTGAATATCTAGTTACTAGTTGGTGAGCAATTGACTTATGTTCAAAATGCCCCAGTTACTGCTAAGGCAAGTTTGGGTGGTAGGATGACCAGTGCCTTCCCTGGTCAAGCCTTTTTGGACTTACATACTTATCAGATTGAGCTAGTTAAGAGTCATTTTCATTTGGCTCAATATTATTTAGATGTCACTTACTTCCCTGTTGTGCACCTCTAACTAGTAGCTAACTTCGATTTCAATGGGTTGCTGTTGAACTCAGAAAAGAGTAAAGTCTTTAACTCTTTATTGATCTTCATTTTGATAAATATCTTTGCGATAACTGTGGCAACTAGCCTTCTGAAAGTTGTCAACCAACTGAAAAAAATCCATCATTATCTCAACTCAGAAAGCACAATTCTTCCACTATGTCCACTATGGTTTTATGTTCTTATTGGTTTCAATGTTGTTAACCTTAGGTCTGACATTCCTTCTGAAGAGGAGGTCGGTTATGTTCATCCATCAATGCAGGTTCCCCAAGGTTGTTGGCCTGGAACTTGATTCTTGGATGCTGGTCTTTATTCATGTTCCTGAGAAAAGGAACTGTATAAACATTTAATTTTTTATAATTCAAATTCAAAAGTAAAATGATGAAAAAGAAAGCAAACAAAAAGTGTAGACTCTCCCATGACAGAGAGCTTATAAGCCTGGTATGTACTCGAGCACTTGGAGACACCTTTGGCCAAAACACTAGAGAGCTTGTTAATCCTACCCTGAAGAAAGTTTCACTTCACGAAAACGAAAAAGACCATGGCGTTTATGCAATATCCATCTCCTTCTTTCAGAACCATCTTACCTCCTACTTTTTCTGTAGCCATCACATCATCTTCTCGTCTCTCTCTGCCAACCACTCATAGCATAAAACTCAACCAGTTCCACAAATTGGGTCCCAGATTTTAGAGCCAAGTCCATTAACTTGGTCATCTCTGGTGCTTTTGCTCTTTAGTTTATCTCTAACAGGCAAGTCAAATGAACCTGCATTGAATGGTGGTTTGACTGTTTTCAGAGTTATATCGAAGCTCTTAGCAATGCTTTAGAATTAGCTCTATGATTGCCAAGAGCTTGACTGTTCTACAGTCTTTTACTGTCGAGACTGATAACCTACAGATCGCAGAGTATAAGGTTTAACAGTAAAAGACTCCATTAAAAGTAATTTCTCTAACCATATAAGTTCTCATTATGACCCATATCAATGGTTCCAGGCTTTGGTCATTTGTTGATAAGCTATAGAGCTTATACTCAAAAGTCCAAAGGGCAAGAGGGCTAAACCCTGTATGGTTTTCAACTTTAGGATTCCATAATGTGCGGCTTAATTGTTTCTGTTTAGTCACTCTTGATCTGAAACACATTACACACTGCCGATTTCAGAGGATATCTCAAGCATATAGCAGTGTAGAAGAAGGTTTATTCTTATGTAAACAACAAATTCTGAACCCAAATTACCCTGTCGTTCAGCTCACCAGACGTGTTAGATATTATGTTAGCTATTTGGTCCAATTCTAATTACTTGGATATGAATCAGATAGGTTCAAATTTGAAAACAAAAATCTAGTGTTGTAAAATATGAAAGATAAATTATAACGATTAAATGGAATGTAAATACAAAGCTAAATATAAGTACATATATGCAGGTATGCAGGAAAGGGAAATTTGTTCATCCTCTGATGTTGATAATAACCTTTGTTGCACTTAATATAAATGTCATTTTAATCAAATTAAAACTCGAGTTCCGAGTTAGTTGGATTCAAATTCAGATTCTATTCTTATTGGAGTTTTAATACCAGTATGAAGTTTCATTCTACATTTTTCTTAATCAGCTGAAATATCATTGACGAGTTACAACATTTAAACTATTTCCCCAAATAAAGGTGAAAAAAGGAACATCTTAAATATTTATAAAGCTGACTAAGGAGAGATCCAAGAACTAACATAAGAATTTGTAACACAAGCTGATAAAAGCATACCAGTTATCACAGAAATAGCAAAAGTTGTCAGACAAACTAGTCAATGGAAATACATGTTATTTTAGCCTAGCAAGTAAGCTAAAGTTTTTATATGTTTAGAATTCTCCGTAGCTCATCTGGTCCACAAGGAAGTTCAAGGGCAGCCTCTTGGGAAAACCCGAATTCTTCCCCAGCTTTCTTCAACAACTTCAGGAAATCAGGATTGTTGAGATGATCTAATTTGATGACAAACCTCTTTGGTTCCTGACCTTCGCAGCGATCACCACAAAGTGGCCATCCCGGATCCTCTTGGACAGGGAAAGACTGCTTTGCAGCTTCCCCGCAATGAACCTTAGCATTCCAATGCTTCCCTTCTTCAAGGCCCCAAAATTCTTATCCTTACCCATGGCCAAGTCACTTAGGTGTACCAAAATTTTGCACGATCAATTTTGAGGCTCTGTGTAGGCAATGCAGATACATATATAGCATTTTGTACCTAGAAAATGGTAGATAAAATGAAGGAGAAGTTGTTAGGGGACCATAGCATAGGTGCTTTTCCCATGTGACGCTTCTTAAATTGTCAGCTAAGTTGCACCCCCTATTTTTAGTTGAATGCAATGTGCTTTAGAACCTGCTAATAAGTATGTGCTGTCTTAGAACCTGCAAACACAATCTACTTAGAACAGTCTGCTTAGAACAGACTGTCTTTCATATGCAATGTGCTGTCTCTTGACGCTTCTAACAGTCTGCTCTTAGAACCTGCAAACACAATCTACTTAGAGACAAGACAAAAGATTCATATGAAAGAAAGGCACAGCTTTCCTCCAACCACTTCACAGCTAATAAGTATTCTCATTCAATCAGCAAAAATTTCTAGGAATGTTGTTGCTAACGGGGCAATAAGACAGGAGGTTTACCCAGGTAAATTATTACGTAAACACATACTGTTCGGTCAACAGTAAGTAAGCAATGACAGTATTCTCTCAGGGCGATGCAATGAAGACAGCTAAACAGATGGTATATGTCTACAATAGTTCTACAACTCAAACCTTTACACTTGAGCCAAGAAAAAATGGAAAGCTTTAACAATAATAAAATTAAGTTATACACAAAAGTTAGACTATTCTTAAGAGCAATGAGCAAATCAAGTTATACACCAGCTAGAACTAGGCGACAGATCCACCAGATGAGTCAAGAGAAAAAAGAAAACATAATAAGACCGCTCTTAAATTGCCATGGGATTATAAATCCTACCTATATCCTAGGCTCTGAAGTGAACTAAAAAGCTTGCAGCTATCCAATGAGAAACTGCTTGGTAACCCACCAATAGATTGGTTAAATTAGTTACATCCTCTTTGGAAGCCTAAGGTTAAGATCTAGTGTTCTTAATCAACCAAAAAAAAGTTTTTCAGTCCAGGGGAAGATCTCCATGGTAGCTAGTTAGGCAATAGAATAATATCTTATCAGTTTATTGATTTTTGGTCTCTAGGGGTATTTTGCTAATTTCTGTTTAACTGGAATCAGCCGTAACCATAGTCCACTAGATCTTATTTTGGGCTGAGCTATTATGGTTTAAGTAGTCTTTCAGCTTACACTAGTTGAGTTTTATTTCCAAGCCTAATTATTTTGGCAAACCTAGAGCAAGTAGGATAAGTTCATGTGTGCCTATTGCATCTCTTTGTCTTGCTAGTATAGGTAGAATGAATTGTAATAGAGATTTGAGTTATTAATTGTTCTTAGAGAAATCGATATAAGACCGAAAATTCCAGCTAGCTTTCCCTTGCCTTCTTTCAGACCAATATCAGGTGAATCAAAGCCTAGTTAATTCTCAAAACTTGACCCTAATTTCAATCATAAGCATAAAACTTAAGATCCCTAATTTTCCCCAGCCCAACTTCATAACTTTGTCCGACATCACTCACACTTGCATTAAACTGCACAATAGACTCATCTTAAAGTGATAACCTTATGCTGGATAAAACATACAATTTTAGCAACTTTGTTTGGAACATGCTTGCAAAATATCTGAAAGACAGAAATGAAACAACCATTGCACCATGGCTTGATGCACGTAGATGCACAATTCTATTTATGAAGCTTCTATTACAATCAGGTGAAGTTGGCAATCCTAAGCACCTCATGCAATTGAAAAAAAAAAAAAAAAAGCTCAAATATTGTGAGGAAACTGCATTTAACATGTCTGGAACAGAAGAAATCATCATAACAGACAATAGAGATAAAGAAATTTAGTACGCTGGTTACATCCGTCTCAGGGCAGACAGAGTTCACAGATTATCACATGAATGAAAAGAACAATTAAATATGAAAGAAACATGAATCAAGCTCATAGGCCCACAAGGGACAGTGAGGCTGACATGTACTCAACATACAACATGCTAGGAATATTTAAGTACAATACCTTGGAAATTGGAAGAATGGGGCTCATAGGGGCACTCCAACTTGTGCAAACCAAAATTCCTCTATAGCCTGTTCTTACAATTCTAAAAATAATTGATGAACTAGATGATAGAGTTTAAACATCCTCCAAGTTTTAGCATACCAGGCCATAAACATGCATATAATCCAGTATATGCTTAAACAGTCAAAGCAAGAATAAGATAATCAAGTTTAGCAAGCATACATAAAGTTATACATAACTCATTTCTCCCTTCACAATCAGACATTGTCATTCTGTGAATTAGTAAACAGAATACTCATCAAACAAAATTCATTTAAATGGAAAAGGACTGTCATAAATCATACTTAAGAATTCATTAACATCAATACTATTTAACCATAAGTATTTCACAACCGCTCGGTTATTTTATTCCTCAAAGAACAAGATTATATATCCTATAGAGAATGGGGGTAATCTCTTTACTTATAGGATGATCAGACTGTTGACTTCCTCTCAAATCCGGTGCCAGGATCATCATTGGAAGGGAAAACCTGAAGCCCGGTAACCATTGCAGCTGGTGGACCACGACGGCACCTCTGCTCCATCTCCTGAACAGACTCTGGGCTCCCAGAGAAAAGAGCTTCCACTGAACCATCCCTCCTGTTCCTAACCCAACCTTTCAAGCCCAGTTGAGTGGCATTCTCTATTGTCCAGTTCCTATAAAACACGCCCTGTACCCTACCCTTTATGACAACCCGTACCTGCACATCAAATCCATAGTTCATTACAATTCATACACAGAGATTTAAAAACCTAAATTGCACAATCAAATCAAGAGATGTCCATTACTGACAGGAAGTTAACCTTTCCAAGGGAACATCCAAAAACCATTATCAAAAAGCAATAAAGTGACATAAAACCCTAATTGGAACAAACAAAATGGATAAACCTACAGAAGATTCCAAAGATATGCCTATTATTTATGCAAATTTGAATTTTCCAAGGGAACAACCAAAACCAATTATTAAAACCTAAGGAAGACACGTATAACCCTAATTAGAACAAACTAAATCAATTAGTACCTTATATAGACATTACAATAACTACAATGCACCAACAAATCAAGATAAGCCCATTATTTACACAAATTTGAATTTCAGAGTGAACAACCAAAACGCAATGTCAAATATATACAAAAGAGACTTAAAGTTTAAACCCTGATTAGTATATATAGACTTTAAACTTTCAAGTACCTAATTTGCACAAACAAATCAAGAGATGCCCATTATTTACACAAACTTGAACTTTGAAGCCACTGAAGAAATAACCAAATCCCATTATCATCAATAACTAAGAGTCATAAAAATTAGCACAAACTAAACCCTAGTGTTAGCTAGTTGCTAATTCAAAATAGAACTACAAAATCATTACTCAAAATTAACAGAAATTTCCAAGGAAACAAACAAAACCCACTTTCATTCTCCTTTACTAAAACTTAAACCGTCCCATTAATCCCATAAACATAGCCACAATCTTGACAGTGATGGTTGGTTAAAATGAGTCCCTTTTTTTTTTGTTGCCTATTACAGAATTATTCACTCTAAACTGAACTTTCCAAGTAAAATAACCAAAACCCAAAATTTATATCTATCATTAATATATGATCATTGAATAAAAATTTAACCTTGAAATCTAAGGTTGGTCAAAGGAATCATTGTATTTTTCCGAAAACCCAATATTCAAATAAGCAAAATATCTCAATTACTCTTAACAAGGATAATAGAGAAACTTACGGTTTTGGTTTGGGAAGGCTGAGAGGAGTCATTGGCAACTTGAGGAGCGGCCATTGAAGTTAAAAGAAATCGAAGAGGACAAAAACTAAGTGCAAACAAAGAAGGAAGAGGAGGGTGAGAAAAAGAAAAACGAGAGCAAAGCGATAAAGAAGGATGAAGAGGAGCAGAGTTAGAATAAGATAGAAAGGCGAATCTATGACCAAAAGAACTACTTGCATTTTGGGAAAATTTTTTTGGTTTGAGACAATGAATGAGGAATCTGGAGCTTGTTTGATAATTGATTAAGGTTAAGGATGGTCTCAGTAGTTGAGCTGATGCCATTTTGGTTTTGACTTTTTGAAATGTTTGGTTTTGATAGGTGGCGAGATTGTGAAGAATTCTATGGATTGTTTTTCTTGAAGGCAGGGAACGGGAGCTTAGAAAAACAGAGGTGGGTTCTTACAATTTTTTTTCCTTTCCAAGTTTTATTGTTTTTCTCTTCATGGGTATCTTTTAATATGCCAAATAATCAAGCAGCTTTAGGATTGATTGTCCGATACTCACAGAGGGCAAACAATGTCCAAAAGGATGTAAACAATGTCTGAGCAAATGGCAAAGAGGAAGACCAGGATGATGAACAACACACGGGCTACACCAAAGAGCAGGATGAAAGCAATGAAACAAGCCTGGCAAGTCTAACGAGATTAGAATAGCATCCATTGTTTTCCCCTTTTTTCCCAGGAACATGGCAAAGAAAGCAGGCCCAATATCAAACCGCCAGAGAACTTGGGCTGAGTTGGTTTGGATTTGAAATAGCACATGAAGGCTGAAGGCCTGGATATACTTAAATCTGGCCTCAAAAAAATTTATGAGCCCAATTTGGATTGCCGCTTTGGCACTGGCGGCTGCCAAAGTTTTCAACAATTGTCATATGTCAGCTTTTTACTATTTTCGGTCACCTTTTTCCTTCTTTTGGGGCTAAAGCTAGTAAATGCGGCAAAGCTTATCCAAAATCATGAGAAAGTCAAACTAAAATCAACGAAATGCCCGGGTTTCCTACCAACCGAAATTACATATTCAAAGATTTGATTGAATATTCAATGCCCTTTTATATCAACAGTTGAATATTTGCCAAAATATTAGGCCAACAAAGAGAAAATGAACACGACTGCACGTGGGTTGTGAAAAAGAATAAGACTTTTTTTCTTTTTACCAAGAAAAAAACTTTTTTTAAATACACCGTTTTAGAAATATATCAAGAAAAATATTTTTTTTTCAAGAAACCCAGGTTGAAAATGAAAAAAAAAAAAAAAACTGAGGCTTCTATAAAATATATAAATTAGAAAATAGATGGAATTGTACGAAGAATTTTTAATTTTTTGTAGGTCTGGTTTGAACAATAATTCAAATGAATGACCATGGACTATAAGCATTAAATAAATGGTCTAATCAAACATTCGTAAGAGAAAACTCTCCAATATATTTTGTGTAATAGACCTACTAACAACCTTATTAATAAAAATCACAAATTTTAATTTTTATTTGTTTAATGAAAAGACAAAACTCCTTAAAAAAAAATTTTTTTTATTGGATTAAAACTCACGATCGCATGCTTGACTCAAATTTCTTGTCATTAGGTTAAGAAGTGGAAGATAAATTATAAATCTTGATTTATAGTAACTATTAACTTATTATTAATTCATGTATTGATTAACATTGGACAAGGTAAGCTTAGTCTTTCCTTTCTAATAAAGCCAATATCATCAAGTATTACATCAGACTGTCATTTTATTTTTATTAGATTTTATCAGCGAGTTTTTTAAGAATATTCGTTAAAATTATTATATTAAAAAATTGTTTTTTAACACATTGAAATTATCACATTAACTATAGTTATTATATTTAATAAAAAATATTACCATAAATAGTATGTTAATTAATCTTAGAAAATGTTCTAAAATATAAATTTACTCTTTTCCCTTGGTCGGTCTAAAAACAATTCAATATGAAACAAAACTTGTTGCAAAAATACATTAATTATTAAAAAAAAAAGAAAAAAAAATTGTTGAACTTTGCTGTCAATTGTGGAATTTGAAATTGAAGAAAAATTGGAAAATAGAACATGCGAAGAAGGCCAAAGGACACATTTTGGCGTGCAATTTCAAATTCCAACAAGACGCCGTGTATAATTGACGTGGACTGGGACCCAAGGGTCACCTTCACGTCTGGTGGGCTCACTTAACTACGCATATTTTTTTCATTTTACCATCGGCTCCATCATCACAATCAAATACATGATTTACGTATTTCACTATATGATACATTGAATATTCTTCCTATTCTAACGCAGCAGACGCCCTTTTCAAACCGCCATGCCCCATTATCATTGCCACGCATGTGAACATGCATGGATGATGCTGCATGATGCATACTCATAGTTCACCATCATCATCATCATTAAAGAAAAAAAACTCTAGCTCTATGAAAGTGAACCTTTTTGTTTTTTTTTTATAGACAGTCATAGGTGGAGCTGAGTCAGAAAATTAGGACCTTATTCATGACTCTCACCCACCTCCTGCCTTATCTTATTTCAAAACTATATTATCTTAAAATTATTAAATTTTTATATTTAAAATTATCAAAATTTAAATTATAATTAATAAAATTATTATCACAAATAATTGATTTAATTAATTAAATTTTGTTTTTCAAAAAAAAAATTTTAGAATTTATCAATGAATATTTATTGAGATTTTTTTAAATACACGAATTATAATTATTTATTTTAAAATATCAAATATAATATATTTTATATTGATTTAAAAAATTAAATAATCTACTTATCTTTAAATTAAAAAAATAATAATAAAATTATTGGCAAAAAAAACTGACAATGAAATGATTTAAAAAATTATAATGAGATTAAATTAGTGATTATTTATTTTATTATCATAAAGTTTGAGATTATTTTCTTTATTTATAACACGAAAGAAGACGGCTATCTATCACACAACGGAGGCAAAATCATTCTCTGTCGGTGCAACCAAAACGCTGCTTTACTGTGAGTCCAACTCAGATGATTTGCTGATAAAACTAGATTAACTGATTGTTAATCAGTCATTAACAAAGAATTAATCAAATAAACAAAATTTTATCTTCTTTTCAGAAGCTTCCTAATTAACTTATTTTTCAAAAAGTTGGTTGATTAATTAGAATACAAGTTAATGTAATTAATTAAGATATATTTTTTTTTCAAATAGCACATAGATGAGAGCACAAGCACACTTCTTTGATGGTGGTTTTGTTTTGTGGTTGGATTAGTTTAAAAGTAGTTGATTAGCGTAATTAATTGGACTTGAAAATAACAATTAAATCTAAGCGGAATCTCGATGTTGTTCAATGATTTTTAATCTTGAATTTTGCCTTCAGAAGGTAGCGGTAAACTAATTTGTCACCTTTAATTTGTACAACCACGCAAGTTAAGAGGAAATCTGACGCATTTACAAAGGTTTTATGCAAAAATTTCAACCTTAATAATTAGGTTGGTGATGTTGAAGTTTTATGTGAATATTTTAAAATGAATCGTACACACTCTTCATCCTTTTTTTTTTTTTTTTTCCTTATTAATGAAGATAAGCAATTAGGCATCGAGTGTGTATGTTACTCATTGACACTAAAAAATAAAATAGACAATGATTGAACTATATACCATGGGAAAATGGTGCAAGAAATTTTACCTAATTAAATTATGTCTGTGGCCAGAAATTTTATTTCTAATTTTTCTTTGATACAAAAAAGTTATAATTTAAAAATAAAAAATTATAAATACTGAAATTAGAATCATAAAAATATCACTTGAATCAATTAAATAAGCCTCAAATTCAATAGATTCTTCCAAATATTAAAAACAAATTCCTTTATTAGAGTACATTTCTTGTTCTCTCACATTATTTGCTTTATTTCTTAGGATGCATAGAATTTTTTTATAAAATATTTGAAATGTAAAAATTTTAACTATTAATTATTAAAAATTAAAATTAAAAATTTAATACTTTATCAACATATTAATTATTATTAAAATAATTTTTTTACTTATTTAGGAAAAGCTCAAATTAATCGAATCATTTTATTCAAATTTTATGAATTTTTGTCTATAGCATGAGTACATATTTTTATATAAAAATAAATATATTATTTAGGATAAGATTATTATAATATACTCTAAATAGTAAGAGAGGTTGACATAGAAGTAAAAAAAGCCATGACATGTACAACCCAACGTCCAATCTTCATTTATAAGCACATTGTTATCCATTAAGGACTTTAATAATTGGAAATAGAAAAGGCTCCAAAGAAATTTAAGCGTGTAATTTATATATTTGTAATAAGTTTTATATAAAAATTATATGTTATAATATATATTAATAAAAAAAAAAATATTTTTATTTATATTAAAATTTAAAATATATTATTTTTTATATAATATTATTATATCATATTTTTTTTATTTTTAGTTCCTATTGTGAGAAGAAAATCAAGCCTTAATTTAGTTTAATTTAAATTATTATTACTTATTATTATCATTGCCTGCCATACTTAATAATCTCGTCCTCTTGATGTCAGACTTGGAGTACGAAGAAGGAATATTTATATTTCAAAGCCATTTACTAATTATTTATTAAGGTCTCTAGAAGCTTGCTTTTTAAAATTTAATCTGTTAGGTCACATGCACGAGATGGAACTAGGCCAATTGATTAATCACCTGATCATCTCTGGACTCTGGCCTGCTTAACCCGACATTCAAATATCGGTTTTGTCTTGTTTTTCTTGTTTTCTTCTTCGCTAATATAAACATTTCATTTGTGCGTAAGACCAATGATAAGCTTAGTTGATTTGTTGTAAAAACTTGACTTAAAGTAAAAAAGTTTTAGTCATATGCTTTCGATTTGATCTCCGTAAGCAAACAAAACAGTATAAACATCAAGATTGGATCATATTTGGCTGATAAGCGGTAAATGGGTGGTCACGTCACATATATATATATATATATATATATTTGAGGTCATCAATTTAAAACTTTAATTATTAAAATTAAAAATTTAACTGTATAAATATAAAAATTCGATCAAATTATTAATAAGTAGTTGATTCAATCGATTAAGATCATTATTCTAGACGAAAATATTTTAGATTCGAATATTATTTATGGTTATTTGTTGGGATCATGTCGAATGTACGATCTACAGTCATTTATCTTAAACTGTCAAATATGAGATATATTATTCAATTTTGAATGATTGAATAATTTATTTATTTTTAAATTTTTTTTATCAACAACAAAAAAATCGATCAAATTTTTGGTAAATGGGTGGTCAGCTTTTTTTTGTTTTTTTATTTGAGATTATTAATTTTGAAATTTGATTATTAAAATTAAGGATTTAATATTTTATTAATATATTATACAATTATTGATTCTGGTCATGATGTTTTAATTCTAAAAAATTAAATTAAATTATATTCAAATTATCTTTAATTTCAATTATTTGAATTTGCTATATAAGTTATTCATGTTTTGATTTTTAATTATTTATTTTTAAAAATAAATTGATTTAGTTTCATATATTTTAAATTATTTGAAATATTTGATTTGATTAATTCATATACAATTTAAGTTCGATAAATTTAGATCATTAATTTTATATAATCAAATTAAATTAGATAGAGTTCGAATTCAAACCAATAAAAAAAAAGTATATCAACTTTATGAGATTAACTAAAATATACGGTGGTGCAAGGATTAAAAATTTGTCGAGAAAAAGTTGATTGTCGTGAAGAACATAATAAAGAAATCTGTGTAAAGTTAGGTACCTTTGCGAATGAAACCCTGACCTCATCTCTGCTAATCCTACCAGAAATAATATTTGCCATGATTTGTCTGGCTTCTTTGAAGCTGAAACTCTCCGTATCTTAGACTAATGAGCCATGACGCACATGCTTACGTAGGTTCCACTTGGGACGATGGCCTGGAGTTTGGTTTCAACGTCCCAATGGGGCCTAACGGTCCATCGTCGATGTAAATCGTAATCGACGCCAGCAAGAAAGCACGTCTCTTACCCTAATATACATTTATATGTATATAAGCCAATGAATATTCCTTCACAACGTTAAGTACAGTGACTGATGGCTACGTTAATGGTTTTTGGGTTTTTCCATGCAAATGAAGTCTTTTCCAAGTCAATTATCAATTATATTAGAGTCAAGAATTTCAAGGAAATTTGGGTTTTTGGACGTATTATCATGAAATGGAATAAATTTGACTTCGGTGCTTGGAAAAGGAGAGATATTATTGTGATAATTTCTGCGTAATACACTTGGAACTTATTGCAAAGTTAAATGCAGATTGGGAATCAAGTAACTGTTAAGTTTGTGACATGTATGCTTGGTGAGAGGAGTCGTTCTCACCAGTCTTTGGAAGTGACAGGCCCTGGAAATGTACAAAAATTTGGAAGCAGTAAGCGAAGCTGCCTGGAAGGGTCCTCGGCTAGAATTTGCCTCATTTGATTGATTTCTACTGCCACTATCGCTGAATCACATGCATACGGATTTACAGTACTTACGAAATGGAAAATATTTGTCATTCCAAGTTTCCATCACCCTTTTATCACCAAAGGAAAAGTATTTGCATAAGCCTTCATCTAAATTCTAACTTATAAAATATCACTCTTTAAATATGATTAGATATGTCAATTAGATTACATCTCCAACACTTTCGTATTGTTCTGATTTAATGATCTTCTAAATGATTTTGTTATCCCATTTTCAACAAAAGCAAAAAACAGTTCAAAACATCTACGTAACTATACGTCACCGTTTGTGTATAATCTAATCGAATATAGAATCCAAAAATCAGTCTTTTTTGGTCCTTTTAAGTTCCCGTTGCAGCTTGGCAAAGGAAAGGTAGGAAGGAGAGTTTACTTTTTCAGCCATTATTATAACACTAAATCTTATTTAATCATGAAAGTCTCATCGATGGCCTCTTAAAGGCCTCTTTCAAGGGTTAGCTTTCGGCCTTTAAATTGCATGCTTCCATGCCCACCTTCCTCACTAGCTTGCAAAAGTGTCAACTAAAACCCATTTTCATTGTCAAATGATAGTTCCATTGGATGAATCCAGATGCCCTTTTTTATCCCCAACGATTTTTATTAGAAGAAGATTCATGAAAGATATTTTAATTAATCGAGGACCACAAACCATTCAATCTTTGCCCTTACCAATGAAAACCCAACAACTAATTAATAAAATCAAATTCCCCATAGATTTTATGAATTTTCAACTCTTTTTGTTGTTTCTAATTTCATTACTTCAATAAACAAAAAAAAAAAATCAATTTCATGAATAAATTTTACTTCATTTTTGTTGAAAACAACAATGTTTTGTTTTACTATCATAGATTTTTACTAAAGAAAAGATTTTTTTTTTCGAAATCAAAGTTCAGTTTTACGAAAAACATTTAAAAATTTAAAATGTATGTAAAAGAATGCTTTTTAAATTTATTGGATAAAAAATAAAATTAAATAAATACTGAAACCAGTCAAGAAAACTCCATTCGTCAGCAGCATTTCCCAATCACAAACGTCAAAACCAAAGCATAAAATAAATAAAAAAAGTGCAAATCTAATGACCATTCCCCATTTGGCCAAAGGAAAAATCACCAGTCCCCACTAATAAACCACTAACAAACGAGACAAAATTTCTTAGAATATTCAAGCAAATCAGCAAATGCACACGTTGCATCCCCGTTGCCACGCACCAATTTTTCTTAATTTATCAAAGATAAAATAAAACATTTCAGATTTCATATTTTTATATTTACGAAATTTTAACACAAATTTTTATTAATAATAAATTTAGAAATGGAACGAGCAAAGGAAACAAAACAACCAATGAGTACAACAAACCCGGCTCGGCCGGTTCATCCCTTAAACTTCTAACCTATTCGATGATCGATAATTCCAAAATTCTAGTATTTCCAATTAAATTACTTTTCTCTCCCTAGAAAATTCTGTTATTTACATTTGTCCTTTTTCCCCCTAAATCTTGATTTGTTTTTCATCAACCACCGTTGATTTCCATCATCCCTTCTTCTCACATGACCGAGCACGCGTTCGGATTCTCATCACTGAACATCTGCGGGGCGTGAAGGTGATGCCGCGGGTCCATCATGTACGCTTGATTCACATACCCAGGATGCATATACCCCTGGTTCATATTCATGTATCCCTGATTAACGTATCCGTACTCGTGCGGATGATTCTGATATCCCTCAACCGCGTAACTCGTACTACCGTACACGTGTCCATCAGGCCAATACATTGGCTGTGGCTGATACGCGTATCCATGATACTCCATCTTGTTCACCTCTACCTTCGCTTCACCACCTTCCTTCTTCTCGCCGCCGGCAGCAGCTTCTTTTCCTTTCTCTTTATTGTCACCGCCGGCCTCTTTCTTTTCTCCGCCGTCCTTTTTCTCAACTGCGTCGTCTTTCTTAGGGGGAACCACTTCGACGCTTCGTTTCAACTTCTCCTTGAGATAAGGAACGAGGTCTTTCACGTCCATTGTGCCTTTTACGGTTACCAAATCTTTAGCTCCATCAACGTTGACCGATTGAACTCCTGTTAATGTTACAATTAAAATAAAATCATATCAGATTATCACTTAATTAAACAAATTTAATTTAATCTTAATTCAAATTAATCATAATTGATTAACTTACCATCGGCTTTCAAGATGATTTTCCTAATTTTGTGAATGCAACCGTCGCAATGTGTTCTAATCTTCAAAACCACCGTACTCTGTAACCAAACAAAATTAATCACAATTAGTTATGCAAAACTCAAACCAATAAAAACTTAATTAAACCAAACTCCTTGTTTTTATCGTTAATTAATTGAACACGTCACCAGATTTAAATTTCCGATAAGAACAACTCAACCGGCCCAGATTCTTCCCATGTCTAACATGCGCACCGCGCACGTTAACCAGATTTTTTAACGTAAATTTACCTCTTTAGGTGGCTTTTTCTCTTCTTTCTTCTCTTCAGGTTTCTTCTCAGCGTCTGGTTTTTTATCACCACCAGCAGCAGCGGCAGCGGCGGCGGCTGGGGCAGCATCTTTCTTAGGCTGAGGAGAAATAAGGTCAACTTTCTTCTTGGTTTTTTCAGCCAATCTATCTCTGACTATGGCAGGGTTAAATTTGCCAATCACCGTCAGTTTGTTGGCTCCACAATCCGCCTGCACATCTTCCACACCTTCAACCAAAAACAACAACATCCGTGTTAGGTAAATTTTCAGTTAGGTTTCCACTTACGCCAATGTTTAGAAGTAACATGTACTTTCACTTTTATTTTATCTAATTAAGGTTGAAAACATTACATCGAAGCCCAATCCTTATCCAATTCCCCGTATATCACGGGGAAATTTGACGAACAATTCAAAAGGACCAACCAAACCGCTTTTTCTAATTGACAAATTCCAATCCTTAATTGGGATTATTTAATCAATTAACTAAAGTTAAATACCTTCGTAATGCTTAATCGAGCGTTTGATCTTCTTGGCACAACCTTCACAATGCATATCAATCTTGTAGACGGCGGCGACCTTGCCGTCATCTTTCTTACCGCCGGCATCGGCGGCGGGTTTCTTCTCGGCTTCAGGTTTTGTTCCTTCCTTTTGCTGGGAAAAAAAAAAAAACAGAACAATTTAAGCTAAAAGGAAAAACCGAAAATCTTCGAAGAATTGAAAGGAAAAGACCAGAGAGAATGTCTAAGAAAACAGCTAGTAACTAACCTCACCCATTGGTTGACGGAATTGTATGGATTTTGTTTTCTTTTGGTTGGGAATTTGAGAGGGCTAGTGAAGAGCTGTTTGAAGAGCAGGAGAGGAGGCAAAGAGGATGAATAAATAGGGAAAAGATGCGGTTTATGCCTATGTTTGATGATGGTCTATGTTATGTATGTAGGTGGATGATGATGATGATGATGACGACTTTGATGCTGGGTTGGGTGGGTTTATATTTTATTTTGCCGTCGTATTGAATGATGGTTGTGGAGAAACGACGGATTTCAAAACCAATCTAAAACCACGTTTTGACCGGATCGTGACAGTAGATGAAATGACTTTACTACCCCTTTAATATAATATTTAATTTATTGTGTTTGGGAAATTTTGGTATTTTATTATGAGTTCCATTTTTGAGATCTCGCGTCGCGAGGAACGTTCTACTAGGTCCGTAATTAAAGTGAACCCACAGTAAGTAAGAGCAGGTTTTAGGGCACAGTGATTGTCAATTAATTTTTTAATTTTATTAACTAACCCAAAGAGTGTTTTGTTTGACCTAATTATGTACTCTAGAAGACTTAAATTGGAGTAAGTAATGATTATCTTTTATAAAACCTGCAATAGTTTGTTAGATACTTTTTCATTTTTATATTTAAAAATGAAAATTTTAAACTTATAAAGCTGTGATTTATCTTTTAATTTTGATAATTATTTTAAATTTCAATTAATTCAAAATTGAATTGAGCCATATATTTTATAACGAGGGATAAATTCTTTTAAGTTTATTTTTTTATTTATAAAATTTAATATCGAGACTTTACTTAAGAGAAATTAAATTTATTATCACTTGAATCAATAGATATTGATAAAATTTATTCATTATTACATGATACATATATATATTATTTTTAAAACTTAATTTTGTATTTTCAAAATTTTAAAAACATTTTAAATTCATCAATTTAACTATTAACAATAAAATTTCAATAAAATATGTTACGTCAAATACATATAGATATTCAAGAGACATCAATTTTAAATTAAAAATCAAAACTGGTTCAATTATTTTATTATGTATGCATTCACAAGATATTAAAGTATTAAATTTTTAAATGTTTTAATACGGATTGATAAAATTGATGAATTAATTTAAAATATTTTAAAATTATTGCATATTAAATTTTAAATTTAAAAATTATAAATAAAAATAAAATATTACACTAATTTTAAATTTTTATGCAATATTTACTTCATTTAATGAGTTTGTGCTTAAGCCTTAAGATGCAAATTAATATCTTTCATGGTTTCTATATAGCTTTGTATATTTTTTATTAAATATAATAATTTAAAATAAGATATGATAATATGATATAAAAGTGAGATAAATAAAATTATGAATGTGATATAATTTAAAATTTTAACAAAAATTATGTATTAATTTAATAAAATTAACAAATATATTTTATATTTTTATATTAAAATAAATTATTATATATAATTTTCATATAAAATATAATATAAATATATAAATTATTAATATTTTACATAATATAAATTTACAAATTATTATTTTTCTACTTTTCGAGCTTTTTCACGAGAAATCATGATTATTGAACTTGATTAATTTGCAATTAATTAGTTGCATTGGTTGGAGTTTAGGATAGTTAGGCGAGCGCGGCTAGGAAATAGGGCCTACAATCGACCAGAAGGGAGGGGAAGGCTTTAGGTCTTTACGTAGGTAGAGAACACTATCTGATCCAAACTCAGATTATTCACTTTAATGTTTATGAAAGCAAACTCTTGACCAAAATATATATATATATATATATATATATATGAAAGGGTTAAATCCTCGTCAACTTTACGTAACAAAACCGCCTTCTTGTTGAACATCAACATCATCATAATGGCCCTTGCAAGATGGCTAGCTAGTCTCATAACAAACTGATCAAAGCCTCGGATTCTGGGAACATGCACACAATTTTCAAAACCGCTGACTTCAAACGTTAAACATTTTGTCTAATGAGGCAGAAACTCATGCATTTATCCGCTCACAAGTTTATTTCATGTGCAATCAACCCTATAAATTATAAAGGCCAAAATCAAAGAGTTTTAGAATGCTGAAATTCGGAGGCTAAAAAGGAAGGAAGGAAATGAGGCTGTGAAACTCTGATCACAAATGGAAAAGATAGACAAATTTTCTTACTTTGAACAAGGATGCTTAAAAAATCAGTGACGTAACAAACCAACGGCGAGAAACTGGGGAAGGCTTAAGGTCTTTATTGGGGGAGGGATGCGAAAGAGAGACGTTGGGACTTGGGACTTCAATTTTTAAATGCGACATTAACAATTCAACACCCCTTCAGTGCTCTCTCATTGTTATCCCCGTGGCCATGGGGACCTTGTGGCAGGCAGTGGCAGGCCCGCCAATGGCATGCAGTTATAATTATGATCTTTTAATTTAGACGAAAAGCCAAGAATAGGGGTCCCGCCCAATATGCCTTGATCATTCATTCCATGGTGGAACTTGTCATAACCAAAAAGCACAGCAAGAAACTTCCTCAGAAATATCCTCCTGCTGCAGGAAACTCCTTTGGAGAGTACATGTAGTGGAGAAAAGATAAACATGTGGTGTCTCGAGTTTCATCACGATGACTAAGGGAATCATTCGGTATTGGTATCGTTATGTGTTTTGTATTTTATATATTTTGAAATTTTATTTTATTTTTAATTTGTTGATTTGAAATATATATTTGGATAGAATATTTTTATTTTAAAAATATAAAAACAAAAACATAAAAGAGAAATTAGTTAAAGTTTTTGAATTGTAGATGAGAGAGGTTTGAACCTAGCCAAAAGCAAAACCTTTGAACTGTAACAGTACTGGAGCGAGAGTGAACATTACCCATGTGGTAACAATGCTGAAATTGTTTTAAAAATTTTGAAAACATCAATATTTGTTTGTAATAAATTCTAAAACTTTTAAAAATTTTGTTTTCATTTTTCAAAAATAAAAAACAAAAACAACCTCTCTAATATATTTTTATTTCCAATTTTAAAAAGCCTAAAAATAAAAACAAAACATGAATATGTTACCAAATATCCCCTAAAATATTGGATTATTTAATTGAAAAACAATGAAACAAAAATTTTTTTTAAACAAAAAGAAGTTTAATAATGTGAAATATTGTTAAATGGACAGGGATTTCAAGCTCTTTAAGGAAGTTGAGTTACAACGTTCCCCTATAAATGCCTGCATTGAACATCCATGCACCCATATGTAAAATAAAATCAGAACAAAAGCCTACTAACACATTCAATTCAAAATTTCCTACTATTATATTATTTAGATTACTCTAAATTATTGCAACTCACTTGAGATTTATTTGACTGTATTTGAATTTATCATATTAATTACAACCCATCAAAAGGTAACGCACATTCAATGTTTCCAATGTCCAAGAGCCAAATTTCAAAATTTGAAAGAGTTAAAGCCTTGATGTTAGAGATTCTACAACCCATACCAACCCAACCCTGATCCCAACAACGACAAAAAACAAAAATTGCTAACGAGTGCTAAGCGTAATTTATTTTTCAATATATTAAAATTCATAACATTAACTATCAATTAGAGTATTTAATACAAAAAAAATAATATTTTAATTAACTTAAATAATTGATCGAAAAGTCAAAAAAACTCAATCTTCTGTATTGTTTGGGCCAAGAAAAGCCCAATGTTTTAAAAATCCATACGAGCACAGACTCATGAAGATACCATGCCACGTGCAGCAGAGCAGCTTAGTAACGGTAAAATCTTTTGCCGCAAATGCCTCCGCTTCCTTCGGCACTGAATCCGCGCCTCAGTTTTTCGCTAAAACCTTTTGTTCCTTTTCTCTCGGTCCTCTCTCGCGCCAAAAAATTCCCAATCTTGAGGCAATCAATCTCCGCGAAACCTAGAACCTTCTCTTCCTTCGCTTTGGGGCAGTTGTCCGCAATCGACAATGGCAGCAGGAGCGGCGGAAAGACCGGTGCCCTATCTCCATCTCCGCTGGCTGAGGAGGTTCAGAGAATCGATGTGAATCCACCTAAACGGACTCGCGACTTCCCTTCTGAAGATACGCGACTCCGTAATTGGTTCTTTAACCATTTCAGAGAAGTTAGTTTTAATTTTTGGGTGAAGTGTTTGCTCCGTGATTTTACTTTATTTCACTTTAGATTTTTTCTGTTATGGAAGATTTCGCGGTTGTTTGGATTCGAAGAGGTTGATTATCCAGTGCTAGAATCAGAGGCTTTGTTTATTAGGAGGCAGGGGAGGAGATTGGAGATTAGGTTTGCCCCCTTTTTGTATTACATTGTATCTAATTACGGAACATATTTGATTTGATTAGTAGTTTAATTCAAGAAATTAGATGAGGCGAAAGATAAGGTTCTAATGTATTATATCTGACAACAAATATTCTACCTTGTTTCATAAAATAGCTAAATTTGTTTGAGCAGAGGACGCTTATAATTACTTGCGGAAATAGGATGATTATTTTGTTCACTATAGCCACTTGCACTGTAAAAGTAACTAAGTAAGAATGTGAAACTGTAACATTTGACAGCAGGAGTGCAAAAGTTTTAAGAGTATGCACTATGTGAATGCTTGATGTTTGCCCGTGTTTTGTTTACATTTTACACTTTTTTAGATTAAGTTTTCAATGACTGTTGCAATATGTCGTTTCTATATGCAGTTGTATTGTTTTGAAGATTGGAGAAGTCGCATTGAGGCCTGAGCTCATGCCTTCTTTAGGCAAGGCTGCTGATACAGCAAGGGTACAGAGAATGTTGATTCCATATAATTTATCTACTCATTTAAAAAAAAAAAAAAGCTTCTTGCTTTTGCTTCAAAGATATGATATTTTGTCAGTATTTTTGTATCCAGGTGCAGATGCCAGAATTTGATCCCAATGTTTTTTCTTTTTGGTTCTGAATATCTTTGCCCTCCCATTGAAGTGGTTTGCTGTTGGTCAGTGTTGGAGGTATGAGAGAATGACAAGGGGATGCTGCCGCAAGCACTAGCAAAGGAATATGGATATTCTTGGTGTACCTGAAGTTACTGTATGTGCTGCCAACTTGATATGCTTTATGAACTACTAAGCTTTTGTAGATGCTATTTTTTGTTACCAATTGGTTGGATCATGGCCTTTC